TGCGGTCGCGCGTACATAACGGGAGCGGACGTCGGCTGTATGTTTGTCATGTGTACAGCATACAGGACCGTGGGCAGCCACAGGTTGTACGCCTGGGCGCCTGTCACGTCCAGCTGCGCCTTCACAGAAAGCGCTTGGACGTCTCTCCACCTTCCTTCGACGACGCCGTTGCGCCAAGGTTGGTCGGGGTCGCCGGGTTGAAGGTCCACGCCCCTTTCGAGCGCCCACGCGCTGACGTCGGCGAAGAACTCGCTTCCGACGTCCATGTGCAGGGCACATAGGCGTATATCCTCCGAGACTTGAACTTGCGTCGCCCAACTGGGACGAACTTCCTCCGCTCCTTCCTGCAGGTATTCCTGGTGCGCTCGTGTCCTCTGCGCATGCCAGAAGGACCGCAACTTCGGTACCGTGTGTTTCTGCCATTCGTCTAAGGCAGCGGCTACCTCAGCTGCGCCTTTTGACTTCATTGGTATGAACCACATGAATCGGGTTGCCTCGTCCACGAGAGTGATGCCGTACGCCACTCCTCGTACTGCGGCCATCTCGTGAACGAGGTTCACATCCTGCAATAATGCTACTGGGGTCGCCACGCGTGCCTGACCGTGCTTTTCCCGTTCCTGCCGGTACGGTCGCATCACCGTGTCGATATACACTCTCGCTAGAGGTACACCTACGGTCGGATGGTCCCGCTCGGGTGGGCGATTTTGCGCTCTGAACGACGTTCGTTCGCATGAGGTGCACACGAAGTGCTTCTCGATGAGCGCGAAATCTTTTCGCCACTTGGATTCCTGTTTGAGTACGTGACGGAGACGGTCTCCGCCCATGTGTCCAAACTGGGAATGATACGACCGGTAGAGCTGTTCCGTTGGAGTTTGGTCCCTTACTCCAAAACGAGACGTGTGTTCGCGGTCGCGAGTTCGCACTACTCGACTCTCGGCGGTTTTCCCGGACCGACCGTCGCTCTGTGGCGTTCTTGCCCCACTAGCTCCTGCACCGCCTGGTGCGAGCTCTTCAGTACTATCTTGCACTGGATGTTCAGCTCCTGCGACCTGCGCGAGCTCTTCGGCGCCACCTGGCGCCGGAATCATCGGGCCTGAGTCAGTGGCGAGCCGACTCGCCATGGCTGGGACCCGCTCACCAGGCGGGGTCAGTCACTCGCCCTTGATGACTGCGTTAAAATGCTTTAACGCCTTCGGTGGGTTCGGGACGAGGGATTCGATCTCACTTTGCCCCAAGAATTCCATTCTCGGAGCCCAAAGGAGGCCGTCTCTGGCTTTGAACATCACCTCGATGCGCTTCGTGCGATCCTTGAGAGCACCCACCGCTCCCAACTGAAGGCACATGTCAACCGGGTGACTGATGTCATCCGGGTCGACCTGTTGATCCACTTTGCGGACGAGGGCGTTGACGCCGCCGTCGTGCACGAAGCCAGCGAGGGAGAGCAGGCCCGTGCCCCCCTTCACCAACTTCGGCGCGAGCACAGCATCGAACCTGACAACCTCTTTTCGTTCGATCTTTCTGCCGTTCGGGAGGTAGACGGTCGCAGGTACCCTAGCGTAAACCGTCCCACCTTGTGGCGCAGAAACAGCACCGTTGCCGATGCCGCTGACGATCGCATCGGTGGTGACCCGCGTCCGGATATCGAAACCTTCATCCTTCGTGACGTATGAGACTGCAGCGGCCCCCGTATCCAAAATAATGTTGGACACAGTGGTAGGCGCGGCGCGGTACGCTGCCGGGAGGCAGACATATGCTCCTCCGCTCCGCGTCTCGCTCTCACCGTTCTTCAACTTCGACGGGCAATCTTTTTGTAGATGTCCTTTTTGCTTGCACCTGAAGCAGTCGCCAGGATTCGACTTAATGAAGTCATAGAAATCCGTTCGACTCTCCCCCGTCTTTGGCTTTGGCTTCGCGGCGACCTTGATGGAGTTGCGACCTGAAGATTCCCGACGTTCGCGGCCCTTCGCTCGCTCGCTGCGGGCGTTGCCAACGACGATGGGGGCGGTCTTCGTTCCGGGTCGCTGAACAAGCTCCTCCTGAGCCGCTTCCGCGCGGAAGACGGCATCCAGGTACTGGACAGACTCGTCAAAGTCAGTAGCTTCCGCTGCGACGTTGCTCATCAGAGATACTCGGTTCATTTCGGCCAACTTTTCTTGAATTACGGTGCCATCAGTAGCTCGTAAAAGAACAGTTCTTTTATCGATTTCACTGAAAGTTGGCAGACCGCACAAAGTAAGGCTCCAGTCAGACTCGGCCACGTATCTCCGTAATTCAGCAAGCGCTGCGATACAGGAATACGCGCCGGACAACGCCGTCGACGGCAGTAGCACGTCGTTCCTTAATGCGTTTGCGACTCGGTTGGCCTCATTTTGTTTCGCCCTCGTGGCTCCGTAAGCTCGACCTAGTGAGGTGAAACCGTTGCTTTCGAAGCTCGAATTCGCCCTATCGAGCTCGGAAATCAAAAGATCTCCGGGTAATGCCGACTTGAGACGTGAGATCTCCGCCGACGCGGCCGACATGAGCAACTTCCTCGCCAAGTGCTCAGCCGCCTTTACCCCGGTCGCCACCCTGGTTTCGGTGCCTTCACCTGAGTCCTCATCACTGGCATCGCCTTCTGACTCTGCTTTCACCACCGCCGGCAAATTTCCCCACTCGTTCACCGCTTCGAACAGAGCGTCTGGCGTCATGCCGACGAACGTCCCCTTTTCCTGCATGCACAGACCCAATTGGATGGCATCAAGCGCGAGCTTTTCCGCCAAGATCTGCGTGGTGGGATTTCTGGACGACGCCCCCTTGTACCCGGCCCCCGATTGGATGTACGCCGTCATCTGCCGCGCCGAGTGGGCGGACAGTAACGTTCTTCCCGTCGATGTCAGCTCCTTCTTGCCACGCCAGAAGGGTGTCACCAAATATTTGTACGGTTCCATCTTGAGCCTTTTTTTCTTTTTTTTTTTTTTGTTTTCTTGGAATCCCACTCGTGCTCCGCACGCCTAGTGGTGCTGCGCGGTACCCCCCCCCCTCAAGATCGTCCCGCGATCAGTTTTTCGGGTGGTACTTCGATCCGCCTTCTGGCCCTGGAACCTGTCTGGAATGACGTTCCTGCCTGCTTAGATCACTGAATCGAGACGGATGTCTGCCCTAAACGATCTTAAGATGATCGATAGGCGGCTGTCCTTGTCAAAATGCTCAGTCCCGGGGGTCGGCCTTGACCCCTATTCCGGTACCTCCTAAGCCTATTCGACCAGCCCGCGGCGCGCCTGCACAGACGCCGCTCGATTACTCCTGTGTGTAATACTTATACGTTCTTTTGGACTATCACAATCGACTACGAGAGCGATAGCAACTGGGCTACGCGGGCGCGCGGTTTGCCAAGGCGTGCGCGTTGCTTGTCGACTACTTGTCGACCGCGACGCTTGGATCAAAGGGTCACAGGACGATTCCTGAATCGTCCATCTTGTGATCCATTTACTGCTCTCCGATCAGGACTCATTCGTTATCCAAATGATCTTGTCCTGCTCGCGCGACGCGTGTTTGCCTTTACTATCATTCTCCATATTTAGAGCCCTTTGAAGATAGGAAAGAGCCGAGCCTTTCCATCAGATAATTTGACGCCGCCGCCCCTGAATCGCGTGTTTGTAGCACCTTAAAAACACCCGCGTGTGCGGGCGCCCACCCCTAATCTCTTGCGCAAGACGCCCCAAAACAGCTGCAATTTGCACCTGCAATTTTGCTCTTGCATCTTGCAGGTAAAATTTCCCCCACCCCTAGAGAGGTGTGATTACTGCCTTGCTATTGCTAACACACGAGCACGTGGCGTCAGTGATGCCAGCTGACTGATTCCTAAGGAGACAGTAGATGAAAAGTGCTTTCGGCTGCGCTGATTCAAGTGGGAACGATTTACACCACGCTCGACGCTTTTACATCCGCAGTCTTATTAGTTTGTTACTTAAAGTTGATAAAGACGACGGTCAGGATTGTGCACATGCGGAGGAGTCGACGCATATTGTTGCATTGCATGATGACTCGATGCCTTTTGACTCCAAAATTTTGTTGCTCACAATTTCGACTTTTGTTTTTTGGCGACACTTGAGACGAGAGGAAGATCTGGCATTGCAGTGCCCGCTTGTTGTGCTGCTATCAAGCGTTCTCGTTGCCAGTAAAATTGTTGGCTGCGTGTACTTCTGTAAAAGTTCGTTATACGAAATGTACGTCGCACTCCGCATGAAAAGTAATCATGATGGTTTGGCAACGATGCACGATTCAGTACACGCCAAGTTACGACTGAGCTCTCTTGAGTTCGCTATTGAAGTTTCTCAAACTGAACTTTCACTGCTTGAGGCCTTTGACTTTGAGATGCAAGTTTTACACTGGAACTTTGTGCGGCAAAAGAGTGGATCGAACTCAGTATCATTAGAACTTAAGAGTGAAACAGAGCGTCGTCAAATCGCGAGGTGTTTGTACTTACTTGCTTGCGCAGGTGGATGTTGTGTAGAAAACGACAGTCTAACTGAATTTGTGGAGAGCATATCATCAGTTGCTACTACTTTTCAAAGCATTGGAGATCATCAATCGTCCGGACAGTCCACTGTGGAGGAACCGTCGAACTCAGTTAGTTTCTGCATCTGGTCAAGTGTCGATGAATTGTTGCATGAGCGTTGGATATGAACAAAATTGCCAACCTGTAACTCATCGATGACATTGGCACGAATACAGAGGGTGCTGGGTAGTTGAGATGAGATTAGTTGCTTCTTTCGGAACGCGAATGGTTGGTCAGAATAACGCTTGTACCGTTCCGACATGGATATTCGTCGGGGGCAGATAGCGTACACAGAGGTAATGGTCCAATGCAAGGCACCTGTGGGAAATTCCAGAGGCGCTGTTCATGTGGCCCTCGTAATAGTTCATCAAACCGTTAGGCTGGACGGGAGATCGACTATGAATACAAATTTTCGTGTTTTTCGAACTAAGAAAGCCGTGTTTCTGAATAACACCCCTCTCTTAGTCGGCCTTATGATAATGACGTGATACATCCCAACCCAGCCCAGCATTATCAGCGTCAGGAGGTCCTGATATCAGGTAAAATCACGCTGATACTGACGCTGACACTGATATTAGCCAACCTAGCAGACCGTCAGGTTACTTTTGATAAGGAGGCTATACAATATGTGATGGTGACCAACGGAGCCATACAGTACGGCCCATACTTGTTCAGTGTGATGACACCGAGAAATTTACAAAATCTCCGCATTTCCGAGTTCACCGCAGCAACTTTCGACGAGGCGAGCGAGCGCCGTTAAAAACACTTTCGAAGACGAGCACGCGATAGTAGTACGCAGTTCAGAGGCCAGGGGGCGATGGTAAAGGGACTTAAGGGGCATTGTGAGACGTTTCAAGCGCGTGGGGAACTGAATAAGGGACTGAGGAGAAGTCGCTCCCGGGAAACTCCGAGATGCATCCGAAGGTTGGCTCAGGACGGTCACTCGTGAGTCTATACTTCGTAATATTCCAGATAAACTGCTTCTGACTGCTATCGTAGGACTCACACCAAATCTCCGGAGGTTTGAATGATTGCTTTTCAACCAGTCACTCAAAACTGAGCCAAATCATTCTAGTTGCTGAACTTGAGTTTGGAGGGTAACATAGGATCTGGCAAAAGTACGTTTCTTAAAGAGGTAGTAACCGGTGGAATGCATCTCAAGGTAGATTCAAGTGCCTGGATCCACACGTTCCTTCTCACGTGCACTACGTAGGGACTGGCTAAAGCTGTACCAGAGCCCGTACACAGTTGGCAACGTATACCATGCGGACGGTCGGAACAGGCGTCACACAATCTGTTGAAGGAGTTCTATGCGAATCCCGAAAAATATGCGTACGTCTTTCAGAACTACGTGTTCATGACTCGTTTTCTACAAGAGCGTGAAAGTGAAAGTTCAGAGAGCACTAATTTGCTCAAAATCATGGAACGAAGTGTCTTCTCAGATCGTAATGTTTTTGTTTCATCTGTACAGGAACAGGGTTGGTTTTCAGAACTTGAGCTCGATCTTTACCACGCTTGGTCGTGTCCGATGATCCGAGTACGTGTAGAGTGATTTCTTATTCTAAGTAGAAATTTAAGAAATATTCTACAGGCGCTCCCCTGTCTGGTACCAGATGGCTTCATATATTTGCAGGTTGCACCGAGCGTTTGCATGAAGAGACTACGACAGAGAGCAAGGGGCGAAGAGATCGATGTGACATTAGAGTATCTGGAATCTTTACATGCCAAACATGAAGGATGGCTGTCTAAGGTAATTTGAAAGCATCGTGGAGTTGACATGTTCAACTGTTCCTTCAATAGAACGTGTGTGAAGTTGTTGCGGGCGACAGCCGCGAAGTGCTACGCGTTGGATCCGTGACAGATGAAATATGTGGAGTTTTCAAGGAGGTGCGTGCATCTTCATTAGAGTGAAACATCACTCATCAGTGTGCCCACGCGTATCCAACAGAGGCCAGTGCTATTACTTGTGTTTAATGACGTATCTTTCGAGGAGGAAACAGTCGAGGGTCTAGAAAAGAAAGTTCTTGCGTTTTGCGACTATGTGCGCGCAAGGGAATAGTCGTGTAGTGCGAAAGAGATGAGCTTGTTATTTGAGTAAAAGAACTAAACATCAGGCTGCTCAACTGCGTAGTGACTAATCTGATCGAAGTTCAGGTATTTGTACGTGCTGTCTTCCTGCGCAATAATGTCCGCGTATCTTTGGTATTCTTCATTGGACGGTATTCGTCCTAGAATAGCACACACTGCCGCGAGCTCGGCGGAAGCCAAGTAGACATTTGCACCCTTCCCAAGACGATTGGGAAAGTTCCTTGTGCTCGTTGAAACAACAGTACTTTTTTCAGCAACTCTCGCCTGGTTTCCCATACAGAGCGAACAGCCTGGCATCTCCGTTCTAGCACCAACCGCAGCAAACGTGCTGTAATGACCTTCGATCTTCAACTGCAACTCATCCATCTTTGTCGGTGGTGCCACCCAAAGTCGGGTCGGCAGTTGGCCTACATGACTGTTTAAAAGCTTTGCTGCCGCCCTGAAATGTCCAATATTTGTCATACAAGAACCGATGAAAACTTCATCAATCTTATCACCGGTTACTGATGAAAGTATCCGTGCATCATCAGGGTCATTTGGTGCACATAAGATTGGTTCACATATGTCACTCATATTGATCTCGATTGTTTCAACATACTCAGCGTCAACGTCGGCTTCCAAAAGGGCAGGTGCAGCTAACCACTTATTCATCGCTTCAATCCTACGTTGGATTGTTCGAACTTCACCATAACCGTTTGCTATCATCCAATTGAGTAGAACGACATTGCTGGTAAGATATTCTTTTACGCTCGCTTCACCAAGTTTTATCGTACATCCCGCTGCACTCCTTTCAGCACTGGCATCAGATAGTTCGAAGGCCTGTTCACACTTGAGGTGCTCGAGGCCTTCAATTTCTATAATCCGGCCACTGAAAACGTTCACTTTGCCCTGTTTGGCAACTGTGAGTAGACCTGATTTGATTGCCTGTAATGGTATCGCGTGCACCAGATCACGCAAAGTGATACCTCGTTGAAGGTTACCAGTGAAGCGCACGAGCACGGATTCGGGCATGTCAAGAGGGATTACTCCTGTAGCGGCTCCAAACGCCACTAATCCAGAGCCAGCTGGGAAAGAAATTCCGATCGGAAATCGAGTGTGCGAATCGCCCCCTGTTCCGACAGTGTCAGGCAGTAGCATCCTATTCAACCAACTATGAATCACCCCATCGCCCGGTCGTAGAGATACGCCACCTCGATTTCTCATAAATGAAGGTAGCGAGTGATGTGTATCAATATCTACCGGTTTGGGATAAGCTGCCGTATGGCAAAATGACTGCATGACTAGATCAGCACTAAAACCAAGACACGCCAAGTCCTTCAGCTCATCTCGCGTCATCGGTCCAGTTGTATCTTGACTTCCCACAGTCGTAACACGGGGTTCACAATATGTACCAGGGAGTACTCCATCAACACCGCACGCGATACCTACCATTTTCTGCGCAAGAGTAAATCCCTTCACAGTAGCGTCAGGTATGCAAGGCAAACGAAAAGTGCTAGATGGCTCCATCTTAAGCGCACTTCTTGCCTTTGCAGTAAGCCCACGACCAATGATTAGCGGAATACGTCCACCTGCTTGAACTTCATCGAACAACACGTCACTTTTAAGACTAAAAGTGGAGATCACCACGTCCGTGCCGTGTTTTTTCACAACACGTTCGTACGGGAAAATGTCAAGAATATCTCCCATATTGATGCCAGTCACGTCCATCTCAAGAGGGAAAGCACCACTATCTTCCATCGTGTTGAAAAAGATCGGTGCAATTTTGCCACCTATGCACACTCCTCCTGTACGTTTATTTGGAACGTTTGGAATATCTTCACCCATGTGCCACAACACCGAGTTAGTGGCAGACTTACGAGAGGAGCCAGTACCAACAACATCTCCTACGTATGCTAGCGGGTGGCCGAGCTTTTTTAGCTCCGCGAGTTGAGCGATAGGCTCCTCAATACCCTCACGCGTCGACTTAAGCATAGCTAGGGCGTGTAAAGGAATATCTGGACGACTCCAAGCATCCTGGGCAGGTGAGAGATCATCCGTATTAGTTTCACCTTGTACTTTAAAAACAGTCACTGTCATTTTTGCGGGGACTGGTCGCTTGTCATTGAACCACTTTGCATCAGCCCAGCTGCGCAAAACTTGCATGGCAGAATCGTTCCCTTTAGCTGCTTTTTCTTCCACGTCATGGAAAGCGTCAAATATCAATATTGTCTCAGAAAGAGCTGCTGCAGCAATTATTGCCAGTTCAGGATCATCCAAGGCATCAATAAGAGGTCCGACGTTGTATCCACCTTGCATAGTCCCAAGGATACGAACTGCATCTGCTCGCGTTACCAGTGGGCTTGTAATTTTACTCTTCGCCACACTCGCAAGCCAGCTTGCTTTGACATAAGCTGCTTCATCTACACCAGGCGACACACGATTTATGAATAAGTCGAGAGTTTGTTTTTCTTTGCCTTTTATGGGTGCTTCTAACAGCGGGATCAGAGCGGACACTTGCCGTGGGGTCAATGGTTTCGGCGGGATACCTAGTTTCATTCTCTCCAGCACATGCCGATCGTATTCACTGAAAAAATCGTTCGACTGACCGACACTGTAAAAATTGAGCGGCTGAAACAAAGTTTGAGTCGACGACCTAATGTTAAGATTCACGTTGCGGAGAGTCAGTGGGGTTTGCGCGAGCGACGCCTCGTAAATACTGGGCGAACGGATCGTCGTCGACACTCGAGCCTTTGCGAACGTTCGAAACGAACGACGTGCGAGTGATCTAGACATGTCTCTTCCGTTCTTCGTTCGTGAAAATGTGAGTTGGTTTTATTAATCCCTCACGCGTCTCCGGGTGCGAGTCACGGAAGGTAGCTCTTGATGATTCGCGACCTGATCTCGTCACTTCCAGACTCCGGTGTGCACAACATTTGGACCCACAGTTAACTTGAGTGGTCGCGAGGCGGCGAAGAAATCTGTTTTTTTTTGCCATATAGTCCAAGGATACGTCGGTTAGGGGTGAGACAACAAATACTAGGTTGGCTAATATCAGACGGGTCCTTCGGAGAAAACAGGCTATATTAATTGCGTTAGGGCCAAATTACGAACGTTTTGACCATTACGAAGATGAAACGTTCGTAATCGAAATCGCGTACTCTGTTGAAAAGTCGCTTGTGTAAAACTTTATCGCGCGACCACCGCCGTTTGCGCGGACTTCACTTCGAAGCAATCGCTTCTGTAACTTGAGCGTGTCTCAACAGCTGAACCACTACCACTGCAACCAAAAATTTTGGTCGCGTCCTGGACGCGCGCAAAAAAGGACACAACCCTGTGGATCTACCGACAAAAATCATCTCGGGACCTGAGGACGATTATAACGTATTGTCTCTGCACGCGACGGGCACACGCAAGAATCTCACGTATACGAGCCGTTGCCATGCGAATATGACTACACTGCTAGTTGATGTTGCAAAAAAGACTATGTTACTCGTTTCATACTCGTACGCGGCCTTCGTCGGTTTCATCTTCGTGGCTCAAAGAAAACTGCAGTATTTCCCAACAACCTCTGCACCACCCACCGTCGATGAGCTTCCGCACATCTGTCGAAGCATTATGGACTTTGACGTGTGCACAGTCGACGGTTTAGTACTCAACGGTTGGGTTTGGGACGAACCGAAGTGCCAAATATTGGTATTACACTTACACGGCAATGCAGGTAGTCGTTACCACCGTCTTTACTGGGCACACGAGGTGAAAAAGAGGCTGAGGTGCGCCGTGGCACTGTTTGACTATCGTGGGTTTGGTGGCAACCCGGGTGTAATCTCAGAGGACGGCCTGATTGAAGATGCAGTGGCAGCGATCAAGTGGGCACACGTGCAAGCAGGACAAAATGATAAAAAACTGGTCCTACATTTAGAGAGTATCGGTAGTGTTGCAGGTTTGAGCGCCTTGGCAAAGATTTCGACTGAGGTCAAAGTACATGGAATCGTCGTTGAAGGTGGTTTGAGCTCGTGTTACGATCTGGCCCGCTCAATGTTCCCGCTTGTACCAGTCAGTCTACTGCTGCGAGACAAGTGGGAACGTGCGATGAATGGTGCCAGAGGTTTGCAGAGGAGTATACATTTCATGAGTTTACACGGCAAAGCTGATCGCGTCGTACCGCTTTGGTGTGGTATGAAATTGTTCCAAGCAGTCGCATGTACGCGCAAAGAGTTCGTAACGTTTCAGACCGGTGAACACAACAATTTGTTTCTCCAGCCTGATTATTTTGAAAAACTTGCAAGTTTTTACGCAGAAGTGTCAGGTAAAACTGCACATGCAACCGACGACCTATTTGCGCGAAAACTAGAAAGGTGAGGCTCACTCTCTATCCGGCGCCCACATCCTCTAATACGCTGATTACTTCCTCGACACCACTCCCAGTAGCTGCGGATACACCCACGATTTTCAAATGTTCGTAGAATTCTTGCAGAATAAGGTGTAAAGATTGGGTCAATGTGGAAGAAAAGTCACTAACACCCTCCAACTCACTCTGGAACAAACTCATATCAGAAAGTAGTTTAACGAGCGGGGCATGAGAAGCTACATCGATCTTGTTGAACACCAATATCACCGCCAAACGACTCCTGTATAGCACACTGACGGCCTGTAACATATTACTCATGAAAATCTGAGGATTTTGGCATTGAGGAGTGTCGAGGATGAACAGAATAGTGGTGCGAAAGTGAGCCGAGAGCATGTCAGTTATCATGATACCGCTGGCTGACCATGTGAATATTTCAATTTGACCCGGCGTGTCGATAAAAAAATATTCATAGTCTTGCGCACGAAGATCGCAGATGCTCACAACTTTGTCGAAACGGGTTGCGAACAAGTTTGCGGAAGTGAGAATGGCACCGTTAGGACCTAGACAATATTCACTCATCACCGATTTGTAGTCAACAGTATCACGTATATCTATGTTAGCATCGTACGGCAATCGCATAGCAGCCGGATCAAGATTGATGATGTACGGAGGTTTTCCACTTCGTTCCAAGTATGTCGCAACGCGTTCCAAAAACGACGTTTTCCCCGCTCCAGCCATTCCAACAACTACATAAACATTGCCGCGCTTTCCAGCCGCCATCTGTCCCGGCGCACTATTTCCTCGTCAGTCAACCTCAGCGACGTGCATAACTGACGTGACGTACACACGACCAATGTGCTATATGCCGCAAGTTAGCTTTTACAAAAGGCCTTTTTGTAGCGACTCTAGCGCAGTCCGGGGGGAAAATTCATATGTCGCCGCTTCAGAGAGTCCCTACACGACTGACGAGTCATGAACTGTCAAATATCACAACACTCTTCTCGTGGTGAAAACGAGTGAATCAGACGTAACCGACCACCCGCCATGATGATTCATCGCTCGAAAACGATGGTATGTGATCCACGTGAGATGAATCAGGCAGTTTTGCGTCATGGAATCGCTCAGACGTGCGCCCATTACGTTCGACATCACGCTGCTGTCCTTCCTTTGCGAGCAGAAACTCAAATACTCTAAACCCTATATAGGGTTTAGTTAGGGTTTAACTAAACCCTACATGTGTTCATCGACGCCAAATGCTCGTCGACACGCATCGATTCGACGTTCGCGCCACAGCAGATGCTCAAATCGTGCACAGAAAGCGTTTCACACACGCGCTTCTCGACGGTAAGCGTGTTTGATGTTCGAATGATGTCGGCATTCACGAATGCTAAACCCTAGTTAGGGCTTGGCCAAACCCTAACTAGGGTTCGGAGCGTCTTATGAAAAGTCCACGCGTGTCAGCACCAGACGAGAGTTGCAACGTCGATGGCGCGCGTTGTCAGCAAATCGGCACCATGGAAGTCATTGATTCACCAAGAGCAGGTGTGTTGTCATCGTTTCAAGTGTTTGTACCGTATTCATCGTAGATTCGTCATTCACACCGCTTCGTTTCACACCTTTAGGTGTCGCTGCTGTTGTTTGTCACAAATTTTCAGAAGGTTAAAACACCCGAAAGTGGCTCAACGTCCGGGGAGTCCCAAAGAAGCGTGGAGTCAGGACTGGTGGTGTTTTTGGTCATTTATGCCGTTTTTATATTTTTACAATGGCTTAACTCTGTCTAATGTACGATCAATAGTTTGATAAAAAGTTGCTTCCCGGTGAGATTTAGCCACCATATGACGCAATGAAAAAAACATACATAGTCTAACTCACCTGAAAATAGTGGAAATTCGTATTTGCCCAATTTCGCCTCGCGAAATCGGGGAAAGTGAAATTTCAAGTGAAATTTTGAGCGAAATTTTATCCCCCGTGGTGAAATTTCGTTTTTTTACTTGATGCCACCAAAATTTCGTTATTACCGGCTATCTCCCCCTCGGCCTGATATCGCCAACTCCGCCGGTGAGCCAAAGGAAACGAGAAAGTCATCAAGGCAGGGCAGCGTCGAGCGTGCGCCACACACTTAGTTCCGCCAAGCGCTGGTTGACTGCAGAGCATTGAACACCGGCGCTCGTAGACCACAATCATGCCACGTGACTCTAAGTACTTTTCTAGCAGTAAGAAAGGTACACCCACCAGTTACGTTTTAACACACTCTTTGGACTTGAACGTCTCAAACATAGGAGAGGTAGCTGAGTGGCGCCAAGATTTGAAGACAAGTGATAAGGTGCTATTGAAGACTACTGTGAAGCGAAGTATGTACATAGACATATTTTCTGTGGTAGACTGAAGTTATTATTTTCGCAGTCATAGCCGCCATGACTGTTGGCAAAGATGTGTGCCCCTTATTTCTGGATGTGATTAACTGCATGCAGACGGAGGACATCGAGCTGAAGAAGCTAATATACTTGTACGCGATAAACTACGCTCGGTCCAATCCGGATATTGCCATCCTTGCCGTTAACACTTTCGTAAAGGTGGTTGTCTTTCACTTTCGTATGAGTGCACTGATAGACCGCCACAGGATAGTCAAGATCCTAATCCTTTCATACGGGCGCTTGCTGTGCGAACGATGGGATGTATACGTGTAGACAAGATTGTGGAATACTTGTGCGATCCGCTCAATCTAGCGTTGAGAGTATGTGTTTAATATTTGTTGAAAACTTGACAACTGACAGTTCTCTGGACAGGACCCAGATCCATATGTTAGAAAGACCGCAGCAATATGCGTCGCAAAGTTACACAGCATAAACAGTGAGCTCGTTGTTGATAGGTCCGAGCGCAGAACAAGTGACGTTAGAATACTCAGATTGTTTCATAGGGGATTTTTGCAGCAGTTGAAGTACCTATCTGTGGATGAAAATCCCATGGTTGTGGCCAACTCCATATCTGCTCTGGTCGAAATTCAGAACGGGGAATCCAGCGAAATAATCGACTCACAGTGCCTTTCCGCAGTGATTGCGTCGCTCGATGTCTGCACTGAGTAAGTCAGGCGTTTTTTGTTTTTTCCATCTCGACTACTAACAATACGCCACAGATGGGGCCAAGTTGCTATTCTGAATTGTTTGGCCGCCTATAAGTGCGTAGACGGGTCTGAAGCCAAAAAAGTAATTGAATGTGCACTGCCAAAGCTACAGCATGCCAATTATGCAGTAGTCCTCGCGTGCATACGGCTAATCATCAATCATCTACAAGTTGAGGTATTTTTCTGTAAACTTTATTGTCAAAATATACTTATTGCTCTTCGAGCAGCGATCGGATGAACTTCTAAAGCGGATCGTTCCACCGATGGTGACAATGTTGAATGCGGAGGCTGAGATCCAGTATGTGGCACTTTCGAGTATTGAAGACATCATGAACCAATTTCCTTCAATTTTTCATGAAACTTACAAGGTGAGATTTGTATTCGAAGCAACTTCCATGCATTGTATAACATGCTCTAGGCTTTTTTTTGCAAGTATGACGATCCAGCATACGTTAAGTACAAAAAGCTTGATATTTTGGTCAAAGTCACGAATGAAGGGAATGTCGCTGATATCTTAGTCGAGCTAAGGGAGTACTCTGGTGAAGTCGATATAGAGTTTTCCCGCAAAGCAATCCGCTCAATCGGCGCGTGTGCTCTTTCAGTGCCCGCATTTTCTCAGACTTGCGTGGACGCCCTCTTAATCATAATTGATACCAGAGTGAACTATGCGGTGCAGGAGTCCATAGTTGTGTTGAAAGATATATTTCGATGCTATCCAGGCAAATACGAGAGTGTAGTTACGCCCTTGTGTCGATCACTTGAATGCCTGGACGACCCAGATGCGAAAAGCTCACTGATATACATTCTTGGCGAGTATGCAGGACGCATAGATAGTACACTCGACCTTTTGCAAACATTTGTTGACACCATACAAGATGAACCTACATCTGTGCAACTTCAGCTGTTAACTTCAACGGTAAAATTCTTCCTGAAATGTCCAAGTCAGCAGGCGAAAACTCTTGTGCAGAAAATTTTGAAGTTCGCCACAACTGATAGTGAACATCCGGACCTCCGCGATCGCGCTTACGTTTACTGGCGGCTGCTGAGTCATGACACGGACACAGCTGCAAACGTGGTGACTGCTAATATACCATTGCCAAGCTGATTCCCCGGTCATGGTTGACTAGATTTTAGCCTGCGTGAGAACTGAAAGGCAATTTTGTCATCGATACCAGTGATGCGACGACGTACAGCGAAGCGTCAGCCTTCTCGGCCTTTAAATTCTCTGATACTAGCAGTTAACTAACGTTGTGTGCAAAGTTGTCGAAAAATTGGGGGAAAGGCCCAAGGAGTGATAGACGGTAAAGACAAAAATTTCGTCCAGAAAACGAAATTTGTCACGGAGAAAATACATCTCACTTTCCAAAATTTGCAACTTTTGTCGCGTTTTCATATGACATCATTTTGGAGATTAAGCAAAATGGAAATCATCACGTTTCAGCGATTTTACGCAACTTCACACTGGGGAACTTGCGCCAGCATACGCGAAATTTCAACAGCTTTCCAGCGATGTGCGGCATGCCTCGATATGATGCAACATCGCGTATAACAAAGCTCTTTCCCATTACTTTCCGAATGGAGGTTAGTATATACCTCAGCATGAGATTTAGCCACGCGCAAGCCGTACTCTTTCAAAATTTAGGCGAATGTTGCAAAAACTTGAAATACTTTTTTCAACATTTTGTAAGCTTAAGTCCTGTGGTGATCGCGTCGTAGCGCGTTCTGTGCGTAAAGATCTGAGGTTTCATTAAAAGTCTAAGCTAGTTGTCTCGAACTCTAGAGTCTACATGTAATGAGTCATAACTCGTCTCGTATTCGAGACTCGGGAAGGCTATGTAATCGTATTTAGCCTGCAATAATCCTAACACATTTCGCTAAATTGAAAATTTGAAATTCTCAAAGCTTTGTCCTTTTTTGCGGCGATTGACCAGGCAGGCTTAGGTAGAAGCCCTAGCGCGACCTCCGACGAGTCGGCGACGTCAGTCTTCATCTGTACACGGAAGGATGGTGTCGTTGAAGCTGCAGAAGCGCCTTGCCGCTTCGATTCTTAATTGCGGCGTTCGCAAAATCTGGATGGATCCGAACGAGGTTCGTCACGCGTTGCTTGAGCGAAACACTTCGAACGCGATCAGGTGGTTGACGTCTGGAAAGACCGTGCATAGATTGTGCACTGCCGCGGGAGGAGCTGCGCAGCGCAAGAGAACTGACCGCTTCGTTTGATCGTGCATGTACAGGTTTCGGAAATTTCTGCCGCTAATTCGAGACAGAACGTCCGCAAGCTCGTGAAGGACGGACTGGTGATCCGAAAACCTACGAAGGTACGTTTCCCACACTTCGTGGTTTCCACGCGGCGCGAGCGTGTGCACATAAGCGAGACACTCGGACTAACCACAAAGGTATTTCAATTTTCAGATTCACTCTAGAGCGCGCACTGCAAGAGAGCAAGCTGCCAAGCGCCTCGGTCGACATACCGGTTATGGTAAACGCCGCGGTACCAGGGAAGCCCGGCTCCCGACGAAGGTGTTGTGGCTTCGACGCCACCGTGTGTTGCGTCGATTACTTTCCAAGTACCGCGATGCGAAGAAAATCGATAAGCACATGTATCACTCGATGTATCTCAAATGCAAGGGTAACGTGTTCAAAAACAAGAGAGTGCTCATGGAAGCCATCCACAAGTCTAAGGCTGAGAAGGCAAGAGAAAAATCCCTTGCCGACCAGTTTGAAGCTCGAAGAGCGAAGAACAAAGCAGTACGAGAGCGAAAGATTGCCCGGCGTGAAGAGCGAATCGCTGCGGGCGTTTCGGGACTCCGCGCCGGTAAGCAATAAGTGTGTTAGGCAATTGAGACTTAGCGCTCGAATGCTTCATATGAATAGTTATAGCTCGTGTAAGAGACTTTTGCCAGCTCTCCAGACGTGAACCCTGCCCACTCGAAGAGCATCGTGAGCTTGAATTCTTAAAACCTATCGCTACTAATAGGGGTTCAGGAAGGGGAAAATGAGGTACTCCATGTAGAACATTTTCCAGACAAACATGTAGAAGGAGAAGATCGAGGCTGATGAGTGCACACTTGTTCTCAAGTACTTGCTAAAGATTAGCACGATGCCTAAAAGATGTCCTCCAGTTAAGACAAGCACCTGCGCGTGCGAGTTAGAGCGAAACAAACCTACATAGATACCAGCCAGGTAGTCCAAACATAGCAAAAACATGCATGTGTTCAAAATAGGTGCCACCCCAAGCCTGACAGTCAGTGTCCGAATACCAGACTGCAAATCCCCAACTAGGTCGGGAGCGTCCTTCAACAAAGAAATGACAATCGAGTAAACACCCATAAATACGATGGAGAACCATAAGCTGTTCGGAGTTACCTTGTAGATACCACCGTTCAATGAACTTGCAAAGTGACCAAAGAAACCCCACTGGACCAGGAAGGCGCGAACACTGAGGATGCAAACAGTTGCAAGGATTGGTACCCGCTTCCAGCGAAGCAACTTCATGTCAGATGAATAAACTATTCCCAGAACCAAACTCATTAGAAGTGTGAAAAGCAAATGAAAAGATGAACTCGCTACCCCAAGGATGAAAGCAAATGAGCACGTTGCCGAAATCACGGTCAATGCTGTGTCTGTCGCAAAATGACCAGATGCGAGTGGTAGATACGGTTTGTTTATCTTGTCTATTTGCTTATCATACACTTGATTGAGCCCCACGATAGATACGTTCATCGCAACTGCACATAGCGCTGCCAGAACAAGACTCTTCCCTAAAGCTAATGAACGCCCCTCAGAACGAGCCATCAAGCTCATGGAAAACACACTGATCAAGGTCCCAAATATAGTATGCGGTCGTGAAAAACTGAACAGATTCTGAATGAAAATGTAACAATCTTCGAGTAGGGTTCTTCTTCCTACCGCGATACCGTGCCCTTGCATATTGAACGGTACTGAGTTCAGCAGTTTCACTGAACTCTTTCGGCCAAGCGACGTGTTCTTGACACAGTTGTTTCTTAACCACTCATTTCTAGGATATTTTCTGACCATTGGCCCGCGATACTCCCGCCATTCCGCATCTTTTTTAACCGAGAGTTTTCGCGGTTGCACGCGAAGTTGAACAGTCAGTGCTCGGTAAACAGTTGCCATCGGGAGCAACGATGAAGTAGTTGGCAAGCCCAGGATGCGTTACTCTGGAGAACTACAGCTTCGAGTATTATGGATTCGCCTACTTCAAATCCATGTATTGTAAGCTTAAGGTCCTATTGGTGGTCGCGACTTCGCGTGTTCTGTGCGTAAAGATCTGATGATTATTTAAATGTGAAAGCCCGTTCGCTCGAGGATTTTGACTATAGTCTCCCTCATGGTTGTGCACACCTTTTGTTGAGGCTTAAACTGAAAAAGAGATTGCCAAGGCCGACTAACAGTCCCGTTGATAACTTTGACCATAACTCGGCCTTAATGACAGAGTTATCGCCAGTGGGACTAACAGCAGAAGGGTTCGATAACTTTATTCCCCGAGTTATGAGAAAATGACTAACAGCTCATTTTCATAACTTTTCGATAACTTCGTCGCGCTCACGAGTCGTGAACCATCGCGTCGGACTTTGTGTGATAGAAATTAACGGACATTTGGGCAACTGAAAAAACGATTTCAAATGCTACGGATACCGTCGCTTACTCGTGACTTCGAGCAAATCAAAGATACGTGGCGCACTAGGTTGGGTAAAATCTGCATCACGATCTCCATCACGATCAAGACCCATAGATCGTGATGCGACCTTGGAGGAAATTTCAAGCTTGCAGCGGCTCTCTTCGAGGGGGGTGCTAGGGTTCGAACAGTGACACAATTTACTTATCATCGCTGTTGTCACCATACCCGAAGAGTGTAACTCGAGGGTCGGTGACCCTCCCGCGGTATATGGATTTTGACACGGCGCACACGACGAGTCGTGAATCGACCTCTTTTGGGGGCTCTAAAATCCCGGCGAGGGGGTACGCGAGAGAAACGCGAGTCACGACGTCACGACCCGTCGAAGACCCCTCGTTGACGCGACGAGTCGCGATGCGTTATGGAGCTGATTTTCTGGACCCGCGCGCGGCGACGGCGCGAGCGCGAGCGCGAGCGCGAGCGCGGACGCGAACGAGAACGGTTTCGTCTGCCGATCGCGCGCGCGCGCGCGTCGCGGCGTCGTAAGGAGGCGCGACGCTGGGGCGAGCAATGTTGACCGTAAACCCTATTTTCTAGGGTTTAGAAAACACGGCGCGAGTTCACGCCGCGGATCGATTCGTCGACGTTTTTTCACTTTCCTCTCCAAATTTGAGCGATTCTCCCACAATCTCCAGAGTTAGTTGGTGTGATAGAAATTACCTCTCTAGAGGCTGTGATTGTGGCAGATTTTGAAGAGCGAGATGCCGCTGTGGTCCAGGTGTGGCACGAGCGTGACGTGGAGGACGCGGAATATTACGCGCATCGTTTGGCTGAGCGGCGGGACAGAAACGCAGGACACGCTGCGGAAGTTGTCGATGCCGTCGTACACATGGATGACACCGCACTGGACAGGAGAATAGCAAGGGCTCGAATGATTCAGCGGACTACTTCGCACCTTGACGCTACGCCTGTAGAAGAGCTTGAAACGTATAGGACACGCCAGAACAGCTTGATAATTCATTTCAACAGTCTTACAAAACTTGGTGGGGTAGACCACCTGCATGCCACTCGTCGAAGAGTAGTCCGGAGTGACAATGGAGAGATAGTACACTTGCAGCGCGCCGCGATGTAATGTACATGTATTATTATGCGAGAGCTCGACGTGGACGCGTCGTGTACACACGTTGCAAACGCAGACTGGGCTTCGATGCGCGAGCCGATCGTCGCGGCGTACACGCGGGCGTGACATCAGTAGATGGCACACATGCTTCGTCCTGAGTGACTGGTACCTGGCACGCCGTAGTCTGCGCGTCGCGCCCGTGAGATTCGTTCGGCGGAACGTTTTCTTGTGCCGGTGACATCGCAGGTTCCGTTGCGCGCGCCACGTCGGTCGCGCACTCGTCAGCGTTTTCTTTCGGTGCTTCGTCCTCCTCTGTGCGTTCGAGGCGTTCGGCAAACGTGAGTCCACCCGCGCGTGCATGGGAATCGGTCGCACCGGATGCGATGAGTCCCACACGATGGTCGTCGGATGGGTTAGATTCGCGCAGTCGCTCTGCTCGCATGGCCAGCAGCTCCTCCTCGAGCAGCGCTAAAACTTGAGTCTTCTTCTTGAGAAGGGACGTCCGAAGTTCATCTTGTTCACGCCTTCGCTTTTGCGCGGAGTCAGTCGCACGCATTGCAGCCACAGCACCGCGTTGCGATGTCTCACGCAACGCTTTCCGCGAGCGCTGGTCCGCGCGGTTCTGGGGATACGCTTCCGCGGGACGCGCGAGGGTCTTTGTGAGGTTGAATCTCATCAAGGCGTGCTTGGTTAGCGTCGACGACGCGTAGACATCGGGATTCTCCGGGCACGTCCACTGCCATACATAGTGAGCTGCAGATAGTAATTCGCGGTCCGTTTTACTCAGCGGTGGCTCTGCGGTCAACGCGTCGACATGCGCGCTGACAGCCGCGGAGACGTCCATCCAGTTGATGCCCGACTCACGATGCGTGTACGTTCTGCGGGCGACTGGTAATACGTGTTTGCTCATACAAAATACCTGGTACACCGGTACGCTGGCACGGTACCAGCGTGCACCAGCGTGTACCCAGGGTGCGCATCGGTAGGGTACGCGCGCCACCCACGACGACGCATTCATTCGTGCGCGCGAAGGACGCGCGGGACGGTGGGCGGGACGCGACGGCGCGCGCGTGGAAGCCAGCATGCGCGCGCTCGCCCTCGGCGCCGCACGACCGGCCGCGGCGCTCCTCGCTCGAGGACGACGACGACGACGGGGGCGGTCGGATTGGACGGCGGTCGTGCGGGCGAATTGGCGCGCCGACGTCGAGTTCGCGCGCGCGCGCGTGCGGGCGAACGATCTCGAGGCGACGACGTCGAACGGGACAGCGCTCCGTAAGCTGACGCTTGATGTCGGTCGGGAGGACGCGAAGGCGTTCGCGCGCGCTGGGCAATTCGTCCAAGCGCGGACGTCGTCGGAGACCGCGGCGGCGTTCATCGCCATCGCGAGCGCGCCGGGGGAATTCGACGATGGGTTCGAGTTGTTGATCAAGGCGCAGGTGGGGAGCGCGGCGAACGCAATCGCGGACGTTGACGCCGGCGGCGAGCTCGAGGTGACGGTGGCCATGGGGAAGGGGTTCGATGTGAGCTCGGTGAGCGGGAAGAAGAAGGCAGTCTTGATCGCGACGGGGAGCGGTATCTCGCCGATTCGATCGCTGTTAAGAAGCGGCGCTCTGGACGGGGCGGAGAGCACGCTGTATTACGGGACGTCGAACGAGAAGGCGACGGCGTTTTTGAAGGAATCGGAATCGTGGCCGTGTGAGATCGTCCGGGTGTACTCAGAGGATAGCGGGAAGTACGTGCAGGACGTCTTGCGCGAGGACGTGGCGAGCGGTAAGATTGACGCATCGGAGACGTTCGCCGCGCTGTGCGGACAAAAAGAGATGACAATGGCCGCGATCGAGATCTTGACCGGCGCCGGCGTTCCTCGCGAGGCGTGCCTGATGAACTTTTAATGTTACTATCGGTAGAGCTACCGTTACCGGTACGGTACCGGAATCAATAGCGCTGCAATTAATTGGTTAAAAGATTACAAGTTTTCTCTCGCCTTTTTACAACGACGCGCCGCCGCCGCTTTCGCCGCGCTTACGAGCCTCTCGTGCGCGCTTGATCGCCTCCTCCAGAGCGCTCATATCCGTCAGCGACGTCGAACGATTGACGCCGCCGGGGATGGAGGCACGTCTGATTGGCACGCCGTTCTCCCCAGATCCGGCGACGAAGTCAGACTTGGACGGAGAGGGCGCGAACGCAGAGCGCTGGAATGAGATATCACCAACGTCGCGATCGCTATCCGAGGCTTGTGTAAACGGTGAAAACGTCGCTGCACTGCTCGATCGTGTCATTCTCGCCGAATTCGAGCGCTCAAGTCTGCTCGGATTCTGAGGCGAATCCGGTGCCCTGTTCTCGGATGAACCACCAGTGTAACGAGCGAACATGTCAAAGAATTGTTGTCCGTAAGAGTCGCGTCGACGCATTGTCTTTTGCGTGTGATAGCGAGGACTATCAGGGATGGTAGAGCTCGGTCGCTCGTCGAGAACTTGATCGTAAATCTCGATTGGGCTTTGCGCTTTCCAAGCCGGTAAGTCACTCTTTCGAGCCGGCGATGTCGCCTCAGAGCGAGTTGTTCGCAACGGAGAAAGTGGTTGAGCTCGAATGTTTACTGGAGCCTGTTCTGATGACACAGCATCCAACACGGCGCGAAAGGCACCCTTGCTGGGAGCCGACACCGTTCCCGTCGCACCGGCCGATGCGGACGTCGAAGGACGCGATGAAACGTTGTCGCCATTCGAGATAGGGCTCTGCGACGCTGACTTTTTAAGAACGTCGGATGAAGTCGGCGTCGAGTCTGACGTGAATGACAGGGGACTTTCCTTCAACGCAGACATGCCCATCTCAAGTCGATCGCTCGATAAAGACACGGTGTTGTCCTTGCGGGTGGCGGGAATGACGACCGCGGTCGGCGATTCCGGTTCTGCTGCCTTCTTCGCCTTCTCCGCTAAGGCAGAGGCTGATGGTACCGGGGGAGGTGGTTGGACGACCGTCGGCTTCACGGGCACGGGCGCGGGAATAGCGCTCGGCACAGGCGCAGGTACTGGAGCAGGCGCCTCGTCGCCGAGGGCTGACGTTGTTGTCTTGTCCGGGAGCTTCGCCGGGACCGGACCATCCGCAGTAAACGCCATCTTCACTCCATTGACGTAACCCGCCATGCCGAGCACTTTTTTGCTCGTCTGCTCGAGGTCTCTCGAGTTGCTGTTCATCAGCGCGCGCACCGGTAAATCGTACGGTCTATTACCAAATGGTTGTTCGATTTGCTCCGCCGCGGCCTCAATACCGAATAGCGCTAGGGATAGGATCGTCGTGACGGGGACCACTCCCCACACACCAACTTCGTGCACCAAAATCATCGGTAAAGAACACACGTACACCATAAGAGTCGACTTAAGGTGTGTGATGATGCAGCCGGGTGGAGGCTGGTTCACCACCTTCTCGCAACTTCCATAATTGTCCATGATTGCGGCTACCTCGCTGTGAATCGTACTCGCGATGGCGGACGGAACGAAATCCTTTTTGAACGCTTCTACCACGCATGAGCGCAGCGCTTCAATGCAGAACAACACCTTGTTGTCCGCAAGGAACAGACCCTCAAGGTCTCTCGCGTCCAGGGGCGTGGTAAGTTGACTGAGAATCGCACCGTCGTTCAGTACCGTGCCGTTCAATCGATCTGCAACGGTTTCTTTTAATGCACCAATCAAACCAAGCGCGCGCGCGGCGAGCATGGGATCATCAGGAGCCACCCACGTGCAGAACGTCCCGCCAAGATTTTTGCAGTAAAGCAAAATGTTTCCAAGACACGTACGTCCGTACCACCAACGCTCGTGGGCGTTGTTCCATCTGAAGACTAACATAAAGCCCATGGGGAGGCCCAATACGCCGTGCATGAACGGTGATAACTTGAACATGTTTGCCCCGAGACGCACCTTGGCGAACGCCACCGCGCATGCGCACGTGGTGCTCAGCAACGTCGGTTGCAACGGACCAAGCTCGCGATTGATGACCCAGCGAGGGTTACGACCGAAAACTGACGCGAACAATCCTTCGTCACTGAACTCGAGCGGGTTCTCTGGGTAGAGGAACAGTGACGCCAGGAACAATGAGGTGCCGAGGAGGGAGAAGAACACAAGTCGAGTCGTTTTACTCGGATCACGGGTGATCCAAATGTTCAGAATCTGCTGCATGATTCTCACCAGTTCTGTTTCCATCTCGATCCACGCGAGCTCGTACCACGGCGTTCGAAGTACGACCTCGTCGTCGTCTTCGTCGTCCCCCTCTTCATCGTCCTCTTCATCGTCTCCGCCGCCACCGTCTCCGCCCGAGCGGGCGTCATCGCCCCCATTACCACCCCCTATGTCTCCGCTTGACGCCACGAGATCTGTGTCCTCCGCAATGCCTGCCACCGCCGACTTGATCGAACCACCACTCGGTGGGGGCGCGTGTTTTGGTGCGGCTAATTTTTCTCCGCTCTTCTCGACATCCGTCTTCGGCTTGGTCTTCGCCGCCATCCCCGCCTTGGTCGTCCCCGCTACGATCTTTCCATCCTCGCCGCCTTCACCTGTCTCCTTACCGCCCACGCGCTCGCCCTCACCCTCGCCTTTTGTCTCCTTCCCTCGCGGCTCGCGCTTGGACGGCGGTAACAGTTCTTGCTCGCTCAGCACCGCCTTCGGCTTCGGGACCTCACCGATCGCCCCCACGGTGCCGTCCACGCTCCCTCCATTCGGTTTCCTCTTCCCTGTCTCCTCTGAGCCATCATCGTCATCCCGAGTGCGATCGTACGACTCGCTCGAGAAGTCTCTCGAGTCGCTCCAGGACCCAAACGTTCGTTTGTCCAAATCCGCCGAGGATCCGCCGTTCTCCGTCTTCCCTTCGTCTGAGATCGCGAAAACAGCGACGTTCCGAGTCGCACGTGATGTCCAGCTTCCGTTCGACGGCACATTTGTGTCGAGCGACGCGTATACGGCGACGCACGGTCGTTGATTCCATCGCGGATTCGCTCGCGGAACGACCCCAACGACGCGTCGTTTGACGCCGTGCGCGCTCGCTCGAGGGTGCGAGCAGGCGCACGACGCGCGCGACGCGCCGGGATCGACGCGTGCGCGAGGGACGATGCGCATGACAGGTGTCCGAGGTGTGACGAGGACAACGAGTGGGGACGAGGAGCTTACGAAGCGGACTCGGAGGACACAAGGGGCTTTTTCGACCGCAGTCAGTATCATTTACATGTGCGCGCTCGCGCGTCGTTTGGGGCGCTTTGAATCGCGCGCGCTCGCGGAGCGAGTACGTTTTACGTCGTCCTCACGTCGTTCCGTTTCCGAGCGCGCGGTCACACGGAGCGCCATACGCAGGCGGCTTCGGCGGTTTCATCGCCTCCGAAGCTCGTCGCGAACGTCAGCGGCGATTTTATCGTAATCGAACCCCGCCGGGTACCGTTGAACGACCCTTCCGGTGTCATCGACCAAGAATTTCACAAAGTTCCACTCCACGGGAGCCGACGTCGCGAGCTCACCGAAGATTGGATTGTCCCTTAGGCGCGTCGGCTCGAAGAGGATGTCCACCACCTCCTTCGAGCCGAAGTCGTGTCTCAACTCCTCCTGCGATCCCATCTGATGCCCGAAATCATCCGTGGGGAACCCTAAAATTGCCAACCGATCGCCGAACTCATCGTGCAATCGCTTGAATCCATCGACGTTGGCCTTTTTGTATCCTCAGTGACTGGCCACGTTTGTAATCAACCGCAACTTCCCGCTCTGCGCGCCGAAACCGACCGCGCCGCCGTCAATGTCCCGGAGTAATCCGTTCTCGATCGTCTCGAGCAGATGCATCGCTCGTCGCGCGTCCACGTCGACCATCGACAGCGAGCTCTGGCGCACAAGCGCGGCGTCGCGACTCGCCAGAGTGAATGGTCGAGTCAGCCTCCAGAAGAAGAAGACCGAGCACAGAAGGACGATGGCGACAACGACGTTGGAGCGTCCACGTCGTTCATGATCGGGCGAGATGCGTCCGGAGCTGGGCGTCCGCTTGCGGCGGACGCCGTGCTCGACGTCCATGCGCGGCGCTGTCTGTGGGTCAGTGGGCAGCGGGCGAGCGCGTTAGTGTTACACGTGCCTCGTTAATGTTACACGTCGCGCTGTGGCTTGCGCTTGCCCTGTTCCGAGGCGGCTATCTGACCCTCCCACTCATCCTTGAACCTACGGTAGATGTACAGCGCAGCGAGGGCGTCCTCGGCGGGATCGTGGGAGTCGCCGCACTGTATCTTGAGCGAGACAAAATCCCGAGCGAGGTGCCTGAGCCTTCGAGGCTTGAGGAATCTCGGTGGACGAAGAAGCGGGCGCCAAACCGCGGTGTCGCGAACGTCCTCTCGAGGATGATGGAGTTGGAGTGCTTTGAAATCGTTCTCGAGCGCGTGACCGACGACGACGCGCCCCTTAATGAGCTCAGCAACTGTGCACCGGACCTTGTGAAACTCCGGTGCGCTCTCGTCCACGTGTCTCTGTGAAATACCCGACACTTGCGTGCGATAATCGGTGACAGCCCTGTAGGCACGGCTATAAGACGTGTATACGGTATTTCCGTGCTCGTTAAGGACGCAAACTTGGGCAAGAATGCTCTCTAATCCGCCGTCGCCAACACCGACCATCTCGCAATCAAGCGCCAAGACATCCGTAATCGAAAAGTCATTGTTCAATGGCTTCGGTCGAACGAGCTCTTTAACACCGTCCATCTTTTTGACGTTTCTACTCACGTCCGTGTGCGCCTTCCTTCGCTCCTCGCTCGATCCGGTTCCGTCGATGCACCCGTTCCCGGTCGCCGGCGAGCGCACGATGAAGCGCTCTGTCAACGCTCTCACCACGTCCGCTCGCCACAACGCGCGCACGAGATGAAAGAATCCGTCCTTATCACTTGCGTCCGGAACGAAAGACGGCTCTTCGGTCGATCGCATCCCTACCGCCGCGAGCTGATCCGCCCTGGCGTTGTCAGTGTGATTCCCGCCTACGTGCGCGCGCACCTTTTGAATAATCGTACCCCCCGTTCGTTGGCTCAACACAAACGCCGCCCCGATCGTCACTGCGTTCACTCGCATTCCAACCACGTTCCCCGACGTCAACCTCTCGAGCGCCTTGCATACCCACCTCGAATCACTCCTCAACTCGAGCGGCGCCTCGCCATCGTGCCGACTCAGCGCCGCGTACACCGCGCACATCTCCACCGCGTTATTATCCATCGACCGCCCCGACGCACTCGCAGCGTAATTCAACCTATGCCCGTACGCATACCACACCCCCACACCCGAACGTCCTCGCTCGAGCTCGACTCCCCCGTCGACGTGACACTGCTCGACGCGCGAACTGCCGCTCGCGCCGCGTCGTCCCTTCGCCACCTCCGTGGGCGCACACGACACTCGGACGTCGGGGAATAGGCTCGAAAACAATCGCTTGAGCGACGGCACCCATCTCCCAAGCGTTCGAACGATGACGAAGCGACAGAGAAAAACCAACAACTCGAGCCGCAGCCGCCAAACGACGAACCATCTTCCAACGCCCATGCCTGTGCGCTCGCGCCCCGAACGCCGCTAGAAACGAACTCCGACGGACGCGATAATTCGTCTGACAACGCGTTCGCGTAAATCTCAATCCACGCGCGCGTCGAAGTGTAACCCGAGCGTCGTCGCTCGACCTGGACACAAAACGCGAGCGTCCGCACACACAAACGCTCACGACCGCTCCAGTCCTCGCGCGCGCGCTCGAGGTTGAAACGAAACCATCCACGCGTCGCGCGCGCGTCCGTGAAGCGCGTCGAGAGAGCCACGATGGAGTACGTCTCGTTCGAAGGTTTACGCCTCGACGGCCGCCGAGCGAATGAGATCCGCCGACCGCGTCACGCGTTCGCCATCGACGCCCAGTGCGATGGGAGCGCGCGATTCGAGTTAGGGAACACCGTGATCGAGTGCCGCGTGGACGGACCGAGCGAACGGAAGTTCGGTGGGGCGGAAGAGGGGGCGAGCGAGGCGTGCGCGTTGACGTGCTCGCACGGACGAAGCGCGTTCGCGAGCGACGGCGTCCAGGCGGGGAGGAAGGGTGACGGACGGTCGAAACAGTTCGAGAGTGTCTTGGCGAAGGCGTTGACGAGCGCGGTGTGCGTTGATTTGATGCCGAGGTGCGAGGTGCAGGTGCGCACGACGGTGCTGTGCGACGATGGAGGAGCGCGGGCGGCGAGCGCGTGCGCGGCGGTTCTCGCGCTCGCGGACGCTGGGATCCCTTTAAAGGGGATCATTGGTTCGTGTACCGTGGGGCATCTCGACGGCGAAGCGCTGATCGATGTGAATCGAGACGAGGAACGCGGACGGGGACCAGAGCTGTGGACGTGCGCGCTGAGCGCTGGAGACGTCCCGGATGACGACGAAAACGAGGATGATGGGGAAGATCACCTCATGGGTGCTACCGGGAATCATATCACGGTGATCGTCGAAGAGCTTGAGCGCGGGAAGACGACGATGGAGACGTTCAAGTCCATGCACGACCTTGCGCTCGCTGGATGTGAGACCTCGGCGAGGTATCTCAGAATATCACTCCGAGCGCGAACCAGAGCCCTAGCCGCCACGCGCGCGCTCGAAAAGTTCTAGACTAGAGACACGCGTCAGTCTCCACCGAGCGCGTCGTCCCTGGATCATCGCGTCCTATTGTTAGCTTCCCAATGAAACGTCTCGTTATCGTCCTCTCGCCGCTCCAACAGACTCCGCGCGCTTCGTTCGTCCCTCACACCTCGCCATGCACGAATTCGAGCGGGAGACGCGCGATGCGTCGCAATCGAGTACGGAGAACCCATCGCGCTCGCCCCGGACGCGTAGAAGCGCAAAGTGTGCGAGAAAGTCGTCCCAAGAGGATGCGGGACCGAGTCTGTTGGGATTCTGCACCGTCGACGCCAAGACGCTTGGCGCTTCGACCGCGAGCGCGGTGAAGTACGAGGAACCGCTCGAGTGTGGACAGGTGCGTTGTGATTCGCGTCGTTGAGAGAGTTCAGGCGATGCGAGCGCTGGTGAGGATGCGAACGGGACGCGACCAGGACGTGCAACGCGCGAGGCAAAGACGACGATTTTAAAGAGCGCGCGAAGGGTAGTGGTGGTGATTCTATACGACTAACGATGTGTAAATCGATTCCCGTTTGTAGGTAAGCAAGCGACGGGACGAGCGGTTGACGACGTACGACGCGTCAAATCTTCGGCGCCTGCGAGGCCCGAATGCGGGTGCGGGCGCCGATCTAAATCGCGGGTTCGGCACGTTCAAGGATCGAGATCGACGGGAGATTTACCCGGCACCGGTAAATGATATCTTCGGCGCGATCGAGGCGAGCGGGCAGACGAAGGTGTTGGAGGATGTGGACGTCGTCACGTGGCGTGGGAACGTGAGCAAACTGCTCACGACTGCATGGAATAAGAGCGACTCGTGGACCATGGAGGCTGAGCTGGTGAATAAAACCATCGTATTGAACGTCAAGGAAACGGAGGAGGGAATGCGGAAAGTACTCGTGCGAGACGAATGCGAGGAGCGGATGTGTTACTGGGGATATGCATTCGAAGAGGCGGCTTGCTCAGAGAAGCCGTTTGAGGAGCCGGTGGACTGCATGGAGAATTTTTGCTGCGTCATCAAGACCAAGTTAGGAGATTTGAACATTCTCATGTGTGGAGAGGTGGATTGTTTCGACGGAGGCGACGCGGAACTCGCGAACTTTGTCGAGCTTAAGACGTCACGCGTCATGACCAACGAGAGAGAGGTTAAGCGGTTCGAGCGAGAAAAGCTCTTGAAATGGTGGGCTCAATCGTTCGCTATGGGCGTTCGTCGCATCATGGTGGGATTTCGCGACGATCGTGGTCGAGTGGTGAAGACGCAGATGCTCGAGACGTTGAAGCTTCCGGGATACGTCGCTAAACATCCAAACGCGTGGAATTCGAAGGACGCATTGCGATGCGCCTTGGTGGTACTGACAAAATTGAAAGAGCTGCTATCGCATGAACCGAGCGGGGTGCGAGTGCGAGTGGAGTACGAACCAAAGAAGGTGGCGCATCGTGTGAACTTTATTCGAGACAACTCGATACCGGATTTCATCCCGGAAGGGGCTCGAGCCAAGCTGATGAGCGGCGGCTCGTGGCCCCAGAACGATTTACCGGCACGAGCGATGACAAAGACGCCCGCCGGGTCGGAGGCGCGCGACGCCGCGCCCGAACTCTCCGAGACGGCGTCTGCAATGAGTATCAGGGCGTCCGCCGGAACGAACAGGTTGGAATACATTCGCTCGCTCGGTCCTGCCGCGCTGCTTTACATGCAAGGTAAGGATCCGAGAAGAAGTCTGCGCGGACGCATCGACGACGACACCATGGGCGGGATCGGGATCGATCCTTCGGCGTGGATGCAAAACACGCACGGTGTCGTGTCCATCTCGCGCGCTGCGTCTTCGGGGGTCAAGGACCGGAAGCGCGCTGCCGAGGAAGAAAACGATAACACATTCGATGGCGGAGCGAACTAGGTGGCACGCACACTTTAGCTTTACAAGAAAAAGTCATCAAAACTTGCGAGCAGATTACTCGTCGTCGGCGTCTTCAGGGCTCGAGCCTCCACCGTCCGCTTCGGCCGCGTCACCATCCGTGATGTCTTCAAAGAGCGACCCAAAACCGTAGTCTTCGTCGGACTCCTCGCGCTCGCGCTGCTTCTTCTCGCGCTCCTCGCGCTTCTTACACGCTGCTTCGTCCAATTTCTTCCCTCGCTTATCGCTGCCGCACCCCTCGTCGTTATCATCCTCATCGTCATCGTCATCGTCATCGTCATCTTTGTCGTCTCCATCATCCTCCCCCCCACCCTCGCCCGGGCGGTGCCTTAAGAATTTTGAGAATCTCCTCTTCGTCTGCTCCACCGCCCGTCTGCGATCGTACCGCCCTGTGTGTCGACGACTCACCACGCGCGAGGCGTCCGCAAAGCTCACCACGGCAAACGGCATCGACAACGCCCGAGCGACGCCCGAGACGACGTCGACGTCGACGCCAATCGCGCGCGTCGTCTCGGACCCACCGAACGCCAGCGCGGTGGCGGCGCACCCAACGACGAGCGCTGACGATACTCTCCATCCACGTCCGTTCGCCCGTCGCGTTCTCGGCGTCGGCGCGAACGACGACATCGACCCAAGTCGCCGCCCACGACGCGGTCGCCAACACCCTCCACGCGCGCCACCGCGCGTCGCCGCCCCCACCGCGCCCGTTCGCGTCTCGCGCGCGCGACACCGTCGCGGACCGCTCGCGGGCGATCGTTCCGCACCGCGCGCGCGTTCGCGGTCGTCGCGCGCGCGGCGGGGGCGCGTCGTCGCGTCGACCGCGCGACGGTCCGCGACGGACACGACGAGACTTCGCGGGCCGGGCCGTCTCGCGAGGAGGCCTTTTGGTTGTTTTTTCGTTTTTCCATGTCGGCCCGGCGCGGCGTCGGCGTCGACGTCCGGCACGACGCGCCGTCCGCGGCGCCGGACCCGCGCCCGGGCGCGTCGAGCGAGGGACGACCGCGCGGCGCGCGCGCGCGGGGACTGGACGGGGGAAGATACGGTGGCGACGCGCGCGGGGGTGGGGCGTCCGCGGTGGAATCCACGGTCGGGGCGAACGAACGACGACGACGACGACGACGACGATGTTCGCGTCGACGACGACGATGTTCGCGTCGACGACGACGTTCGCATCGATCACGGCGAGGTTCCGTGGTCGTCCGACGCGCGCGAACGAGGGACGAACGCGCGCGGGGACGGGAGCGGCGTCGTTCGAGCCGCCGAGCTCGAGCGCGAGCGCCAAGCGCGTGGCCGAACTCCGAGCGGCGCTGGAGGGGGTTTTAGGGAGCGATGAGGTGCGGGCGATGCGCAAGCCCGAGCTCAGGAAGGCGTACGAGGCGCTGATCTCGAGGAAAGGGGTGGAGATGGAGAATACGGAGGGGATTGGAGGGGCCGAGCGCGTCGAGGCGGAGGCGAAGGCGGAGGCGTCGAGCTCGTCGATGAGAAAGCCGCGGACGGTGATGTCGAGTAAGGTGTTCGACGCCGTCGGTGTGTCGTCGGAGGAGATGGAACGTGAGGTGAAATCGAATTTCAGCGGGACGGAGTTGACCTTTTTGGGAACCTCTAGCGGAGCGCCGAGTTTCACGCGAAACGTCTCGAGCGTGGCGCTGCGATTGGAGAACGAGGTGTGGTTGTTCGATTGCGGCGAGGCGACGCAGCATCAGTTGATGCGATCGAAGTTGAAATATGCGAAGATCACAAAGGTTTTCATCACGCATATGCACGGCGATCATATCTTTGGTTTGCCGGGATTGATTTGCGCGATTAGCGGCGCGCGCACGGCGTACGCAAAGGCGCACCCGACCATGGGGAAGACGGTGCAGCCGTTGCACATCATAGGCCCACCGGGGATTCGGCAGTACATCTACAGCTCGATCACGTACTCCAGATCGGTGCTCGGGATGCCGCTCATCGTGACTGAGCTTCGGCACACCGCGAGAGCGGGAACGCCCGGCCCACACGTATCGGTGGACCCTCGAGGGAAGATTTTCATGGGAGAGTACTGGCCCGATAACGCCTCCGAGCCGGTGCCGGCGTTCAAGGACGCCGGTTCTTGGGCCAAGCTCGGGGCGGACGGCCAGATGCCGGTGTGGACGGCGTTCAACGACGGGACGTTTTGCGTCCGGGCCACAGTGCTTCGACATCCCGTGCCGTGTTTCGGATACATCATCGACGAGGCCGACGCGGCGGGACGCTTGGATCCGGAGAAGTGTCGGGAACTCGGACTTCCTCCTGGAAAGGAATACTCCATGTTAAAGGATGGGCACGCGGTAACCGGTAAGGATGGACGAGTGATTCGTCCCGAGGACGTCATCGGAGCTGCGCGCCCGGGACGACGCCTCGTGCACCTCGGAGACACGTGTGACAGCAGTGCCATCGTGGCTCTGGCTCAGGGCGCGGATACCCTCGTCCACGAATCAACATTTAGCTCGGACAAATATCACGAGGCTCTGTTTAAGGGACACTCCACGGCACGAATGGCTGGGGACTTTGCTCGACAGGTGCACGCTCGGTCGCTCATTCTCACGCACTTCTCCAACCGATACGCCGGAGGGGTCAACCGCGCGAATTCCGATTCGGATGACCTCGGTGTGGACGTCGACGACGGAGAAGATGACACCGAAGACATGGCGCCGCCCGACGGCTCCGAGGGCGAGAACATCGAGCTCCATCACATGCACGTGGACAGACTCGTCGAGGAAGCGGCGGAGGCCAAGGGGGACTCTCGCGTCATCGCCGCGAGCGATTTCTTCGTCTTCAACATCGCCCGACGGGAGACGTTCGACGATTTCGATCGATGCAAGGGTAACCGCGAACACTTGTTCGAAGGCGAACAGCGAACGCTACCCGACACCGTCATCGCCGACGATTCCGGGCTCGACGGGGGTCGCTCGAGGCACACCGACCGCTCCGCCGCGCGCTCAACTTCACGCACCCGCCGTCCCGTCGCCGGTCGCGCCCACGCCCGCGATGAAAAGTATTAATCACTAGTTTGTATACTTCGCGATGAATTCATAAACCATTCGACACAGAGCCCCGCGTCACCCCTCGCGCGTCCACCGTCCGTCCCGATGATCCCGCCCTATCCGCCTTGCGCGCGCTCTGCATTCATCCATGCCACACAAAACGACGCGTCATGCACGGCCGATCTCTCGTCCGACCGTCGGTGACGACATCGTCGCCGTGTCTTCGACACGGTCAGAGCTCCCGACGATCCGTCGTCGCGCACGGTAAGAAAAAATCAAAACAAAACTCCGAAGGCGGCGGCGCCGCCGTCGGCGAGAAATCGGTGAAAAAAGTCGACCCGAAGATGGCGAAAGCGGCGCGGGACAAGGCCCGGAAGGCTTTCGCGACGAAGATGCGCGCGCTAGTGAGCGACCAAGGGCGGGCGTACGAGAAGATCGTCGATCAGATGGGTCGCGAGAACTCACGGGAGTACGTGCTGAGCGTTCGGCACGCGCCGAGCGCGAATAAAGACGTCGTGGGTAACGATGCGGTCGGCGTCCTGAGCGATTGGTTGCCGGTGTGCGAGGTCGTCGTTGCGGATAGGAAGGCTTACGAGGCGCAGATGTACTTTAAGAAACAAGGGATGGCGGTACCGGAGACGGAGCAGATGTCGTTGGAGAGCGCACAAATTGAAGGCGTTCCTGCGGTGCGGATGATGCTGCCGAAATACGAGGAACACGTGGCGGCGATGGCGTTCGTCATGGCGGGGGCGAAGGAATTGAACATGTCGGAGATCGAGTACGGGCTGGAGGACTGGGGATCGTTCGAGTGTGCCGTAGATTCGCTCGCGGCGCAAGTGAACCAGAGCGGCAAGTTTGAAGCCGCCGCAAAGCTCTTAGGGGTGTGCGCCGACGACGAACCGTCTGAGATCAAAAAGGTCTATCGCAGACTCATCGCGGAGGCGCACCCGGATCGTAACCCGGATGCGACGCAAGAGCGCTTCAACGCCATCAAGGATGCGTACGAGCTGTTGTGCGGCCGTGGAGACACCGCAGGGACAACGTATGAAGGCCTGGGAGATCATCGCCGAGACTTCGTTGCGCTCGATAAGAGCCACTTCGGGGTAACGACAGCAGACAAGGGCCAGACTGATCCGGCGTCCATCGCGTTCGCCATGCGCACGCTCACGATTTACGACCGCGTGGGAACTGTGTTCACTACGCGTAATCTGAAGCTTGCGCAAAAGACAGCCGCCAAGGCTGCGAGCGAGTGCGCGGTCAACGTATAATAGTCGCGATACTTATCCGTTATCTTGTTGTGTCAGTAGCGCGTGCGACGGCGACGACGCGGTTGTCGAATACAAAATTCATCATGCAACTCTCTTGACGCATTCAAGCTCTTGAAGATTACAACGTTAACGCATCTTCAAGCGTTCGAATGTCTCGTTTTGTTTACTACCACCCACAACTCTCGTCAAAGCAGTCGCCCCACTAAGAACCCACATGAAGAAGAAAACGCGTGCGATTTACGCAGACTTCTTGTCCTTCTTGTCCGACGCGCGGAAGCGCTTCGGCGGGTCGCGGATACGTCGCGCCTCACGGGATCGCACGCGCACAACCTTGCTGTGGATCGCCGCGGAGATGCTGTAGTACACTTTTCTGTAAAGCTTCGGCAGCGTGTACGACTCAAAGGCGCACGATTCTTGCAAGTCACGAATCGCCGCGGACTCGACGATGTTGCGAACCATGAAACGCCTCACCGCCTTGTCCTTCGGGACAAGGGCGCCACTGGATTCGCAGAACACGCGCTTGACCTGTGGTTCGAGTGAACGAGCGCGTCATCATGCGTCAGTCTTCGTTCCGAGCGTCGCTCGCTCCCACACTCTCGTGTCTCTTGACTGTGAGGACAACCGTGTCCCGTGTCCCGTGTCCCAAGGTTAGACCTCTCACACCAACCAGGGCTTTCGACCGATCGCTCCTCGTCCCGTCGCTTCCCGGCCGCTCGCTCTCGCTCGAGCGCCGACGATCGATCGAAGAGAATACTTTCATGTCCGTTGACATCGCGCGCTCATCGCACACGACGTCGCACGCGCGACGACACACGAACGCGTCGTGCCACCGCTCGATGTGCGCGAAAGCCCTAACGCATAATCGAGATCGCGTCCTCGCTCGCGCGCGCGTTCGATCGAGCTCAAAACGTACGTGTCCTCGGGCCCCAGCGGGCTTGTTACGACCATTCGCGCGGCGCTTCTTCGGCATCTTCGACGTGTGCGTCGCAGAGAGACGGCGCGCGCGACGCGCGCGCGGGCGAGACGGGCGACGTTGGCGTCGCGACGAGGTCAAAATTATATATTATACGCCATTAAACCCCATAATAACACACACCACGAGTGAAGAGTCGTCAGGGCGATTTCGAGTCCCCGCGCTTGGAGAGCCGTATGAGCAACCAGTCGTCTTCGTCCTCCCCGAACGGGTCCGCCTCGCCGCGTAACCCGCACGTCTCGGCGTGTTCGAAGAAATGGGCGACCTGGCCCCAATCGCCTCGGTCCTCGAACCCGATGATGACGACGGTGTCATCGTCGGCGAGCGCGGCGATCGTGCTCGCGAGCGCTCGGCAGGTCGCGCGCGATTGGGAATACATGACGTCCGTGCCGACGATGAGATGCGGACGCTCGCCGTCGTTTTCACGCACGTACGTCTCCACAAACGCTTGGACGGCGTCCCACTCGCTCGCGTTCGCGCTCGTGGGCGACGCCCAACGCAGGCGCTTACACTCGGCGCGCGAGCCGCCGCTCGCCGAGACGTTCTCGCTCAACAACCGCACGTTATCGTCCGTGATCGTCGATCTCTTCGCTCCGATTCGCGCGAGCACGATCCCCAACAGTCCAATCCCCGCACCGACCTCGATCACGCGCGTGTCCGGCGTGATCACCAGCTCCTTCGCCAACGCGCACGTCTCCGCCCGCGTTCGACCTCGCCCGTCGTCCCGCGCCGTCTCCCGCGCCCCTTCCGACGTCTTCCATCTCTGCGTCGCGTCGCAAAACGCTTCGGCGACCGCCCGACACATGGGCCACACCACCGTGGACGTGTCCGCCTCGAACGCCTCGCTCCCGCTTCCACGCTGTCGCACCTCCACTCGACCGCCATCGATGACGGTTCGCCTCGCCCTCGGCCCCGGCGCCGCCGCGTCCGCGGGCTCGATCGCGTCGTGCGTCACGATCACCGCGCGCGCGCGCTGATCGACGTTATGTATGCGAGACCAATCCTCGCTCGGGTCCATCGCGCGCGCGTCGTCGTCGGCGGCGTCGTCGGCGTCGTCGTCGTCTCTCCCGTCGTCGGCGTCGCGATGCGCGAGACGTCGTCGACGGACGCGATGCCCACGGACGCGGCGGCGAGGACGACGAGCGAGACGCGCGCGCTGTTCGGGGCGGCGCGCGCTGTTCGGCGGCGCCGTCGCGCTCGCGCTCGCGCGTCGATTTCGCGACGCGAGCGCGCGCGCGCCGGTGCCGAATCATCAAGAGGTTTTCGTCGACGACGCGTCCGAGGAGAGCGTGCACGTGGAGCTGGTCGAGCGCGAGCGCGAGCGAGGGGTTGGGTTTTATCTGGACGATTGGATCGAGGCGTGCGAGGGGGAGAAGATCGGGCGAGGGCGAACGGAGGGAGGGACGTGTCGAGGCGCGATGCGCGCGAGGCGAGACGGCGTCGCGCGCGTCGTGGACGTCTTTGGGTGCGTGATCGATTTGGAGCGCGTGAGCGCGAGAGCGTTGATCTGGCATTGTCGACCGCGTTTGAGGGAGGAGTCGGACGACGCGACGATGACCGGGACGGCGGACGACGCGGACGACGCGGACGCGCGCGCGGCGAGCGACGTCATCGAATCGTGCGCGTCCTCGTTCAAGGTTTTAGATTGGGGATTGTTCGATGCGTGAAGACGCGTCGTCGCTGTAGTCTAGATGTAACATCGATCATCGCGTTGACCCGCGCGCTTTGACGTCTAACCGCGCGCTTTGACGTCTAACCGTCGACGGAGCCGCCGCGCGCCGCACTCCTCGTCGTTCGACGCCCTGAAACGCGCGTTGAACGCGTCGTGGTCCACGAAGACAAGAACGTGGAAAATGGTCACGTCGCCTCGCGCGTCGATAAAGAGCGAGTGCGAGTGCGAACGTGAGGCGTTTCGCTCTTGGATTGGAAAGATTAAAAATCGCTCACCGATCGCCCCGCCGTCGCTCACACCGCGCGACGCGAACGAAACACCGTCGACGTCCGACGCGGACATTCGTAAGCGCGCGAAAGAGCTTCTGCTCGCGGCCGGAACCGCGGTGCGCGTGTTGGAGGTGGTGGCGGAAGGCGACGGCACGGAGCTCGAGCTGGGCGGGACACGAGAGACGCTGTATCGCGTCTCGGCGACGACGTCGCGAGGTGTGGAGCTCGTTAGGTTCGACGACACGCTCCCACCGAGGAGATGCGTGTTGAGGGATGAGTTCTGCGACGTCACGAGGGGGTTAGAGCTGTTGATGATGAACATGGGAGCCGGCGCGCGATGGCGAGCTCGATGCGACTGGAGCGTCACGTATGGCCACGCAAGCGCGATTGAGAGGAACTTGGCGAGGGATTCGAGAGTGAAAGAGGGTGATTCGATCGTGTATGACGTCGAAGTGTTGAATCACGTTCCAGTGCACGCGGTCAAGGTGCGAGAACCGGAGGATGGGTCAGACGTGGAGCTCGACGCGGGCGGTCGAGCGAGGTGCACAAAGAAGACGACGACGACTGGGAGCGGTTGGGAGACCCCGAGACCACCGTTTGAGGTCGCCATAGAGGTAAGTGCTATGTTGATCAGAAGCGGTGAGCGTGAGGAGGAGGAGTTTGTGGAGAAGAAAACGGTGTCGTACGTTGTCGGCGACGGCAAAGTACCTCTGGCGCTGGACACCGCGGTGCGAACGATGCGGCTGTATGAGGAGGCGCTCGTCTGGACAAACTACGGTGGATTCGGGAAGAACGCGAAGTTTAGCGCGATGTCAAGGGCGAACAGATTAGTTCCTGCGTTACCGCGAGACGAGTCGGAGCTCCCGGACGGGGTCGCGTACAAGGTGAAGCTCGTCTCAATGCGACAGGTGCGAGACGTTTTCAACGACGGGACGACGAAGAAGACGCGCACGCGCGACGGTCGCGGTATCTTTCCTTCCGATTGCCCCATGAATGATTGCATGGTGCGCGTGCACTTCGTCTTGTCCACCGCCACCTCCACGGGCACGCACAGCACTCTGGCGAAGAGATACGACACTCGCTCTGACGCGGCGCTTCAGGGTAAGCCCTTCGAGTTCCGCCTCGGATGCGGCGCCCTTCCCGAAGCTTTGGAGACCTCAATTCGACTGATGATTCCCAAGGAGGAATCAAGAGTCGTCCTGGATCAATCGCTCGGTCAACTTGCTCGTGAACGGGGATACGGAGCGGAAAATTGTCGTCCAGACGCCCCTGGAAGTGACGTTGGATCAAGCCCATCCGTGGCAATCGTGCAATGGGACGTGGTTTTGGAATCCTTCGACGCGGCGGTGAATTGGTATAAAGCGGACGTGAACGATATGCTCGAGGAAGCGCTCATCATCAAGGAAGAGGCGAACGCGCTCTTCAAGACTGGTACCTTCGAGCTCGCTCGAGCGAAGTACGAAAAGACGCTTCACAAGCTCGAAAGTCTTCGAGGCCTGGACGACAAGGACTTTGAGCGCGTGGAGACGATGAAAATCACGCTCGCGCTCAATCTTGTGGCGAGTTTACAAAAGCTACACCAGCATGTCGAGGCGTTGCGACGGGTGAACAAGCTGTTGGAGGCAAATCCGGAAAACGCCAAGGCTTTGTTCCGCCGCTCGGTGTCCCATCTCGCTCTCCACGAATTCATCGCTGCTCGTGACGATTTATTCGCGTGTCTCGACGCGAATCCGACTTTACAGAGCACCGTGGCGAAGCAACTCAACCTCGTCAAGCGAACGGAGCAGCAAGTCGCCGCGTGTGAGCGCGCCAACTTCAAATTCAACAAACTCTTCTAGGCGCGATGAAAATTCATGACATGCCGTGACGATCGTCATCACATAGACTAAGACGCTAAATGAAATACTTCGCCATCTGCACCTCTTTCCTCTTGAACCCACATCGCTCATAGAACCCGACGTTGGACTCGTTACAATCCAGGATCACCTTGTAGCAACCGCACGCCTCCGCCGCGCGCGTGAGCGCCTCCACGATTACACGTCCGAGATCTCTCCCTCGCTCGCCCTCGTCCACGACGACATCCTCGATGTGTCCACACGTCCCGCAATTCCTAGTAAACTTCCGCTCGAGCACCAAAGTGCCGCTCGCGACTATCCGCGATCCGTCTTCGCTCTCGATCACGTACACGCGCTCGCACCCGTTCGTAATCTCTCGAAACCGTCGACCGAAGTCCCCTTTCCCGACCTCGGTGAGCTGAGACAACAGTTCGTAGAACCCCTTCGACGCGTCGCTTGCGCGCAGGCGACGCACTTTGGTCGGTTTTCCATCCCCGGACTTTCTGTTTGGAATGAACAGCGCGCTCGGCGGCGTCTTCTTGTCGAGCCGCAACGCCTCAAATCTTCGAAAGAGGGCGCTGGCGACGAGACCGAGGACGAATGAGAAAGAGCCGCGCTTGGTGACGTAGAGAGTGTTCGAGGGCATGGTTCGTGGACGACGCGCGTCGCGAAGTGAACCGAAAACTGGCGAAGTGAAGGAAAACTGGAAACCAGCGCACGAGCGGGTGACGTTCGGATGAAAACTCAGAGCTAGTTCTATACGATTACGAGGGAGGTTGCGTGGACTCGACGTCGTTGGTGTCGGCATCAGGGTCGTCGATGCACGCAATGGAGCCGCACATCAATCCACCGGAGTCGTCATCTAAAAAGAGCTCGATGACGGTGGACGCGATGACAAAGGCTGCGCTCGCCCAGAAGCACGCGGCGAAGCCGTCGACCGTGGAACCGACGTAAGAATATAGCGCACCACTGACGATGGTGCCGATGAGACGACCGAACGCGTTGGCCATGTAGTAGAAACCGACGTTGATGGCCACTTTGTTGCCCTCGGCGTACTTGACCACCAGGTACGAATGAACGGCGGAATTCACCGCGAACAGGAACGCGAACACGAAAACAGCGATGAAAATGACGAGACTCTTCGCCTTGCTATCCCCCGGGTGGTCCTGAAACACCCCCGACTGCACGAAACCGCCCAAGAAGAGCGGCACGGAGACGAGCGCAAAATTCCAAACCACCGCCGTGTGTTTATTCGGCGGATTCTGCCTAAGTGGTTGAAGAAAGAGCTGCGGCGTCCACGCCTGAAGCTGTCCGTAGACGATGATATATCCCGCAAGCATGGCCCCGACGGCGGATCGGGGCCATCCCATGCCCTCAGCGCTTCGCAGGAAGAATGGCAGCGGGACCTCGAACCACAGGTCCCGACTTCCAAACAAGAACATCCGGCTCAGCGACAATACGTTCATGTTGTAGTTTTGCTTGAACACCGCGCTCAGGGTTATGTTCTCCTTTCCAACGCGCCCGAGCGAGGAATCTAAACCAAAAATCCCGAACGGAAGCGCGACGACGATGATTCCGATTTGCGTCCACAGTGCCGCCTCGTAACTCACCCCGAGCATTGCCGCGCCGATGAAGTATCCCACGCCCTTGAAGCTATTCTTCAATCCCGTGATCGCGCTCACGAGCTTAAACAAAGAGTTCTGCTTATCATCCGGCGTCACCAGCTTGGTCACCGTCTTCCCACCGAGCTTTGTCAAATCCTTCGCGATTCCGCACAAAGCCTGCGCGCACGTCACAAACACTATCGCCCGTCCTCGTCCCCACGCGTCGTCCCACGCGAATAACATCCCGATCCCCCCAATCTGAAGCACCAAGCCGCTCACCAACGTTTGCCTGATCCCGAACCTCGCCCCCGCGATGCCGGCGACGAGATTTGTCACCGCCCCGCACAGCTCGTACAGCGTGAACGTCGTCGCCACCTCCATCGCGGTGAACCCCGTCGCGTACGCGTGCATCAACACCAACATCCGCACCGCACCGTCGGTGAGCGTGAACAGAATGTACGACAACGACACCACCGCGAACGGGCCGATCGCCGATCGCTTTCGCGTCTCCACGGCATCGCCCGCCATTCCTCACCGTCGCCTCGCGCCGATTCTGCCCGTCGCGCGCGTTCGCCGATCGTCCTCCACCGCCCCGCGCGCCTCGCGCGGCTCGATCGCGTTCGGCGTCGGTACGATTCCCCGCGCGCGCGCGTTCGGCGACGGGATCTCGCGCGTCGCCACGTGCCGCGCGCGCGGTCCGAGCGTGCGGTGACGATACCGCGAAGAATATTCTTCGTCACCGTTCGGTCGGCACTCATCGACGCGCGCGCGATGCCGGCGCCCGCGCGCGTGCGCGCGCTGGAGCACGCCGGAGATTTACGGGATAAGATTGTGCTCGTGCGCGTCGATCATAACTGCGTGAAGAACGGCGTGGTGCGGGACGCGTACAGGATCGAACAGAGTTTGCCCACGTTGTACAACATTGTCGAACGCGGTGGACGACCGATCCTGATCACGCACGTGAATCGCCCGAGAGACGGCGCGGATGGATCGATAACGATCGATAAGTCGCGAGACGGCGTGGACGCGGTCGTGGATGTGCTGCGGCGAATGTTGGGGGTGACGTTTGCGGCGCCGACGTTCGGGACGGCCGGTCGAGGCGACGGCATCGCGAGCGTGGACACGTCGATTAATTTTCTATTGGACGATCTTCGAGCGCGAAGGATCGGGGGAATATATTTACCGAACTCGAGGTGGTTCGCTGGGGAGGAGGCGAAGGCGGGGTCGGAGGCGTACGAAGCGTTCTCGAGGCAACTCGCCGGTTTGGCGGACGTCTTCGTGAACGACGCATTCGGGTCGTGGCAGCCGCATGTATCGACGGTGGGGGTGACGAAATATTTGCCCAGTTACGCCGGGTTGTTGATGCAGCGCGAGTTACGGGCGGTGGAGGCGGTGTTGGAACCGGTGAGACCGTTCGTCGCGGTGGTGGGGGGATCAAAGCTTGATACGAAAATCGAGACGCTCAATGCGGTGGCGTCGCGGTGTGATTCGCTTGTTCTCGGCGGGGTGGTTTACAACGCGTACTTATGCGCGAAGTATGGGGTCGAGATCGAAGGCGTGAGCGAGCGCGATGTCGAGCTCGCGGGTCAACTTCTCGCGCCCGAGACGCAAGCAAAGATAATCGAACTCCCGGTCGTCGTGGAATCCACTTCACTGCAAGGCTGCGGATGCGTTCCAAAAGAGGGTGAGTGTGGGAAACCAATGGAGGGAGCTGGAACGACGCGACCTCTTCATATCGATCAGTTGCAGCGCGGAGCGAGCTATGGGTACGTCCTGGATGTCGCCGCAAGCTCGTTCGAGGATGAAAAAGTGAAGCTCGCAATGCAAGGCGCAAAGACAATCTTCGTCAACGCCGTCATGGGATTCACCTCGAGTGGATTTCATGAAGGTACAACGGCGCTGGATCATGCCATCGCCGAAAACAAGAGCGCTCGAAAGTACTTCGGCGGAGGCGACACGATTCAAGAGTTTAAATCGCTCACGCCGGCGCTCTTCATGTCTGCCGTGCTCGATCCCACATTTTACCTTTTCACCGGCGGAGGCACGGTGCTGAAAGCGTTAGAGCTCGGCGGCGGCGAGAAATTAGAGACAGTGCAGTGCTTGTTAGCCGATGCGGACGAGAAAATTCCCCTTAAAGAAGAGCCGAAGTGCATGCGCTTCGCCGACTGCGCGTGCTGACAGATGAATGTGCGTTTTCGAGGGCTCTTCGAGGGCACTCAATACCACCGGGCACTGACCTACTCTGTATGAATCAAGCAGTTCTATCAAGTTTTGCGTGAGGATAGAAACGGTGTAATCATAGTCTCACATGCATTTACATGTCGTTTGAGCGCCGCGCGCGACGCGATTACTGCGTGGTCTACGGGGCGAAAAAGCAGCATGGCTCACATTGCAACAGAACAGTCAATGAGGCAAGACGTCTACTTGATCGACGCCGCGACCATCTTGGCGCAGTCAACGAGCCTGCACGAGTATCCGTACTCGTTGTCGTACCAGACGTACAGCTTCAAGTGCGTGCCATCGATCACCATGGTGGATTCTGCGTCGACAATGCCAGAGCGTGAATCGTTGACAAAATCCGTGGATACAAGGGGCTGCTCCTCGAAGCCCATGATTCCCACGAGGGGTCCCTCTTCAGAGTGCTTCTTCAACAGCGCATTGATTTCGTCTCTCGTCACCGGTCGCTTCAACTCGAGGACGATGTCGGACAACGAACCATTCGTGAGTGGTACGCGCACTGCCAAGCCGTTCAGCTTGCCCTTGAGATCCGGGATGATGAGCTGCACCGCGGTCGCGCTGCCCGTGGATGTCGGCGCTAGGTTCACCAACCCACTCCTCGCTCGTCTTAAATCATCCTTCTTTGTGTTCGGGGCGTCCACCATGCACTGCGTGTTCGTCACGTTGTGCACCGTCGTGATCGAGCCGCGATGCACGCCGATTTCGTTGTGAATCGTGTAGATCACCGGCGCGATGCAGTTCGTCGTGCACGATGCCGCCGTCACCACTCGATGCTTATCCGCATCGTAATCACCATGATTCACCCCGTACACGATGTTCACCGCTCCCTCCTCCTTCACCGGCGCCGACACGACCACCTTTTTCACCGTCCCGCCGTGTCGCTCGCCAAAGTAGGCGCGCTCGAGCGCCTTCATCTTCGTAAACGCCCCCGTGCACTCCAGAACGATCTCGCACCCGAGATCACTCCACGGCACCTCCAAAGGATCACTCTCACCCGTAAACGCGATCGAACGCCCATCGGAAATCTCCAGCGTTTGTTTCGCCTCGTCGAACGCGATCGTCTTCCCCCATCGCCCGTGCACCGAGTCGAATTCACCGAGGTACGCGCACGACTTCCCGCTCCCAGGGGATTCGTTGATCACCGCGATCTCCACCTCGGGGTCGTCGTGCAAGAGACGAAACGCCAATCGACCGATTCGTCCGAATCCATTGATCCCGATCCGCGTCGGCGCCATGGCGGTCGTCGACGTGTGCGCCGACGACGCGGAATATTCCTTCGTGACGGCGCGTCCTCATAATACGGTATTATTAATACCCTACACCGGGCGTGCCCAACCCCTAGAAATAGGGTTTAGGACCCACGTCGCGCGTCGATCGTCCCGGACGTCGACGCGGCGACCCGCCGAGGGCTCGCGCGCGGCATCGAGCGACGCCCCGACGCGACGGCGCGGCGACCGCGCGCTCGAGCGGTGCGGCGGCGCGATGCGCGCGCTCGAGCGGTGCGGCGGCGCGATGGGCGCGCGCGCGCGTGGGGACGCACATCGACCGGTCCGCGATCGCCGTCGCGCGCGCGCGCGCGTCGCGGCGAAGAAGCGACGTCCCGGGGGGGGTGGGGCGAACGATTACAGCGATGATTTCGCGCTGTACGGCTCCTTCGATGAGTCCTACGCCGATGGTGCGGGGATGATCTTGGGGAAGAATGAGAGCGGTCGGCGCGGGAAGCGGGCGGGCGGGAAGCGGGCGTCGTACGACGCCGTCGCGGGCGTACTTGAGGCGTTGTCGGAAGTGCGAACGGAACGTAGGCAGCGCGCGCCGCGGTGGTCGAGGAGCGGGGGGGACGGTGGGGCGTCGTCCGGCGATGACGACGAGGAGGCGGGCGTGGGGTCGTTCGCGACATTCGCGGAAGAGGTGGACGGTTCTGTGCAGGAGACGCCTCGTGAGGCGAGACCGGCGCCGGTGAGGGAGCCGAAGAGGCCGGTGGCGGCGCGACCGACACCGCCGCGACCGAAGGCTGCGCCTAAACCGAAACTGACGGCTACGGTGGACCCAGTGGAGACCAAGGCCAAGGCGACGCAAACGCTCTGCAAGTGGGGATTCGCCGCGTCCGACATCGAGATTGCGATCGAGAAGACGGTCGAAAAGGTGGGCGATAGTGCGACGGCGAAGAAACGACAGATAGCCGCCCTCGATTGGCTCCTGATGAACTGTCCGATGGAAAACGTTCCGGATGAGTACAGGCGCGAGGCGCAACAAGTTCGTGGATAATTGGATACATGTAATCATCAGTACAAACAGTTTGCGAGCCAAAATTAAAACTCTCGTTCGGGGAAGAGCGCGGGAGCGACGAGACACCAGGCGTAGATCGTTCCCGTGGCCCACACCGAGAAGTACTTGACCCACACGCTCGCCCAACCGCTGCCGATGGCCTCAGAATCATCCGGGCGACGCGTGCCCCATCCCGTGAGCAGCATGGACGTGTACATCGCGGCCAAAGCGAAAATCAAATGGAAAAAACTATAATTGTATCGAACCGGACCGGACGGGGACGACTCGTCCTCCGCTTCTTCGTCCTCTTCGTCGTTGAGAACATCACCGAGTTCGCCGATAAACTCCTCGTCGACGTCCATATGCCAAAAGTTGCTCTCTCCCGCGCGCATCGCCGCGTACACGACTGATACGAGCGTAAACACCGTCTGCACTAGAGTCGCCGGTTTTCGCAGCGCCTCATTGGCGTCGATGAAGGATTGCGGTCGACACGCGTATGTTGAGGGCTCTGAGCTCAGTGCCGAGTAGCACAGGTAGGCGCAATACAGAGTCACCGCCGACGTCGGCAGCAAGCAACCCTCTCTTGAGATTGGATGGAACGTGATCAGTGTCAACACCGCACACAACACCGCTGTGGACGTGATCATTGCGACGTTTCTGTGACACTCCCGACTCGGTGCGTACGCTCGGTACATCTCGACGAATAACCCGATCGACGCACCGAACATCGCGAGCGTGCTCGCGATCAGACCCGCGATCCACCCCCAGTGCTCCCCGCTCGCCCAAGACTCGTTCCACGCGAATGAAAAGTCCAAGACAATTATCATCTGTATCACCAGGAACAATCCGGAACCCAAGCGCGCGGCGCCTGCGTACACGTCCATGAACCCGTCGCTCGCCAAGCAAAACGTCAGCGCGTTTAAAATCACGTACGCCAACATTTTCACACCCCACGAACCTCGGTGGATCATTCGGTCTCGCGCGTCCCCCTTGTCGCGTGTCCCGACGAGCGAAGCGCTAAGCGTCGCGAACAAAACGAACGTCGCGCACGACGCCCGGTACACCGCCTGCGTTCGGAACCACGCGTTGGTGTAGCCGTGATCGTTTGGAATCGCCCACGCGTATCGCTCGAGCGCGTGCGCGCCGACGTCACGAACGAACCACGCGAGCGCGGTGGCGAAGGAAAAGAAAAGAGCGTGCGTCGCGCGCGCGGGCGGGTTCTTGGGCGTTAGAGCGCCGCCCACGCACGTGCCCACGCACGAGCCCAGGCAAGACATCAAGGGCGTCGTCACACACGAGAGCAAGAGCGACATTCTCGGGGCGGCGTCGCGCAGTGCGGGGACGCGTGTGATTTTGGTTCAACGGTTTTGCAGGAAAGCGCGGCAATACGAGACGTGCTCGCGATGATGGCGGACGCGGACGGTGACGAAACCCCGGACGTGCACGCGGAGATCATGTCGGCGACGCGAGATTACGTCGGACGACGCGTCGAGCGGTTGGACGCGCCGCCGTCGTCGATTGAATTTTTGAGAAAGTACGTATGCAGGAACAGTCCATTTGTTTGTGCGAACGCCACGAAGGACTGGACGGCGCACGAGCGATGGCAAACGAAAGAAGGCTTCATGGAGTGCTGCGGAGGACCACAGACGAAGGTCGAGGCGGCGGCGACGCGGGATGGGCGAGGTGACGCGATAGAGTACACCCTCGGCCGTCGCGTGTTCGTCGAGCCGGCGACAATGCAGACGACGCTTGACGACCTCTTCTCGAGCTTCGAACGAGAGCCGAAGAGGGATGAGCCAGTATTATATCTGAGCTCGCAGAACGACAACTTGAGACGCGTTCCAGAGTTGCGGGGGTTGTTGGCGCACTGTGGCGGCGAGAGCGGTGGGTTGGCGTTCGCGGATGAAGCGTTCGGGTGCGTCCCGGACGCGAAAAACGTCTGGGTGGGTGACGATAGGTCGGTGACGTCGTATCATAGGGATTACTACGAGAATCTGTACACGGTCATATCCGGTACGAAGGTGTTTTCGCTGCGGCCCCCGTGCGACTATCCGGACATGCGCTTCGTCAAAGACTGTGCGCCGGGACGATACGTGTTTGAGCGAGACCCCGATGGTCGCCCGAAGTGGCGAATCAACGTCGATATCTCCGCACCAAAAGTTTCGTGGAGCGCGGTCGACGTCGATCCGAGCGGTAAGCCGATTCACGGCGGCGAAGACGAGCTGCTGTATCGAGCTGGGCGGCCTCGTGAATGCGCGCTCGAGGTCGAAGTCCACTCGGGAGAGACGCTCTACCTCCCAGCGATGTGGTTTCACCGCGTGAGACAACGCGGGCTCACGATCGCCGTGAATTCGTGGTACGACCAATCGTTCGACGATCGCTACGCCACTCGTATGGCACTCGACCGTCTGGCCGATGAACGTCCAACAAGCGGACCACACGGTCTCAATGTCTGACGTGCGAATTTCCGCGCGGTGCGCTGTCCGGGGACGTGATCAGCGATCATCTTCGCTCCCTTCATGGTAAGCGCCATGCGCGTCGTCGCGTCGTCGAGTCGCTTGCCAGCGGCGACGTCTTCGCCGTCCCGCTCATTGCGTTCGTCTTCTTTGCGTCTCCACGCGAGCGATCGTCTATCCCAGGGGATGAGCTCGCGTCAGCACTCGTACATCATAGAGTATTTGCATGTCATCGTGGGTCCGAGGAAAGGCCGTCGTGCGCTCGGGCACAAAGACTTTGAAAAGCTCCAGCGGGCAGAGAGTGCTTTGGGCGGAGGCGGCGTCGCCGCGATAAAGGAAGCGCTCGAGCGCGAGCGCGAGGCCACGCGAGCGATCGAGGCCGAGATAGAGGCGAATACGTACGCGCCGGATCACGAAATGCGCACGTTGAAGGCGAAGAAACTTCGGTTGAAGGATGCGCGCACGGCGCTGGAGAGGGACCTTCGAGCGGCTGAGACAGTTGAGGCGCTCGGCGAAGGCGGTTCCGGTGGGAAAGTGTGGCGAGCGCGAGACACTGAGACCGGAGAAGAGGTGGCGGTGAAAGTGGAGGACGATGTCGGGACGAGCGCGCTGGAGAAGGAGTACGAGACGACGAAGCTTGTGCATGCCGCAGCGCCGAAACATTTCCCGTCGGTTCGATACTTTGGTAAACAGAACGTCATGGATAGACCGTCGCGGGTGATGGTGCTCGATTTGCTTTCGGGTGGAAGTCTTGAGGATCTGTCTCAGCGTGTGACGCTGGGAACGGGATTCTCTCGCTGCACCGTCTCTCGTCTTGCGATGAGGTTGTTTTCCATCCTCGAGGCATGTCACTCCGTGCGCGTCGTGCACGGCGACATCAAACCAGAAAATCTTCTCCTCACCAAACGCCACGGTGGTGAAGTACAGATGGTCGATTTCGGCGAGGCGGTTCGATTCGATGACGCGTATTCAGCGACTGTGGACGACGCGGTGTCGAGAGATGCGTGGCGTGGAACGATGCTATTTTCCAGCGCCAATGTCGATTCTGGATCCAAAATAACGTTTCGAGACGATTTAGAGAGCGTTATCTTCACGTTGGCGTACCTTCGAACCGGTCGTTTGCCCTGGAACGGCGTCATAGACGGGGCCGACGGGGTCGTGGACGTTCGCACGCTCGCGTCTGTGAAACGTTCCATCGACACCGGCATGCGTTTGATCACGCCCTTGGGCGCCGACGAGCTCTCGAGCGAGCTCGACGCCGACGACGTTGTCTTCTTTGACGCATGTCTCCGACATGCGCGCGAGTTAACCGCTCGCGCCGTTCCGAATTACGAGTGGCTCGCCCGAGTTGCTCGTGCATACGCCGCTGGTTGCGACGAACGTCCGTATGAATGGGACGCCCACTGAACCGCGCGCACACACTAGCATTCATTCATTCATAGCATCTCTAGCCCGTTGAACCGCTCGCGTCATCGCGTGCCCGCTCTGTTCGCCTCGCGTCCCGCTCGCCGAACGCGCCGACCGCAGACGACGACGCGCCACCCATGCCGCTCGTCTCCAACTTCGCCAAACGCGCCGGTGTCCTCGCCGACGCCATAGTCGCACTCGCCCGCGCCTCTTCGACCGACGTGGACGAGCGCACCGTGAGCGAGACGCTCGAAAACTCAAAGTGTTTAGACGCGCCTCTGGATTCCGACGAACCCGTGAGCGCGTCCGATTGCGCGCGCGTCGAGCATGCGCACCACGTCGCGGTGACGACGATCGTGCGAGACGCTCGGAAACTCGGGACGAGCGTCACGCGATGCGGGATCGAGGACGCTGTGGAGAGAGAGGCGAAGAGCGGGGAATTGCGCGCGACCGGGACGCGCGCTTCGGAGTCGCTCCGCGCGTTGGAACACGCGTTGCGATGCGGGGAGTTGTTGGGAGGTAATGCGTACAGTTGTGTGTTCACGACGATTGAAATTACGTTGGACGCGTGCGCGTTGGACGAAGCCGCGGACGTCGTGGCGTGGATGGAGACAAATAGGGAGCGCTTGCACGAACCCGAGGCGTGGCGGAAAGGCAAACTTCCGACGTTACGAACGCTCATCGCGTTGATTAAGCGGTGCGGGGGAAGGAGCGCGCGAGAGTCGAGATTGAAAGGGCGGGCGTTGGGGTTACAAACATGGATGATGGGGGTGAGCGATCGATCGGGGTTGAATTTACAAGGCGCGAGCAACCCGAATGTGACGCCTATTTTTGAGCAGGATGAGTGGGTGCGAGAGGACGCTGAGAACGACGACGAGACGATGGATGTCGACGGTGAGTACGAGAAGGGAGAGATCGATATGTCCACGTTCGGCGCCGACGGGGCGTTTCACAAGACGTTCTGGTCGTTGCAGACATATTATCAGAATCCGACGCAGGCGATGTGCAGGGACGGCGCGTGGAACACATATCACGCCATCCTAAGAGAGATCATGGACAAGTTTGAGGAGCATCCGCTCACAGAGACGGCGAAGACGTTGTTGGACTTTCACGAAAACCCAGAGCTTCGCGATCTGATCGGTCACCGATTTCTCACGGCGCGCCGGTTACTCCCGATGCAACTGCGCGACTACAGCTTTCGTCGGCAGATTTTGATCCAAACCGCCTTCTTCCTTGAGGCGATGACGACGGAGAAGTTCAAGGAACACGTCGTCGATGAGGAAGTCATCGAGGCGCGAGAGCGCGTGATGGAAATCCTCAAGCGAACGGGACCCGACGCGCAGCTCGCGGCCTCGTTCATCGAGGACGTACTCGAAGACGAGGCGGGTTGGCGCAAGTGGCGCGACGATGGATGTCCGAACTTCGTTCGCGAACCGATCGATTTTGAAAAAGAGCCGATGCCAGACAACTGGGACATTAAGTACTCGATGTGGCCGCCGGATCAGTTTCCCGAACCCGATCCGAGATACAAGGAGGACTTCGGTGACGAAGCGCTCAACCGGCTGTGGAACATCGACGACGATGACGTTAAGAACGCGCGTTCCGAATTCCTTGTGGCCGAATCGATCGAAGATTTTTTCCGTCCCTGTCTAGAGGAGATGGATCCCGAGGCACAGGTAGAGGAACAGTACAGGAGAGTGAACGACGAGGTGTTCCGCTGGCGAGCGATGCGCATGCTTGCGAGGAGTCACTTGCATTTGTTCCCCAAAATAGCTGCAGAGGGTTTGGAGAGCGTCGTGCCAGAAATATTGGGCGTGCCCGACCCTCGACCACGGAAGGAAACGGACGAGGCAAAGGAGACCACGCCCACGAAGGAGGGAGAAGAAAATTTTCTCACATCGCACGTCGAGGCGTTGGATGGCGAACTCGAGCCCATCGAGGGGGACGAGGAAGACGTCAAGCTGACGGAAAAGGAGGACGTCATGGACGTCGGTGAGGACACATTGAAAATAGAAGTGAACTCAGAGGTGAAAACGGAGATGAAGACAGAGGTGAAGACAGAGGTCAAGACAGAAGAGAAAAAAGAGGAGCCCACCAACAGTGAATCGCCGGCGAAGGTGAGAACGCCAGAACGATCGCCCGGTACGGACTCAAAGACGCCAAAGGAATCGTTGCCCGAGAAGAGACCATCCCCAGATGCCGGTGGACGAGGACGCGGTGGCCCAGGTGGACGCGGAGGACGCGGTGGACGCAGCGGACGCGGTCGGGGAAGAGATCAAGGACATAGCACTCGGCAACCTGTTAGAGCTGTGAGACCGCCGCCGCGACAGTCGGAGCCACAACCTCCGCCGCCGCGACGTGAGCTGTCTCGAGAGCCGCAGCGCCCGCCACCACAGCGAGGACCGCCGCCATCGCGCGGAAGAGATCAACACAGAGAGCCCCCCGGAAGATACACGCCGCCTAATCGTCCACAGGGGCAGCGGTGGGAACGCGGCGGGCGGGATCAGCAGTCCGGCGAGCCTCGGCGGGATCCTCCGCCGCCTCGGCACCAAGGAACGAACCTCGGTAAACGCACGCGAGAGGACAACAGCGGTGGACAAGGCGGCGGACCGCGGGCGCGTGGTAACCAAAATCAGAGATACAACAGAGGGTACACTAGAACTAGGCGTTAGCGTTATGTCAGACATTCACTCTTTAATTTCTAATCGCTATCGTTCGCACGGCTATCCTCCTCGCTGTCGTACGCGGCGAAAAATCCCATATCGGGGCGTGGCGCCTTTTCAACCTCTTCACTCATCGCCTGCGTGACCGGTTCTTTCACTTCTGCGTCTTCATCCTCGATTGGCGGCAATGACGCGATCGCCGTGCGTCGATCGACGACCTTGAAGTCCTCGTCTGCCCAGGGAAACATCCAGTACGGCTCCTCACAACCTTTTGACCCTTCGAAGAAGTCATTGTTGACGAGAAATCTAAATAACTGCAACAGTCGCTCCTCATCTCGCTTGATTTCTTTGTGCAACAACTTTTTCAACAGCGTCTGAGGATTCCCACTCGAGACGCCGGATGTCTTCTTGTCGACGATATCGTGCCTAAACGGGCAACGTTTGCCGGCTTTACACCGGCCCCTCGCAAAAAATCGACAACGCTGATCGCTGTTCGGTCCGGCTTCGTGCTTGAAATCACACGCGTCGCCCTTTCGACATCCGCCCTGAAGCCAAAATCGACACACTTTGACTGAGTCCCCCGATGGCTTCTTCTCCTGTTCTCCTACCCTTTGCTCTCTCTTCGTCGTCATGGTCGCCGTCCTCTCGCCATCTCCTTCTTCTCCGATCTCCTGGGACGCCTCGAAATGTCCCATCTCTCGCTGCTTGGCCAAAATTTCCCTCAATCGTTCCTTCCGCAGCGCCCGTGCGCGCTCCTCGTCTTCCCCAGCCTCCAACTTCGCCTGGACGTGGGAATCGCTCGGCCAGTGCTTCGCTCGCTCCTCTCGATATCGCCGCACGTCTTCGGGTAAACTCGCGACGTCCACGGGTTTCACCACTGGAATTTCCTCCGCTGTCGGGAGCGTCGGTTTCGATGTCCCACTCGGCTTGTTCGTCCCGCTCGCCTTTCCTTCATCACCCACTCCCGCTCTCGCCCGCTTCGCCGCGTTGAACCCATCGCCCGTCGTACTCACACCCCGATACGCGTCACCAGGATCGTCCTCGCGCCCGCGTCGGTGTCCGCCGCCTCTGCGTCCGCGCGTCCCGCTCGCCCAACCGCCGCCTCCGCGTCCACCGCGTCCCTCGCTCTGCGCGTGCATCAACCCAGGCGGCGCCCCCGCTGGGACGTACGGCCCGATATGCGGGACCCAGGTGACGTCGCCGTCGGAGGTGGCGACGCACATGTACGACGTCACCGTCGGTGTAACCGCGGAGGTTGATGGATTCGCGTTGGCCTCGCGCGAAGGATTCGCGCTCGTCATCGGCGGCGGCGGCGGCGGCGGCGGCGGACGATGAACCATCGCGTCGAACTAATTGATGTCGACGTCGATCGGTTCGGCGAATGCGTCGAGCGGGCGCGGCGCGAAGTAGCGCACTTTGAGTGAATTGGTTTGGTGCGCCTCGTCTTCACAACACAGAGTACTTGGGAAACATTTCGCGTTCAGCGACTGCTCGCGGCGCGAGCGAGACGCTCATCCGTGGAGTCCACGGTTTCAATCCTCGCGCTCGCGATGCGCTCGTACAAAGCGCGCGCCAGCGGCGGGGCGGCGGCGATGAAATCACGCTCGCCGGCTTCGCCTTCGGCTAGCACGCGCTCGAGAAAGTACCGCGCGCGCTCGATCGCGCGATCGGCGCCGTCGATCGATATCGGGGGCGGTTTCAGCGTCAATCCACTTGCGGGTTTCACGTTCGCGCTCGATCGCGCGCCTCCGATCGGAATCGCGACGTTGAGCACAGTGAGCGGTCGCCTCTTATCCCTGCGATTGAACCACCCGCTCCCGCGAAGCGCGTCCTCACCGAAAACCTCCAGCATCGCTTCCTCGTCCTCGTGATCGACGTCAAACCTTCGAGCCGCTTCGAACAGAGCCACCCCCGGCGCGCAGACGTCGATGACCTTACCCTCGATCTCCAACCACGCGTGCTCGGTCGCTCTCGCGCGTCCGTCGTCGCCGCAATCGCTCGCGTACCCCACGACCGTCTTAATCTCTCGCCGCTCCCCGTTCGCCTCCATCGCCCGTCGTAACGCCAAAGAAACCACCAACGACACGCTCCCTTCGCTCGTCTCCACCCCAGATTCACACGCGCACTCGATGGCGTGCGCGGACAACGCGCACGCCACGCGATCCCCCGCCCGCATCGTCGCGCTCCGCGTCGACGCCGCGTACGCTCGATCCGCCAACGAGTGCGAACACGAATTCGGTGACGCTCGAACGAGCTCTCTCGCCGCGTCCTGCACCGCGTCCTCCACCGACACCCGTCCCGCCCGCGTCCGCGCGTCGCTCCCGCGCGCGCCCAGCGTCTCTCTTTCCCTCGTCCCTCGTCGCCGTCGCCCGACGCCCACGTGCGCGACGCGCGTCTCTCCCATCACCGTCGCCCTCGTCGCCATCGCGCGCGCCGCCGCGCGCGGGGCGCTCGCGTCACCGACGCCCTCGCCTCGGTCTCGCGTCACTCGTCGCGGCACCGGTCGTTCCACCGGTCGATGTCCCGCGGCACCGGTCGCGTCACCGGTCGATGTCCCGCGTCACCGGTCGATGCCCCGGTCGACGCCGCGCTCGTTCCCCTCGACATCGGTCGCGTGATTTATCTTCGGGACCACCACTTTGGCGCTATATCGATATACACCCAGGGTGAATACGGTATTCCCACATAAAGGGGATCCACGACGTGGTGCCGAATGTCCGATTTTCACCCCACCGCGACGCCCGCGTCGCGCGCATTCGGTCGTTTACGAGAATTCTTCCCCGTCGTCGTCGCCACACCGCGCGCGTCGTCGACGTCGTTCGACCGCCCTCGCGAAGTACTCGTGGACCGCACGCACGCAATCATGGCCGCCAAGGCACCGAAGAAGACGACGGCGAAGAAGACGACGGCGAAGAAGCCGGCGGCGAAGAAGCCCGCGGCGAAGCGCACCGCGGTGAAGAAGACGACGGCGACGAAGAAGCCTGCGGCGAAGAAGAAGCCGGCGGCGAAGAAGCCGGCGGCGAAGAAGCCTGCGGCGAAGAGTACGTGTGCGATTTTTAGTGCGCCGCGCGCGCGTGCCGTCGACGGACGCGGGGGGGGCGATGGAATTGTGCGAGAATTATGATCGTGGAATTCGAACAAAAAAAGGGATTTGTGAATTGTGGATTTTGAATCTTTGCGAGACGTTTACGACGCGAAGACTGACGTGATGCGTGCAATTTTTGCGTGCGACAGAGCCTGCGGCGAAGAAGAAGCCTGCGGCGAAGAAGCCTGCGGCGAAGAAGAAGCCTGCGGCGAAGAAGCCGGGTAAGTAAAATGCATGATTATTCACGCGCGCGCGCTGTCGCGCGATTTCGTTTTGGAAATTTCAGAGGGGTGGATTTGAATGTAATTTCTTCTTTGGAAAGGGGACTGACGTTTGCGTTTCCCTCGATTTTTTGCGAATTTCAGCGGCTAAGAAGAAGCCGGCGGCCAAGAAGAAGCCGGCGGCCAAGAAGGCCACGGCTAAGACCTCCAAGAAGTGAGGCGTTTTCCTCCGCAGAGCCGAGCACTTGAAAAAACTCCTCGCCGATACGGCGGGAATTGATATGACGATCGAACGAGATAGCTCGTGCGGTGGGTTCGAGGTTTTCGTGGACGAAATCGCGGTGGTGTCTTTATTGAACATGCCGCGACCGTTTACGAAGCTTCGCGAGCTCGATCTCGAGGTTGTCGCAAAAGACGTCGCTCTTTTGTGCGCCTCGTAGATGACCCGCTAGCGCGCGTTTTCTCTCGCCGTCCCGAATAAGTATTTTAAAAACAATAAAGACGAGGACTTTTGTCACCGCTTTACTCGTCGTCGACGAACGAATCTCGTGATAGTGAAGCCGTGACGCGAAATCAAGCAAGCGTCGCGGCGGATGACACGTTGTTCACACGAATTCGAGCTGTAGACTTGACTCGTGTAATGACGGAAATTCGTGGCGTCTCGTTTTCAAACCCCGACGGGTCTCCCGCGCGTGGACTAAAGACGAGGACTGTGATTACATCGATGAAGTTCTACGCTCGCGCGTGCTTGGACTCGCGAGTAAACAAGACGCGGTGCATGTTCGCCATCCCTCGAACGTCTTCCCTCAACAGTTCGCGCACGTCGTCGTCCACGAACACGCTCGGGCCGAGCGCGATTTCACGCCCCTCCGAGTCGAGCAGGCGCGATATCACCTCACCCTTGGACTCACCCTTGACCGCTCGCGCGACTTTCGGCGCGCTCACGCCGTGCTGTCTGAGATAACACTCGATCGCTTCGACGTTAGAATTCCTGGTGACGATGAAACAGTTCGAACGCGATCGTAACAACCCCACGAGGTCGGCGTCCGAGGCGTATCGCTCGCACGCCCGAGCCAAGCCTTCGGGATCGAGCGCGCGGAAGTTCTTTGGAAGTGGGCTCGAACCAGCCTTCGTGGCGCAAATCGTGCGGTCGAAATCGAGAAAAACATACTGCGCGTCGATATTTTCGACGAGAGAGACGACGTCCTCGGCGTCGCCGCGAACGACGCCGCAGTGCTCGCAGGACACCCGCTCACACCGAAGGCACGCCCGAGCGTGCGAGCAGAAGAATCGAGGATCACATTCGGATTTAATCGGGCACCTTCCGAGCTCGCGGGAGCGCTCTTCGCAAGAAACACACGTGTGTTGTCTCACCCAGATCTTCGCGAACGTTCGTTCGCACGTCTTGCAACATATCGTGCCGGAAATGTGCTTGTGAGTGCCGCCGGCGGCATCGCTCGCGTGAACACCCTTCGCAAGCTCATCGAGCATCGCTCGTGAGTATTTCTCCACCACCGGAGCGTAGGCAGCGATGATTGAGCGCAGAGCGAAGCCCTCCGGGACGAAAGCCGACGTATGCTCGTCGTCTCCGGCGGCAAAGAGAGTGATTTCCGGCTCATTGATAATTTTTGCGATCCAAGTCTTCAACTCAGCGAGCGCCGGCGCGGCGCCCTCAAGCGGGCTCACCACCGCGTCCATCTTTGACGCCCGGGAAAGGGCTTCTAAAGCCTCCCTGGACGGGTCAAAGTTGACACTTAATCGAGATAAACCTAAATCGCCGCTCAGAACTTGATCTGGGCTCTTGTGCTCGGTCCTCAGCGTTCTCGCGACCCGGGCGGTGTCCTCGGCGATTGCTGAGACGTGATGCAACAAATCGACGAGCTCTCTTCTCATCATCATCGCCTTGGCTGCACCTCTCGCGATGAGCGCAGACTCGATGAATCTCGCGGAGTGCTCGGGCAAAGACATCTCTTCGCGAACGGCGCGCACTAGTTCGTCGAAATCTTCCGTTAAACACGGCGTGCCGATCGTCACACCGCGTTCAATCTTGTCGGTGAAATTCTCGCCCGCCGAGCGCTCGAGTGCCTTTTCGACGAAGCCATACGAGACCAAAGACCGGGGCATCGACGCCAAACGCCTCGGTCTAAGCGATTTAGGAAATCTTGGCACGCAGCAAATCTGTTTCGTGAACACGCGCCCGTCGAAAATCGCTTTGGCTGCCCCTCGACACCTACCATGCGCAGTGACGATTTCTCGAAATCTGGAGGCGTTCCGATAGCCCGCGTGCTTGCCAAAGTCACCTCGATAAAATGTCGACAATTGACGCAGACGAAGCTCCAGACCCTCAATCTCGTATTGCGACTGAAGCAACACCTTCTTCAGGTTCACCACGTTCCGCCGTATTCCAAAAGCCGCCGAAACCGCCCCGCGCGCGTCCACGAGACGCGCGATGCGCTCGCCCTCGTCTTTCCCGAACGCCGCGCGCGCATCTTTCTCGAACAACTCCCATCGACCCTGCTCGAAAGTCAAGATGTTTCGCGCATCCACGTCGAGCACACATGTTCCTGAAACTCGCACGTTCGGCCCGACACCGTAGGACGATCTAACGCGCCGTGCAAACGCCTCCGCCTCGTCCGCGTTCGCGCACTCCGTCGGCGCCGCATCCGGAGCTCGTCGAGACGCCGAGAGCCCCATCGGAATCGCTCGCTCTCGCGCCCTCTCACTCGCGTCTTCTCGATCGCCGACGACGCGTCGCGACAGAAACACGTTCTATGAACACCTCGACGCGCCTCGTTCGCTCATAAAGTCGTCGTCGTCGTCGTCGTCGACGCGAATGCCTCGCGAATGTCTCGATCGCGCACTCGAGACGTCGATGAAGACGCGTCGCCGCGACCGTCTCCCTCGACGTCACGTCCCGAACGCCAACGTCACGCGTAGATGTGATCACGCTCGACGCCCTCGCGCGTTCGATGGACGTTCGACCCGCCGTGACGATCACGCGCGTCGCGCCGTGACCACCGCGCGATCGACTCATTCCCCTCCCCCGCGCGCGCGCGCGACGCCTCGCCCCGCCGCTCGTACACGACGCGTACGAAGACCATCACCGTGGAATTCAAACAGCCACCACGGTGCCTCTTCGTATCATCCAATCACGTATAGATGCACATACGTACAAAATACACACACCGTACTGTATCGTCACACACCGCCGTGGACACCTCGAATCACACGTAACCGGCCGGATTTCCCCGCGGCGCCGATCGCGTGCGCTCGCCCCGAGACCCCGCGTCCATCGACGTCGACGCGACGCTCTCGGTCGACGCGTCCGTCGTCGGCGCGCGGCGCGCGCGATCGTTCGCGCTCGCGCCGCGTACGACGTCGAGACCGCGTGAGAGGGTCCGCGTGTACGACATTGAGACCGCGTGAGAGGGTCCGCGTGTACGACATTGAGACCGCGTGAGAGGGTCCGCGTGTAATGCGTCGAGACCGCGTGAGAGGGTCCGCGTGTAAGACATTGAGACCGCACCGCGACGCGGCCGTTGGGGGAACGTTCGCGCGGTCGCAGAGCGCGTCGACGACGACGATGTCGTCCACGCCCGCGGGCGCGCGCGCGCGCGATGGAACCATGGATGAGGGAACGGTGAAGACGCCGTCGTCGGTGCGTCGACGTCGACCGTCGCGGGCGCACGGGGGGGGGTGCGGAGAACGGCGATGCGTTTGAAATCGCTCGGTGTGACGATGGGTGACGCGCGTTCGACGCGTCGCGGGCGCGGGCGCGGTGACTGACGGATACCCCGACGTGTGTCTTGACGTGTCGTAGATTTTGAAGCGACGGTCGCGAACGACGCCGTCACCGGCGCCGATGAGCGAAAACGGCGCGCGCGGCGCGCGCGCGAGCAGACGCCTGTCGGCGAGACGGGAGTCGTTGGCGAGTCAGGAGATGGGGACGCAGGAGACGGAGAATGTTGCGAAACAGTCCGAGTTCGAAAAGCGAAAGAAGCGTAGGCAGAGCGTCGGACGACGGGTTTCGTTCGCCGATCCCGCGACGCTGGAGAGCGTGCGCGAGTTCATCAAGGAGGAGGAGGAGCGAGAGGCAAGTGCAGAGTCGTACGGCGTCAACGAGAGCGAGCATGATGGAATTCCGGCTGGATTCGGCGCCGTGGAGGAGGTGAGCGTGGAGGTCGTGACGACGCGCGAAGAGAGAGGCGATCGCACCGAGACGTTTGAATTCAAACCCGCCGAGGGAACGCTGACGCCGAACATCGCGCACGCGTCGACGCCGTCGCCGTTGGACGACCCAGATGCGGTGGATTTCTCGTTATCCTCGCCGTATAGCGCGCAGCTGAACAGCGAGGGCAAGCACACGCCGGGTAAGAGACGCTCGAGCATAGGTCGCGTGGGGACGCCAAACTCCGCCGACAGAACGGGCACGTTCACCTTCAACGCGTCGCAGAACATGGACGACGTCACAGCGGAGGTGCCGACGATGGGCGCTCTCCTTGACGCCGAGGTTACGGAGAATATCACGGGGACGGTTCCGTCGCTGGCGAATCTGTTGAGCGCGGTTGAGTCTCCGCTCGGGTACAGACCAACGCCGCCGCCGCGTGTCAGGCCAGACTTCACCGAGGATATCACCGGTGGCGTACCTTCTCTCGCCGCACTTGCCGATGAGGACGAAGAGAATGCAGCGACCGCGTCCGGACGATCGGTTGCGCACGACGGCGAGATGGACATGGATACGGGCAACACCACCGATGGGCTTCCCGCATTTGATCCCTTGGATGACGCCACGCAGCGCGCCGTCGATCAGGCGCACGCGAGCGCGCTGGACTTGGCGAACACGGTGATGATGGATGAGGCGACGCTCGTGTTCAGCGTGGGAGCGCCGACGCCGGTCGCGGCGCCGACGCCTTCGTTGACGTTCGCGTTTGACGACAAGAAGGACACTCGCGCAAGCGAAGGAGCACCGCCCGCGTCCGCGAACACGCGTCCGTTCAACTTGACGGATTCGACAAATCTGGATTTAGAAGGTCAGGCCAAGGATGGCATGGGTACTGACACTTTCAACTACATCTACGGCGGCAACTCCAACGCCACCGCGACAGGTATGTTGGCCGCTCACCAACCGACTGTGGACTTCCCTACGGCCGAAGTCGCGGGTCTCAACGCTCAAGGTAGCGTCGATGCGACTCCCGCAAATGTAGGCGGCGTGGTAGCGACGCCGAACACAGACGGTTCCATCGCGAGCTCGCACGACGGCTTCACTCCGGGTGACGAGTCGTTGCGCATGGCTGAACTCTTGCGCCAGAAGAAGCACGGCGACGAGGCGTTGATGAGCATGAGAAAAGTGTATCAAGATCGCACGACGCCGATGGATCGTCGTTACGGTGCTCCGCCGCCGATGCACGCGTTCACGCCTTCGAGGACGCTCACCATGGGTGGCACCAACTTCATGAACTTCGCTGGCACTCCGGGCGCGGCGATGCACAACCCGCTCTTCGGAACGCCCGGTGGTCACACTGGCACCATGAGCGGTCTTCCGTTGATTCCGGACGCTTTGATGTCCTCCAAGCCGATCGATTTGGAAACGTTCTTTCACGCTTGCGAGGTTTCCTTCATGGAGGCGAAGAACATGGGCCGACGCTCGTCTATCGCGTTGGGAGGTTTGGCCAGCGCACCTCCTCCTGAGACGCAACCGGAAGCGTTGAGGCTCTGCTGCCTCACGGCACCGCTGATTGAAGCGCTCGAGGGATTCCACACGGAACTTCAAGAGCGAATGGAACAATTGACGTCCGAGACAGACAAGTTGCGCACCACAGTGGAAGCGACGCAACCACCGTTACTGCGATACGCTTCTTCGGATGATCCGGCGCACTTGAACGAGCTTCGACGCGCTGGCAAGGCGTTGAAGAAGGAGTGCCAGCTCGCGTCGAAGGAGAGGTTTGCGCAGCAAAAGATGGAAACGGAGCAGCTTGTGAGCGAAAGCTTGAACTTCCACAGTGAGATCTTGGTGAAGAGTTCGCAGAGCATTGCGAACTCACGTGCGATCGCGGCGGAGGCCATCTCCAGCGCGAACGGACACATTATCAAGCTTAGAGCACAACGAGCGGCGAGCTCCAGGCGAGCCGACGCGGCGAAATCCGCCTCGGCCACGAAGGAGCAAGTGCTGGAAGCGCTGGCAATCAAGCGTGCCGCGCTCGCCGCGGCGCGTCGGGCGCTGACGGCTAGTGATGAGCGAGTGGAGCAAATGAAAGGGCGTAAATTGGTTATCAAGGGTGAGCGCGAGCGTTTGCAAGAGGAACTCGAAGCCATGAGAGAGGCGCAAGATGCGGCGGCGGATACGACGGTGAACATCAAGTCGTTCGGCGGCGTGGATGTGGACGACACTCCCTCTCGACTGAGAAGAGCGAGTCAAGTGCGCCTTCGCTCCAAGGCGAAGCATGCGGAGGGTGCCAGCGAAGAGCTTGGTGTGCTCAGCGGTCTCGCGCCGTGGCGATTGGAGGGTGTCGGTGGTCCAGCGGGTGCGGAGTTGACCATTAGAGTCGGTTCTCTCTTCCAGGTCACTCTTGATGCGAGCACCGGTGCCGGTCGTGTGACCGTGATTGATGGCCCTGAGATGACTCCTAAGGGAGGGCGCCAGTTTGCAGCTGCGTTGGCTGGCGCACCAATCGCTTGGGGCGAAGATGCGGTGCCAGCTGGTGGTGTTGCTGGTGTCTTGCAAGAGCTCGCACCGAAGCTCGCTCGAGCCGAGCGAGTTCTGGACGAGACTGAAGGGTGCCGTAACGAGTTTCCAAGGTTGAATAGGATCAACTGCAGTGCAACTGGCGTACTCGAGCTCACGTTTGTCGATTTCGTAAACGAGCGTCTTTTCAGTGTCAAGTTGAACATGATGGGAGGCGCCTATCCGTACGGTTCACTGAGCCCTGAGGTGACGGTGCAACTCACCGGTAAGAAGGGCGTGAGCGAACTGCCGAGCATTGACGCGATTCGACGCGCGGTCAATGCCGTACCGGTCGGTCCCCGTCGGTTGACAAACGTCTGCCGCATCTTAGATTCCATAGTAAGCACTGGGAAGAACGCGTTGACGTCCTTCGCGACGATGCCCGCCCCAGCGCCTAGAAGGCCCTCAGTCGCGCCCTCACTGCTGTATGCTCGTTAGTTAGCTTGGTAATAATGACTACAAACAACAATACGATGTGTTTTACAATTACTAATCTACTCGTTCACGTCGTTCACCTGGGCGTCGAAGGCGATGCGGAGCTCTGGAGGTGACGCCTCGGCGGCGCGCGCTTCGTCGCCATCACCGAGAGTTCTAAACGCAAGGCAGTGCGTACTTCGCTGACGTTCGTAAAGCACGCGCTCGAAACCCAATCCGTTAAGAACCTCGCGCCACTCTTTGAGCACTGGCAGCGCGTTGTGCGGACAGTGACCCTTATCCGTGGAGTGCGGGGTGATGATGAAGAGCAAACCCGCACCGCGATTTTTCAGTGCCAGTCTCGCTCGACGCACCATCTCTCCCCGCTGCCTCGGCGTGGGAACGTAGCTGAGCACGAGACTGAACACGAGCGCATCAGCACCGTGTGTCTTTACCGCGGCGAGATGCTTCGATCCGCCCTCGACGCTCGCGTCCTCGACGCGATCTTCGTCCTCGAACGCGACCCTGAGCCAATCGCACTCGAGCACGGACGGCACGCGTGGCATCAAATCACACGCCAGCGTCGTCGCTTCCACTGTCCCCGGCCAAGGCCCCTTGAAGTGAAGATTAAAGTAGTCCCAGCACGACCCGACGTCCAGGACCTTGACACTTCTACCCGATTCGCTCGCGACTGGCGTCTCCAGAGCCACTCTCTCACGCGCGTCTTCCAGCGACGTCGCCGGATTCTTCTTCGCTATCGCCTTCGCCCTGCGCCCGTTCGCGATCGCCCAAGAAAACTTCACCGCACGCTTGCGAATCACTCCCACTCCCGCCTCGCCAAAGTACGCTCCCACGGCGTCCACGCACCACTCCAACGAGCTCACGACCCATGCGCGGTTCCCGACCTCGGCCGCCGCCTCGGCGTACGCCCGCATGTCCTCCCGTCCCGCCTCTGTCGCGGTCGCTCGCTCCCAAGCCTCGTCACCATTCTCAATAGCCTTCGCCTCTCTTCGAAGCGCTCGATGTCGCTCGACGATGACCTCTCTCCGCCACTTCGCTCGCGCTCGATCCGCGACCCCTCGCTCGAGCGCGTCCCGGAGCGCGTCCCTCAAGTTCCCGCCTCGGTGCGCTATCTCGAACAAGTTCGCGCACCGTCGCCGCTCGGCGGCTACGTTCGAAGCAATCGCATGCGCACTCTCTCTGACTCGTCGCAAGACCTCTGAATCGTCCTCATCACCGCCGCATCGCTCGCTAAACATTGAAAACAGCTCGCGCGCGATGGCGTCGCACTGCGCATCCGTCCCGAATTCTTCGACGCTACCGCCGAATTTCCGCGCGATTTCACCCTCATCAGCCTCTGAGGAGTTTTTTAAACACCTCGCGATCGAGCGACGCAAGATTCGACGGACGTGCGCGCGTAAGGAGTCGCTCGCGCGCGGTTTCGGCGGTCGCGTCATTTTGTGAAGGACTTTGAGTCCGCCACTGTTCGGCGCGTCGGCGACGCGCGCGCGCGGTCTATTCGGAGCGAAACTTTTGACATCGTGAGGGAACTACGGTGCGTTCGAACGCATCGTCTAAGAGGTTCCACAGCGTCGTGAGCGCGACGCGAGAGGCGCCGCCGCCGGCCATGGGCGCGAAAAAGCGAAAATCACGAAAACCGACGGACGCGCCGTTGCCGCCGCCGTCTGAGAGTGAATCCGAGGTGGACTACGAGGATGTCAAGTTTTTGAAGAAAAATGCGGCGTACGCCAAGTTCATCGCGGGCTCAAAGTTTGACACAGGAGACGGCAAGCCGCGAAAGGCGGCGGTGGCGGACGAAGATGAGGCGCCGGAGGTTCGCTACGAGCGCGAGCGCGCATTGAAGGAGCGAGATGAGCGAAAAGCGATTTTAGCGGCGGAACGCGTGAAGAGAGAGACACCGGAGGAGGAGCGGCCGTTGGCGCTGCCAGTGAAGCGATTGGACGGGACGGTGGTGCGAGACGCGCACGCGCCGGCGGATGCTCCGGAGAGCGCCAGCGAGGAAGGGGAGGACGACGGCGACGATGACGGACGCGGGTGGACGGACGTGGGTAGGGGTGATGGGAAGATGTTGGGTAAGAAGGCGCTGGCGAGGGAGATACGCGAGAGCGATCTCGGGAGGGAGACGACGAAGTCGAAGAAGAACGACAAGTGGTGGGAAAAGCCAAGCGTGGAGGATGAGAAGCGGGCGAGGGAGGAGGCAAAGAGGAAAGCGAAGAAGAGTTCCGATGACTCGGAGAGTGAGGCCGACGACGACAAAGAGGCTTTGAAGTCGAAGCTAGCCGAGAAAAGGCGGGCGGAGCGAGTGGCGCTCGAGGCAGAGATGAGCGCCGAGGCGCGAAGAGAGAGCGTACGCGTGCGCATTGCCACCACGTGTCAGAGCCTGATCGAGGATCCGGAGACGCGCTGGAAGGAGCTGAAAGAGGTCAGCACGCTTGCAGAAGATAGAGATCAAGAAGTCGCGCGCATCGCGTCCCTCTCTCTCGCTCTTGTGTATCGAGATATATGTCCGGGATATCGCATTCGTCCGACAACGGAGAAGGAGGCGCACATGAAGGTGAGCAAGGAGGTGATGAAGACGCGTGCTTTTGAGACCGGTTTGCTCAATCATTACAAGGCGTACGTCAAAATGCTCGTTCGTTGCTCTGGGGCGAAAAAATCGCGGGCGCAGCGCGGCAAGGGTGGACCAGACTCGGAATCTGCGCTGAAATGTCTGTGTGCGCTTCTCGTGGGATTGCCGAGCTTCAACTTCCGCACGGATGTCATGTCCGCCATCGTGCCTGTGTTCGGATTTCGAGACGTCGAACTCGCGAAACTCGTCGCCAAATCTCTGGGTGAGGCGGTAGAGAACGACGTGCGCGGTGATATCACGCTCGAGGCGTTACACATGACAGCACAGCTCGTCAAGCAGAGCAAGTGTAACATTCATCCGTGCGCGTTTGATTACATTCTCAAGGTTCGTTTCGATGAGGGTATCCTAGTACCGATGATCAGAGATAAGAAGGATGTTCTTTCTCGAAAGCAGACCTTCAAGAAGAAGCAAGAAGAGCGCGATAAGATCAGACGTGCGCGCGCGGAGAAGATGCGCAAGCAGCAAGACAAGGAACGCATGAAGTCCTTTGGACACGTGGCCGACTCCTCGGACGACAGCGATGACGACGAGGCGGCGTTGAACCGAGACGTAGACGAAGGTTCGGCGGTGATGAGCTACGGTGAGAAGAAGAAGATGCAGAGCCGGCTTTTGGAGGCGACGTTCGAGATGTACTTTCGTGTGTTGAAAAACGCAGCTAGCCCCGAGCCGACGCCGGGTCTGCCCATGTTAAGCGCCGCGCTCACCGGTTTAGCCAAGTTCACACACCTCATCTCGATCGATTTCCTGGGTGATCTCATGGAGGTGTTTAGAAAGCTCTTAGCCAAGGATGACTTCCTCTCTGACGCCCTCAAGGCGCAGACTTTGCTCACTGCTTGCGAAATTTTGAGCGGCCACGGCGAGGTCCTTCAGGTGGATACAGGCGAATTTTACCGGCAGCTCTACGCCATGCTGGGCAAACCCAGCGCCGGCGCCGCCGGTTGGCAGGATGGGATGTCATTAACGGATCAGAAAGCGCTCGATCACGGCACACTGCGCGTTCGTGCCATTCAGAGATTCGTCGGCGGTTTCAAGCAAGTCGATCAGGCGCGTATGGCGGCGTTTTCCAAGCGTCTCGCCTCTGCCTCGATCGGCATGGAGGCAGGTGAGTGCTTGGGATCCCTCGGCGTCGTTCGGCAGATCCTTGCATCGTATCCTCGCGTGCGTAATCTCCTCGAGAATGAGCGCATCGGTAACGGAGTGTTCCAGATGGATTTGGACGATCCCGAGCACGCGCAAGGCCTTTCTGCCGTGCTCTGGGATCTGTGCCTGCTCGCTCGACACTACCATCCAACGTGTGCGGCTGCGGCGACAGAGGTGGCGAGCCTTCCATTGAGCGGCGCGATTGCCCCCCCACCTGGCTCTCACGCTCCGAGTGAGCTCGCGAAAGCGTACTCCACCTTGCGAGGCGACTTCAACCCGCCGATTCCAGAGCCGCAACCGCCGCGAAACAAACCACGCGCGCCGATCGAGCAAAAGTCCTTCGTCGACATCCACAACGCCGCTTTCGAACGAGTATTAGTCGACATCGACGTCAAATCAGCCGCCACCGCCGCCACCACCGCCTTCCGTCGATACTTCCGTCGAGTCCGAGCGCACAGCGAGAACACTCGGCTTCGAGCCGAACGCGCTCGATTCGGGCGCCTCGTCGCCGCCATCGGCGCGCACCGCGCCGAGCGCGAGGCGCGAGGCATCGAAGAAGATGAATATTAAAATTCGTTAGCTGTGTATTGATTCCTCAATTAGGATCGATGCGTCGACGCATCATCTCGTTGTTTCAACACAAGCCTCTTCGCAACACCATGAGTTGAGCCCACGCTTCTCACATCCTCACCTCTCAACGCGTCTCGATCGATCGTCATGGCGTGGCAGTCCCGCGTCGCCGCGATGGAGCGCTCGTACGTCCAAGCGCACGACGTCATCACCACCGCGAGGCGAAGGGGCGGGAAGTCGAGCGTCGAGCGCGCTGATGTCGCATCGAGTGCTTTACGACGAGATTACGACAACATGCTCCGCGCCAAAGACGCTCGAGGGAACGACGAAGATGCGAGCGAGTCCGCGTCGACGTCCACGACGATCGAGCGCGATGTGGAGGCGAACGAAGAGAAGACGCGGACGGAACGAACGAGAGAGGTGGAGGATTCTGCGCACGAGCGGGAAGGCGTGAGTGGGCGCGCGGCTGATGTGGTTCCGGGATTGGATGACTTCGGTCCAGCGATTGAGAACGACGAGGAACGGGTGATGACCAAGATGGAAGCTTGTGGTGAGGCGCGGGGGAAGCCTTTGGTGTTGATGGCTCTGGATGCGGTTCGGAGAGCGGGCGTGGTCGGCGCCGCAGCGCTCTTCGGGTTGTTTTTGATCTTCTTCGGCATGGCGATGTTCGAGGAGATGCAGAAAGGGATGATCATCAGTGATCTTCGACCGGATGTCGGGCCCGGGGGGTTCGTGGACGAGCGAACGGTGGCGGAGGAGGCGGAGTTTCGAGGCGAGAGCGCAAAGGCGGCGATGCTCGACGTTGAGCGCGAGACAGGTTTTGAGAAGGACGCGAGGCGTTTGCTGCGGCGTCAATGAACATCGCGGCGCGATTCATTAGCTCATGACAGATTGTAACTACGTGTAAATTAATGCGCTACTTGCTGTGGAGATTACAAACTCATCGCGATAACCAGAAGTGAATGGGAAACTGTACGATGACAACGCAGAGCAAGACGTAATTGTGTGACATGCTGTGCGAGTATCCGCCGTGTCGGGACTCACTAAAGATTATCTTCTTCAGCGTCTTCGCCATGAACACCGCGTTGCAGACCGCGGACCACGACAGGAAGAGCCAATAGATGAGGGAGCCACTGGAGAACTTGGACATGAGCGTCACGGACCCGTACACAAAGCTGTAGCCGACGTACGCCGCGATGTCGAGCATGGGAGCCGAGACGATGTGATTAGATGTGCTTGCCGTGCGCAGCGCGATCCAAATGAACGCCGATTCTACGGACCAGAGTAAGCCACTCCACCACGCGTGCGTCGCCAACGCCTCGGGTGTGAAGGCACCGCTCTTTGATGAGAACACCTCGCGAATCGATGCCGTGAGCACGTACGTCCAGAACGCCATCAAGGGAATGTACAAATCCGGTGCGTTGATATCATTCCTCGGGGGTTTATACGCCGTGCCCCCCGCCACGCTCTCCGGGAGCCGCGCCCAAGAGCCCTTGTGCAAAAATGGACACAGCAACAGGCGCAGCTTATGAAACACGTACGACTCCGTCACGTCGAAGTACGCCCGCATCGACGCCGTACTGAAATACTTCGCGTAGTTCGAGCTCACGAAGCTCGCACCGTCGTTCAAAAACTTTCCGCCGTACATCCCCAGGCCCGCCGCCGCCAGACTCCTCGGGCTCATCGGCTGCCCAAACCCGCCGCCGCCGGCGCCTCGCGCGCTCGAGCTCGCGTCGCCGAATCCCCTCGGCGCCCCGGTCGAGATCGGCGCCGGCGCAGATGGCATCGCGTTCCAACCGCCCTGCCCGCCCTGTTGCGCCGCGTACGCCGGATGCGCCGCGTACGCGTTTGCCTGTGCGCCCGGCGCGTTTGTCGGCGCGCCCCATCCGCCGCCGTCCTGCGTCGGTGGCTGCTGCCATCCCCCGTGCGCGCCCTGTGCGCGTAGAAACAAAGTTCCCTTCCATCGTCAGTCGTTCGTTCGCGCTTTCACTGTGAGTACGCGCGTTCGAGCGCTCCAGAAACGCGCGCGCCCGTTGTGATGCGATCGCTCGAAATCGCTCATTCGCACGCTTCTCTTCATCGAGAGCGTCGCGTCGGTGTCGAATGATGACGCACCGCTTCCGTCCAACCCTGCTGCTGCGCCATGAGGGCCACGTGCGATCGTCGGGCGTCGCGCAGTGCGGTAGTCGTGGTCGGGGCGTTCGGGGCTCTTCGACGGGTCGTGATTCGTCGGATGTGACCATGGGTAAAGAAGAGGAGCGAAAGGAAGAAAGAACAAGGACGTTGCGACGCAGAAATCGAATGAGATAACTCAACCCGATAAGATACCATACATTTGAGATCGCCCCGTATAAGTTGATCGATCGACACCGCGCGTGGTGGGCGCACTGAGACCATTCTCAAGTCGCACGCGTCAGTCGCACACGTCTTGGAAGATTAAACGCGCGTTCCTCGCCCCGCTTGCGCCGGTTCGTCTGCGCACCTCCCAAAGACTCCTACCCCCCCCATATCGAGCGCGCTCTGATGGACAAACACCTCCTCGCTCCCATCGTTCGGCGCGATGAACCCGAACCCTTTCGTGGCGTTGAACCACTTCACCTTATTTTTCCGATAATTTACTTTTTCAACCCGTCCGCGAACACTCTTCGTCGGCTCGAACGAATCGACGGAGGTTCTTCACGCCGATCGACGCGCGCGAACGTGATGAATTTCCCTCACGTCATCAAATCAACCCCGATCACTCCGCGACGTCGCACCGTGAACGCGCCGCGCGCCGACGTCACCTCGAGACGTGCGTTCCGCGTCGCCCGTTCCAACGCCAGACCGCGGGCTCGCCGTCACTCCACGAACGATCGTACGGAGACGGTCGTGCGCGAGCTAGATTTACGCACCGTTCCTCGCGCGCGCGTCGACGTCCTCAGCGCCGTCGCCGGGCGTCGCGTTCGTCGACGGCGCGGCGGTGCGGGCTCGAGGCGAGGCGTTCAACCCTGCGCGCGTTGGACTCTGTCATGAGTCATGAGTCATGAGTCATGAATCAAGAGCGATGCTTGAAATATCTCCGAACAAAATCGTCTCCGAACGAGGTGCCGCGAGCGCCGAGACGGCCGCACTCGATTGCGCGCGTCGCGACCGCGCGATGGCGGACGCGACCGCGCGCGTCGTCGGAACGGTGCGTGCGAAGATACATTTTTTGGCATCAATCGCGCGTTTTCTATGCGCGATGAAGCGGTGAGGCGACCCGAGCGCGCGCGATCACGTCGAGGAAAGGCGGACGCGTCGAGTGACGCGGTTGCGACTCGTCCGTCGTCGACGGGCGACACGCTTCGCGTGGTCGATGGATACATATGTCCGTCGTTTACGCTGGGGTAGAGCGCGAGAGGCACCTTAGAGGCCTCGCTCGGCCCGTCCGAGACGACGACGAAGCATTTGTTCGAAATGCAGGCGATTGACCTGGGCTTCTACTTGGTCCTCTTCCTGCTCGGTAGGTGAAGTGGTTCAACGCCACGAAAGGGTTCGGGTTCATCGCGCCGAACGATGGGAGCGAGGAGGTGTTCGTCCATCAGAGCGCGCTCGATATGGGGGGGTTCAGGAGTCTTTGGGAGGTGCGGGGGGCGGAACTAGCCGGCGAAACGAACCGGCGCATTTTCGATCTTTCAGAGGTTTGCGACTGACGGCACGAATTCGACCGCGCGCGGGCAGGGATACAAAGTGGAGTTTGAGGTGGATCACAACGGCGGGCGTTTGCGGGCGAAGAACGTCACGGGTGTTGGCGGGGTTGCGCTCGTCGCGCCGCCCAGGTCTTTCTACCGAGGTTCGGGCAAGCACGAACCGTGTCCAGGAAAGCCAAAGAGGAGAGAGAAGTCCGAGACACGAGGTTTGTGATTCATGTTGATATGAAAAATCGCATTTCTGTCTCGGAAGCGCGAGCGACGCACGCGAATTGATGATTGCCGCCGCGCAAGCGCGGGCGTTTACGATGCGCGGTACGCGCGCTTCGCGAACGGCGCCTAAGAACGTCGCCGCGATCGACATCGCCCATCCCTAGACCTAAATCATTAATATTTACTACAACCGTCGTCGTGCACTCGCTCGCGCTGGCGTGTCGCCTCCAACCTACCGCGCGTCTTTGCTATCGCTCGACATCCACGCTTCACTCCGAGTCATGCCATCGACGACCCGTTCCCAGATCGATCCATCGCGCGCGGAGATCTTCTTAAGAGAAGCCTCCAACGCGGACACGTTCGACGCCGCACCGTTACGAAGATGCTCCGACCCATCGTTCCCAGCACCCGGGAAGTTTCAATGCGAACTCACCGTGACTGCAGAGTTGACGAATCGTTTCGGAACTCTACACGGCGGGTGCGTGGCGACGATCGTGGACGTGCTCACCACGGTGGCGCTGTTGACGTTGACCGACCGAGGGGGGGTGTCCACGGATCTGTCGTGCTCGTACGTCGCGCCGGCGGTCTTGGGGGAGCGCGTCCGGGTGGAGTGTGAGGTGATACGCGCTGGACGGACGCTGGCGTGGATGGAGTGCGCTATCAAAAGAATCAGTGATAACAGTGTCTTGGCGACCGGAAAACATACGAAGTTTTTACCCGTAGGAGGCACGTCGAAGCTCTAGGACGCGCTGGACTAGGACGCCGATTGTATTGGTTGAAATCTTTTCTACGAGCGTCGATGCAGGCGCGCAAACGCCGCTGACGCGGGAGCCACGGCTTCGGCTCGCACGTTGAGCTCGGCATCGAACGTCTCGCACACCTTGACTAATATGTCGTGATGCTCCCCTAAGGCGCGTTTGACGACGTCCACGTCGGCGCGTGTCGCGGCGTCTCTTCGCGAGACCAAGTGTCCGCGCTCATCCATGGCGTTCAAGCGCGCTTGGTGCGCCTTGAGTGTCTCCGCCGTATTCTGTACCATGGTCACCAACTCTTTCAATCGGTGGCTCTGATTGCTCATCGCGCTCGCGCCCTTATCTTCTCGCTCGTTCACGCGCTCGAGCGCGGCAAGTCGTCCATTTTGATACGTAGCCGTCTTCTTCGACCACTGTGCGAGCTCCCTCAAATCCTTCGCCACGTTTTCAATCTCGTGCAGACGGTTCACCGCAGCCTCTACTCGTGACGTTTCTCTCCTCACGCTCTCTAACTCGTCCCGAAGCGTAGCGTCCGCCGCTCTCGCCCTCGATTCTAACGCGTCAAGCGCACGCTCACGTCTCTCGTCCCGTTCCCACAACTCCCCCTGCGCCGCCTTGGCCTCCCTCGCCGCGCGCTCCAATCCCACGACCTCATCCCTTACATCACGTACGTACGCCACGCACTCGCTCACGCGCCGATCTACCGCGAGCGCGACCTCTCGAGCCCGCGCGGCTTCTCTTTCTCGCTCCGCCGCGCCGCGCGCCGCGTCGCTCGCCGCTCTCGACGCCGCCCGCACCACCTCTCGCAGGTCCTCCCGCTCCCGCAGCGCCGTGGCGCGATCGTCTTTCATCGTCTCCAGCGCCTCTCTCAACGCGATCGAGAGCCCATCCGTCGCCCGCGCCAGCGTCTCCATCGCCGCGTCTCTCTTCACGTCCCTCGAACGCTCATTCTCGAGCTCGACCACGCGACGTTCGAGGGCTCGAATCACCGCCCCCACCGTGCGCTTCGTCGGTTCGGTCGGTTCCGCGCGCGCGCGCGCGCGCGCGGGCATCGCGTCGTCGCGCGATGCCGCCCCCGCGTCCCGTCGCGTCAACGGTCTCGCCGTCGCGCGCGCGGTGTGCGACGCAAAAACGTGCGCGCCAATGTGCCCGATACAAATCCACGGAAGTGCCCACGCGTATTGACGACGTCCACGGGCCCGTGCGCGTCGAAACGCGTGATGTGAAAAAGTGACCGACCGTGTCGACGGGGTCGTTGGACGTAATTCCCCACCGTGCGCCCGCGTCGACGCGGTGTCACCCGCACGCGCGCGCGTGGACGGGAATATGAATTCTACCACGTCTTCCGTACGGGGTTTACCGACGATCGGGACTCGGATGCGGGGGAAAACGCCGCGATTCGATGGAATCGGCGGCGTCGTCTCGAGACGCGGTGGTGCTCGAGGATTTCGCGTTCGTGCGCGACGCGAGCGCGTCGTCGCGCACGTGAGCGGTCGCGACGATGATATGATTAGTGAATCGTCCTCCGAGAGCGATTGGCGCGCGTTTCGCGCGCGGTTAGTGGCGAATCACCGGAACAACGACGCCCTTCGCCGGAGCGTGAGAGACGCTCGGTGGGCGCACGGGTTGGAGTGCGTCGAGCGCGGAGCGTTGTTAGTTGCCGTGGACGAAGATTCGTCCTCGTTTTGGTCGCACGTGGTGATCTTGATGTTAGGTGGGTAACTTTCGATGGACAATTGACGTGCGCGCCGCGAGCGGGCACCGACGCTTGCGGGCACCGTGGCAATGACTGGAGACTGACTGTAACGCGATGTTCGCGTTTCTCTTCGCAGATCACGCCGCGCACGGATCGACGGGTATCATCTTAAATCGCACGCAGTCTTGGACTCTGGAGAAGCACTGTCCAGAAATCATGGTGCATCGAAACGGGAAGTACTGGGATGCGTTGGCGAACGACGTCGCCGGTGTCGGCGGACCGGTGGGTTTGGCGGCACCTCGAGATCGGTCGGTGATCGCGCTCTCGACGAAGCCACAGATTGGTATGACGGAAGAGGTCGTGCCGGGGATACATCGCGTGATCAATCTCGAGAAGTTGGCGAAGATGAACTCAAAGCTCACCGGACCGAACACGCTATCGCCCGAGGAGCTGTCGCTCTTTGTCGGGTACTCGGGTTGGGCTCCGGGACAGCTCCAGAGCGAGATTGACGCCGGATACTGGACCTTAGCCGCCGCGTCGGGGGCGTTCATCGAAGACTGTATGTTTAAGCACGTCATGGACACCATCATTGATCCAACCGGAAAGCGAGTGCCGATAGATGCTCACGGTTTCCAAGCCTGGGCGACCACTCGCGAGCTGCTCGGGATGTGACTTTCGCGACGTCATCGAAAGTTTCCACCGCCATGTACATTTTTGCCGCATTCTTTTTGTTCCTTCCTCCACATACCGTCGTTCATTGAAATAGAAATTGTTTAGACGCGTTCCTACAACTGTAACAGGTCGCCTCGTCGCCTGCATCACCCCCTAATCTCACCCTCCTCCTCGCCGTCCGAGAACTCACCGTCTGCCGACAACGTCGACATTTTCCTCTTCTCCTTCGCTCGCTTTTTCCGTCGTCGCTCGTCCCTCGATGCCTCGCGTCGTCGTCGCTTATCCTTGTCCCTATCGTACGCTCCCCGCTTCTCGCGCCGCGTCTCACCAGCCCCCGTCCTCTCGCTCACGCCTCGACCCGCCGTCGACGCAAACGTTGGGAAGACTATTCGTTCCGGAATCGTCGCCTCCATTTTCGCGTTCGCCGTCGTCGCCGCGCGCAGGGTGTTACCAAGGAAGCGCAAGTTTGGTCGAGCTCGTCTTTGTTGCCCAACGACGATGGCGGGCTCGGTCGACGCGCTCGAGCAGGCCGCGGCTCGAAGCTGCGCGCGTTCGGGCGCGTCGCCGGTGAGGGCAATCGGATTGGACATGAGGGCGGTCGCGGCGCGGCTGCGAGTGCAGCACGAGAGCAGCAAGAGTTGAGACGCACGGTGACGCTCGACGCGAGCAAAGATCAACTACACGGTCTACGTAAGATCTAAATGTTCCGTTCACGCGCACCCGGCCGGGGAGCGGAACGCAAAGTACTCCAGGAGCATATTGTTCTCCGGAGCGAGACCGACGGCAGCACGGAAAAAGTTTTCCAGCATGGCGCGCTGCTTAGCGAGCGCGTTGACGACCGGCATGCCGTTGGGTACGAGCGGAGCCTTGCTCCAATACGACAACAACGCAGCCACGGGGTGAAGACTGTGGAACTTCTCACCGTCGCACTTGATTTCGACTCGCGTCAGGAGCTCAGCCACGAGACACAAGTCGAGAATAAGCGGAGCGGCGAGCAACGAGTCTTCGCACGTGTTATGCATCACGATCGTGTTCTTACCGTTCATGAAAATCTGACTCGTGTATTCGTCCATCGCTCGCTTGCTGTCGCCGACGCTCGGGACGTACTTGATCACGACCACATGATCGGGCTCTTCGCCCTTCTGGTAAAGAATCGAGTTACTCTCAACCATGTCGGAGACGACGTTCGCCTTAGAGATCTCTTTCGATCGGAACGTCTGAGGCGCGCTAAGATTCAATCCGTCGTTGTTCCCTAAATGGTTGTAGCTCACGATGGATGTAGGCTTAAGACCCGCTCCAACCAAGTAGTCGACCAACACCGATTTCATCTTTGTTTGGCCAGTCTTGAAGTCATCTCCACCTATGATAGAATTCAATCGAATCGATGCCTCGACGACGCCCGGAACGAACGTGTTCTGCGGACTTCCGTTGATGAACGGCACGCGCTCATCGATGCACGCCAAGGCAAACAACGTGCTCGGAGAGATTTCGCTCTCTCCAGCCTTGATGGCCTCGCGCAAATTTTCCTCTGTATCGTGCACTCCCGCGCGCACGTTCGTGTATCGCTCCGTATTCGCCGTCCATAACACGACAACGCTTTCAAGGCTGTTCGCTTCCTTGAAATCACGAATGTCGGCACGGATCTGCGCCATTTGATCCGCCTTGGAACCCTCGATGACGTTATTTGCCCGAGCGAGCTGGTTGTCTGCCACAAACTTTGGATCGAACGCGCTCGGCCTCGGTTTGATCCCTTCCATCATGGGTCGAAGCTGTCGCTGCAAATCAATATCTAAAACCGATGCCCGCTCCATGGCCGCCGCCAGGTTTGCGGCGTTGATGTCCCATCCGCCGATGACGACTTCGTTCGGGTCGGCTAGGGGCATCAACGACTTAAAAGGCACGTACACCTCTTCACCCTCAAAGTGCCCGACTCGACACGTTCCGCTCTGCGTGAGCGAACCGTAATAGTTCGGTTCCTGCGCGCCCTCCTTCGTGCGCCACGTCACTCGTTCCTTATTCGCGAGCACCGCCGCGGTGAGCGTCGACCCGTTGTTCCCGCCCCAACCCACAAGCATGATCCCAACCTTCGGTACCGTCACCTTCGTTCGCATCGTGAACGTCCTCTCCTCTGGTACGAGCGCGAATCGCTCCTTCACCTTCCCATTCTCTCCGTGGGAGAGCCCGTTCGCCGTCGTCGACGCCGCTCTCTCAACGCGCGTCGTCTGATAGCTATGCTCGCACTCGAGATACTCCTTCCCATCCGCGCCAATCTCTCGTCGCGTCCGCGGCGAATCCACGGTGAACGTCTCGACGAGCATCTCGCTCGACGCGTCAATCCTCGCGCGCGCCGACGCGCGCGCGCGCGATGGACGACGACCGACGACGATTATCCACCCGAGCGACGATCGCGCGCGTCCGTCCACGGCCGCCCTCCCGTCGCGTCTCCCGCGTCCGCCGCGCGTTCACGCGCGCGCGTTCGAGCGTTCGACCACCGCGCGCGCGCGCGTCGCCGCGTCGCGCGCTCTCGAACGCGCGCGCGCTCGAGTGCGACTCGAGTCGTAGGGTTTTACACGAACACCGATTCGAGCGCTCGGAAGAGCGTTTTCGTCGTGCGCAAGATTCGAGCGCTCGGAATACGACGCACCGCGACGCGCGCGACGGCGGCGCGCGAGCGAATTCGGGGCGATCGGGGCGGATTATTTTTCATCCCCGCGGCGCGCGCGTGGCGGTCGACATCGGTCGCGCGCGGCGGGAGCGACGGCGTCGCGCGCGAGAATTTGAAGACGCGCGATTCAAATCGCCGTGCCCCGCGTGTGGACGCGTCGATCGGTCGAGGGCGACGCGCGCGCGTGACGTGGTGGTGCGCGCGACGATTGATATCGTACGACGCGTGGTCGTCCGCGCGAGGGAAACATGGAGGTGCGGGAGGCGAACAAGCGCGCGCGGCGCGAAGGCGGAATGTGCTTCGCCTCGCCGCCGGCGCGAAAGTCGCTCGCGTTCGACGACACCGAAGACGCGAGCGAACGGTCGAAGATCGTGACAACGATTGCGTTCGATACACCGAGAGCGGTGGCGCAGGCTGAGCGCGTTGAGGAGCGAGGGGAAGGGAGCGGGGCGTCGACGGCGACGCCGCTGTTGAAGCGAAAGGCGAGGACGGCTCGCGCGGAGGGCGTCGACGAGGTTTCGTTCTTGACGCCGTTCGCGCGAGCGCTGAGCGACGCGTCGAATGGAAGATGTGTGGATGGAGGCCAGGGAGGGGCGGCGGCGATGGCGGCGGCGGCGGCGAGCGCGATGCCGTGCCGGCCGTTGGCGTCTCCGCCGCCGATGGCAACGCTGGCGTCTCCGCCGGCGCCGCCGAGGAAGCTTGCGTTGGGACAGAACATGTCGTACGGGTACACGCCGTCGAGAGGAGACACGCGGTACGACGCGAGTCAGCGAGTGGATTACGATGAGCCGGAAACGCCAGCGCTCGCGGGGTCATGCGCGTTGATTCCGAGCGCCCTGGACGCAGCGCTCGGTTTGCCCACGATCGACGGCGCCACTCTGAGAGGTTTGATGAGCTCACACGACGCGGAGCTCGTGGTGATCGATTGTCGATTTCCGTATGAATATTCGGGCGGTCGCGCGCGCGGGGCACTAAACTTTCATCTTCCGCACGACGTCCAGAGGTTCCTCGCCTCGCGCGCGTCAATCAGTGCGAACACAGTGTACGTTTTCTACTGCGAGTTCTCCAGCGAAAGAGCTCCCAGGATGTGGCGACACGTGAGGAACTTGGATCGACGCGACCATATCGCAAACTACCCGTCCCTATCGTTTCCCCACACCTACGTGCTCGCTGGTGGATTCTCGAAGTTCTACGAGCAGCACCCGGATTGTTGCGAGGGGCAAATGATTAGCATGTCTGACTCGCGTTTCACCAATTTATGTCGAGAGTACGTCACACGAAGCCGAGAGGTTTGGCACGTGGCCCAACGAGCAACGTCGCTTCGGCATATTCCAAGCGATCAAGACTTGATCGCCACTGCGCGCGCTTCGAACCGAGAGGTTCAACGCCGGGGAGCGATCAACTTTGACGAAGTGGCCGACATGGACAACGAATGATGAGCAAAGAAGGACATTTGAACCGAGTCGAGCGATTGTTTCAATTAACCTACGAATCGGTTGAGGGAAAACGGGCGCGGTTCAGACGTGTCGGTGGCCCAATCGTACTCGGCGTACGTCACTCGAGGAGTTTTCCCACTCGCCAGCATTGACGTGAGCGCGGCTTTTCGATGATCCTTGAGCCTTGACGCGATGAACCGCAGGACCTCGTGCGTGGTATTTCCGAAATCTTTCGCGTACCAGCTCATGATCTTTGAAAGTGTCACCGACGATTTACCCTCATTAATGACGACGGTTGAGTTCAGAAATGCGCTCGCCGCCAAGTCTAACTGCGCGTCAATGCTACTGGTGCTGTACGCTCGGATCGGTGGGCATGAATTTGCACCGCAGTTAAGTGCGAAGTGAATCCTCGGATCGAGCTTCGAGAGGGCGTATTTCGCCTCGTGTCGATCCTTGAAATGATTCGAAGCGAACTTATTCGAGGGATGCGGCGCGTTCGCGCGAAGCAATCCGTGCTCAATGTCATCCAAGGTGTAAAAATCACCACCGATTACGTAACCGACACCGCCGTAGAACGACGATCTCTGTCGCGGTGTTTCGGGGATCCCCACGTTAACGAAAGCGTGCTTCACCGCAATATTGTAAACATTCAGAAGGAACGCCTTTCGAGCGTCTTCGTTCGCCAGCTGGCCCTCGTTCAAACGAATCGATCGCAACTCGCAGGTCGCCTCCTCGAACTCTCCGTATCGATCATCGAGCGCTATCGCTCCGTAGTCGACGTTTCCCTTCTTATCATCAAAGTGACGCGATTCGACGACTGAAAACATTTTCTTCCAGTGAGCCGTGGCTTCCACCGGCGTTTTCGTCACTCGACCCGTCCACGTCGTCCTGTACGAGTTCAACACGCGTCGGTCGATGTCCATCGGTAACGCGTACGAAGATTCCCCGTGCGCGACCAGGACGCCTTCTCGGACGTACGAATCAAGCGAGTAAACCTCAACCACTTCCAAGTCTTTCTCGTCGCGTTCGCGCGAAGACAGCTCGATCGATGCGAGCGCGTTCGTTATCTCCGACTCGGTCATCGTCGGCGGCGCGCGCGCCTTACCCCCGCCTCTCCTCCAAACGCCACGAAACCACCCCATGGACGTCGACGCCTCCATCTTCGTCGCCTCCATCCGTCGATGTCCCATCGCCCTCTTCATCGTCTCCATCATCAGCGCGTACGACGCCATCGACGTCTCGTCCTCCACGTCGTCACCCCCCGCGCGCGAGTCCGCCGCGTTCGCTCGCTCCCTTCCCGACCCATCGCGCGCGTCCGGGACACTCTCTCGCGCGTCCGCGTCTGCGGTCACCGACGCGACGGGCATCGCGCGCCGCGGTGTCGCGCTCGAGCGCAATTTCAGGGCTTCTCGTCTCGGTCGAGACGACGCGCGCGACGCGACGCGACGCAGCGCGACGCGCGGTGGAGGCGAATCGCCGCGCGCGGTCGAGCGAAAATGTTCGCGTCAAGCGCGCGCGTCGCGACGCCCGCGCGCGGGTCGCGGGTCGCGCGATTGGCGTCGAGAGACATGAATCGTCGCGCGGTTGGCGCAGTGAGACGAACGAGACGATGGACGAGGACGGACGCCGTGGTCGAGGATGGTGGCGGCGAGGACGAGCGCGAGACCGTCGCGCGCGGTGTTCAAGTGAGCGTTGACGCGGGCGTGGACGAGCAGGAGGTCGGATGGGACGACTGCGGAGGAGACGCGAAGACGGGCGAGGGGCGCGTCGTCGCCTCGACGGCGGTGAAGGACGTCCCGGCGCTGACGGTTACGTTGGATTTCGGAAAGCTCGCGAGCGTGTGCTGCGGGAGCGAGGTGAACATCGAGATCGCCGATAATGATCTGTACGTGGCGAAGATTGGCGATGAGGTGATCGTTAAACTCGGATCGCGGTACGAAGTTCCCGATGACCTTTTACGGGAGCTCGATGATTTCCAACTCGCGACGTGCGGCGACGATTACGCCGTTTGGGTGCGGAAAAATCTCTTAGATGATATCGCATCGTCAAGATCGCTCGACGTGCGAGACGCGTGAGAGTTTACGAAGATGATTACGCCGCGAGACGTTGGTACAGAGTTCATTTCAAGTTTTCAACAGCCTACACGAGACTAGCGAGACGCTCGTCGATTTTCGCCGCCGTCACGACGAGACGCATCGCGGCGTCCTTCGACAACGCCGTTCCCTTAAAACCGGGAAGGATCTGACCGTTCTTCTCATAGTACTCGCGAATGTTGAGCAAAACCGCTCCCTTGTACTTGCTCACCGAGCATCGACGCATTTTTGACATTTCGCAAACCAACACCTCCGCTCCCGAGCCGTCGCATGTCTCGATCGCCGGTTCAATCTTATCAATGTTCTCGCGAAGCACCTTCCATTGCGGCAATGAGAGCGAGATGCCTTTCTTTCCCGGAAAATACGGCCCTTCGCCCCCCTTTTGGTAGTACTCACGAAAGTCAACGAGCGTCGCGTTGTTCCACTTTCGCACCGTTACGCGCTTCGTCGCCGATAACGCCACTACCTCGTTCTCCACCGCGTCCGACCTCGGACTCGTCGCCAACTCATTCGTCTTCGCCGACGTCTGCGGCGTCATCGAGCTCGTCGCCGCCCTCGCCGGAACCGTGCTCTCTCCCCCGTCGCAGCCGTCAGCGATGAACCACCGCGGCGCCCCGCGCTCGCTCTCCGCGCACCTCGCCAATCCTCTCCCCTTCGCCGCGTACAAAATCTTATTCACCGCCCCCTTATCACGCTTCAAGAACTCCGCGATCGTCTTCGCGCACCCACCGTCCTCACCCAGCGCCCGCAACGCCGCCAACACTCGGCTCTCGGCGACCGCCGGCGACGGAGGCGTCGCGTCGTCCTCCGTCATCTTCGCCCGCTTCGCCTCCACCGCCTCCACCGCCGCGACGTACCCACCGACATCATCTCCATCGTCGTCACCCCGTTCTCGCGCTCGCTTCACCGGCGTCGACTGCGAGAGAAACTGATCGATCTCGTCGGAAATCACATTCGCATCCACATCCAGCGTCGTCTCCCCCGCCTCGCTCGCCCTCGCGCGCAATCGCTCGCGCACCTCGTCCCGCACCGCCCGTTCGGTCGCCCGCTCGAGATCAACCTCCAGGAGGAGCTCGCGCGCGACCGCGCGCGTGCGCGCTTCGTCGAACGTCCCGCCCATGCGCGCGCGTCGCCCCGTGACGCGCCCACGGGTGCGGTGATACGTACATCACCAGCATACGTCCCATGTATTCGTCCACAGAGGTTCCACCGCGTCGACGTGGACGTCACAGCCGCGCCGCGTGGACGCGTCGCGCCCCGCGTGCCGGGCGCGACGGACGACGCCGTGGTCCACGTCCACGCGCGAGGCGGTGGTCGACATGTCGCGCGCGCGCGGGGCTGTGCGCGCGGCGCGAGAATGCCTCGCCCAGGGTCGAGCGATGACGACGACGGCGTCGACGCCGTGGACGACCGCTCGACGCTCGACGTCGACGACTGCGGCGCGCGCGTCGATGGGCGCGTCGATGGGCGCGCGCGTCGTGGGCGCGCGCGAGGGATTCGGGGCGATCGGTCTCGGATTCGGGGCGATCGGTCTCGGATTCGCGGCGACGGCGGCGCGCGGGACGGAGGCGCGCGCGGAGGCGCCGGCGACGAGCGCCGCCGACGCCGCGCTCGGTGGTCAGCGCGTGACGTTGTATCAGTACGATGTGTGTCCGTTCTGTAACAAGGTGAAGGCGTTTTTGGATTACCATCGGGTGCCGTACGACGTGGTGGAGGTGAACCCGCTGACGAAGGGCGAGCTCGGGTGGGTCGAGGACGGGTACAAAAAGGTCCCGATCGTCACCGTGGGCGATGAGAAGCTGAACGACTCGAAGCACATCATCGCCGAGCTTACGAAGAGATTCGATGCGAGTGGATCGAGCGCGAAGACCGCGGGATGGTTCGGGAAGAAGACGCGCGCGTACGCCGAGAAGGAGGAGGCGTGGTGCAAGTGGGTGGATGAGCGCTTCGTGCACGTGCTCACGCCGAACATCTACCGTACCTGGGCGGAGGCGGTTAAGTCGTTCGATTACATCACGAAGAGGGGGAATTTCGGATTCTTCGAGCGTGAGAGCGCGAGGTGGGTGGGCGCGGCGTCCATGTACGTCATCGCGCACCGCGTGCTGAAGAAGCGACACGGCATCGAGGACGAGCGCGCTGCGCTCTACACCGAGTGCGACAAGTTCGTGAAGGAGGCGGTGGGATCTCACAAATTTTGCGGCGGTGATGCGCCGAATAACGCGGACCTGAGCGTGTTCGGTGTCTTACGAGCGGTGAAGACGTTTGAGACGTTCAAAGACGTCATGGAGAACACGACCATCGCTCCGTGGTACGAGCGCATGAAAGTCGCCGTGGGACCGGCGACGCGCACGGATGGGATAGAAAACTAAACTACGCGAGTTATCCGTCGATGATTCCTTCGACACAAGTAATTTTACACGATGCGCTACGGTGAACTCTTCGTCTCGCGACCTCTTCAGCTCGGCTCGATGTGTCGCTCGCTCCAAGTTTGCGGAGGTAAAGCCCCGGTCGTCTTGAACGCCAAGTAGGACCTCAACACGTACTTCCCTATCGGCGTGAACTCCTCTCGCCCGTCCTCGAGACTTCTCGCGAGCTCATCCAGGGGCTCCCAAGAAGCCGAACCGGCTTCGACTTCGCCGTCCTCGAACGCGACCTCCGCATCGTTCCGCAGAACGACCTCGAAGCACGCACCCCACACACGCATGTACTTGTCCTCATACGGAAACGTGAACAGCTCCGATACGTTCGCTCCGACGCTCGCGTCTGCTCCGAGCTCCTCTCGCAGCTCGCGTCGCATCGTCGTCGCGTACGCCCCGCCGTCTCTCCCTTGACACGCCCCGCTCGTCACCGCATCGAGCGCCCCCGGCCAGACGTCTTTGCGCATCGATCGCCGCGTCACGAGCGCGGCGTTTCGTCGCAGAACTATCGCGAACGCGCCTCGCCCGAGCGCGCGAGAGGCGACGGTTCGCCTTCGACCCATCTCCCCGACGACGTCATTCTCCTCGTTCACGATCGCCAGCGTCTCCTCCTCCATCGCCTCTCTCTCTCTCGCGCGCCGATGCGTTCGCCGTCGCCGCCACCGCGGCGTCGACGCCCGTCGTCGCGTCGCGCGCGCGCCGAGCGACGCGCGCGATCGCGGCGTCATGTGCGCGTACATCACGACGTGGCGTCCGATGTACGCGCACGGCACCACGTCGGACACCTAAACCCTACACCGACACCGAGGACACACACCGAGTCAGGGGTCAGGACCCACCACGAGTCCCTCGACGGACCCTCGCTTCGGGGTCTCGCGCGCGCGCGCGTGGCAATCGCCGACGCGCGACGCGATCGGCATCATGCACGCCGCGCTCACGTTCTCCAACGCCGTCGCGTCCACCGCGTTCACCGCTCGAGGTGCGCGTCGAACGCTCGCGTCGTCCACGCGCGCGTCGCGAGAGATTCCACGACGCGTGGCGGGACGGAGACGTCACCGCCGCCGGGACGAATCATCCGCCGTGTGCTCGCCCGCGCGCGCGCGCGCGGGGGGGGTAGGGGCGACGACGGCGAAGGATATATTACGCTTCATGTCCACGCGCGGGCTCACGCGCGTCGAGGGCGCGGCGAGCGCGACGCCGAGGGGGGATAAGGATGGCTCGAAGACTGACCCTGGGAACCCTAACTTTTACGCGACGCAGCGAGCGCGTCCAAGCCGGTCGCCCGTGGATCGCTGGTGATCCGTTCGGCGCAGAACAAGGAGGCTCGAGTGCGTTTGTCCCGCAAGGAGCGATTGTACAACAAGTCTCGAAAGTCTGAGATCACGACGCGCATGAAGAAGGTTTTCGTGGAGGCGACGCGCCTGAACGCGAGCTCGGCGGTGAGCGACGCGGACATCGGTGGGCTGGAGAAGTTGATCTCGGAAGCGACGAAGGCTGTGGATAAGGCGGTCCAAAAGGGGGTCTTGCACAAGAACACCGGTGCTCGACGCAAGGCGCGCATGAGCAAGTACAAGCACGAGCTTCGCCAAGCCAAGGGCCTCATGACGGCGTAGGACTTCGACGTCGCGGACCATCGGGGAGGTTATTCATTCATCATCATATCCTTTAGCGCAGAGACGATGCTTGTAACGTATCTTCACACTAGACACGCACGCGGTTGCACCGTGACGTGATGTCACTACGGTCATCGTCGGGAGATGACGCTCGACGCGGAGTCTCCCGCCCCCCGCCCCGCACTTTGAGCCATGCGTGCCGCGCGCGGGCTCGTCGTCCTCACCAGTCCGCGCGTCCGTCGTCTCAATATCGCTCGAACATCCCCGTACATCGCGTCCGACGTCGTTACCGTCCATCCAGACGAGACGCTCGACGTGCTCGGTCGCTCAAAGCTCAAGGCGGTGCAGAGCAGAGTCGGTTACAGGAGCGGCGTCGACGCGTTGGCGCTCGCTTGGCGCGCTCACGCGTCGTCGACGACGAAAACGGACGAGTATGAACGACTGAGGATCGCCGATCTCGGTGCTGGATCGTCGGGGGCGGTGGGATTAGCGTACGCGTTGGCTCGGGAAGCGTCGGTGGTTGCGCTCTTCGAGCTCCAGTCTTCGAGCGTGGAGCGATTGCGACGCACGATCGAGGCGAATCGACGAGCGATTGAAAAGGTTGGGCTCGACGTCGAGGTCATCGAAGCGGATTGTGGGGATTTAGGGGAGGCGGAAGGATTTCGAGGCGCGTTTGACGTTGTGCTGACGAACCCGCCGTATTTCGACGAGTCAAAGGGAACGCTCGCGGGACGCTCAGAGGAGCGGCGCATCGGGCGATTTGAGAGCACGGCGTCGTTAGAAGATTTTTGTACGTTCGCAAAGACGATGTTAAAGGAGGACGGCGGAGAGTTTCACGTCGTCTATCCGTTCTTTCAGCGAGAACGATTAGAGAGAGCAATGGTGGACGTCTTCTGCAACGTGCGCGTGGCGGCATGTTACGACTACCCCGGAGCGGATCGGGCGAGTCTGGTGTTCGGTAGTGCCAAAACCGGTGATAAGTGCGGTAAGATTGAACTTGAACCGTTCGCGCTCCATCATCGGCCTCGAGAGAGCGACGGGAATCGCGCGTACGTCGACGACTTTGAGCGCTTTCTCGCGAAGGTCGCCGAATCCGACGTGTAGAGTTGTCATATTTATTGTATCACGCGTATTGTATCTACCGGTACTTTCTTCGTATCGTTGTATCCATCGTACGTGTAATAGTTCTAGCGTAAGGCTGCGCCTGGATCCTCTCCCGGAGTCGGCACCCACAATCCCGAGTCCACCATGGCTTTCATGTGTTTCCTTGCCTCCTCCATCGGCAACGTGTTCACGTACGCCTTCAGCGCGTCCACTGAACCCGAATCGAACGCATCGCGCATCTCTTGAGGCAACGAATCGTACACAGCGACGGGATCCATTCCCCCTGGACCAAGTCGCTCCTCGACCGGGACGTCCTCGAGAGACATCGGTTGCTCTTTCTCGGCTTCCTCGCGAAGCTTTACCAGCGCGCGCTCCTGAAGCTTCTCAAAGTATTCCTCGAACGACCTCTCATACTCTCTCGAGACGTCCGAGTTCGAATCCAATCGCTTGAAAAATGGCTCCGCCGCGTCTCGATCGCTCTTCTTCCCCGCCTCCGCGAATTCACCGATCGATTTACATGCAAAGGCGACTCTCGCGCACGTCCGCGCCTCCCGCGTCTTCTTTTCCATCTCTAAATACAGCGCCTTTAACAACAAGTATCCCGTCGCGTGTTCTCCCAGGAGGTGCACCTTACCGTTAGAAAACCACTCCCCCATCTCTCCGTACGACATCGACCCGTTTATCGACGCTATTTCGTCTAAATCCTTCTCGTATGCCCGAGTAAACTCCTCGTACGACATCCTCTTCACTCGTTCCTCCTCCTCGGGCTTACACTGCGCCCCGACCAAGGTCTTCTCCGCGCTCACGTAACACATCTCCTCGGCGTTGAATTTCTTCGCTCGCTCCAACTCCGCAATCTCGGATTCAATCTTTGACCGCTCCGCGCGTTTCTCCTCGACGCTCGCCTTGGCCAGCGCGCCTCTTTCTTTCATCTCTTTCATCGTCTCCGCGTCCCCATCTCGCACGTTCTCGAGCGCCTCCGCGCACGCAACCATGGTGCGTTCGTTCTCTTTGATCTCCTTCGTCAGCGTTGACTTTTGAGCCCGTAATGTTTCAATCTTTGCCAATCTCTCCCGCTCCTTGTGTTCATGGTTCTCTCTCTTGATCCTCCGTAAAGTCTGCGCCTCGATGAACTGCGCCCCGGGATGGGAGTCCTCGTCGTCGGAGAGCTCGATGTTATCCCACTTGGAGTAATCGAACGGCTTGGACATCGTCGGATGACAGTGCGCGGGGTGACGTGTGCGGCCTCGCCGCGTCGCGCCGGGGAGGGAGAGTCGGAACGCGCGGGCCGGAGGCTCCGTCGTAGAGCGGTCGTGGCGGATGGGAGCGACAGAGAGGGGAGTCGTGTGAATATATCTATGCACTGCGAAGCATGATCGCGTTACGTCGCGTCGTGAGGAATACGATCGATTGAGAGGTTGCTGGAGGCGAACCGCGACGCTCTCGCGGATGCCGACGGAAAGTTCTACAGGCGCGCGTCATGGGTGATCATGCCGGTCAACCGCCGCGTCATCACGTCCACGGCCTCGTCGATGATGCGAGCGACGAGTTCATCGCACGTAGGAGCGTCGTCGATGAGACCCATGACACATCCAGCGCTCCAGACGCTCGAGTCGGGATCTCCAGTTTCTTGAAACGACTGGCGATAATTTTCTCCGCGAACCAAGTGATGAATGGCGCCGAAATCTCCGGGTTTTACCGCCTCTATCGCGCGCACCTCCTCCGCCACCTTGTTTTTGTACACCCGCTCGTGGTTCTTCACCGTGGTCATCACGAGCGTGGTCTGATTCTCATCCGCGCTTACGAGCGCCTTTTTGATTCCTTCCTTAATCGGCGCCTCCCTCGTCGCCATGAATCTCGTTCCCATGCACACCCCGTCCGCCCCCAGCGCGAGCGCCGCCGCGAGCTGCCGCCCCGTCCCCACCCCACCGCACGCCAAAAACGGCACTCTCAACCGCTCCTGCGCTTTCGCCAACAGAACCATCGCGCCGACGTCATTCGTCCCCGGGTGCCCGGCGCACTCGTACCCGTCGATCGACACCACGTCCACTCCCAATCGCTCCGCCGCCAAAGCGTGCCGCACGCTCGTGCACTTATGTATCACAATCTTCCCCGCGCGCTTAAACATCTCGATGAACGCCCCTGGCGACGCGCCCGCCGTCTCCACCACCGCGCACGCGCTCTCGCAAATCACCCGCGCGTACGATTCGTAATCCGGCGGTCGCAGCGTCGGTAACAGCGTAAAATTAACCGCCAGCGGCGCCTTCCGTCCGCGTCCATCCGTTCGCGTGATCATGCGCAGCGCTCGATCGATCTCCGCCCGCAGCGCCTCGGGCGACGGCTGCGTCAGCGCCGTGACGGTTCCGAGCGCGCCCGCGTTGGACACCGCGCTCGCGAGCTCGGCGTAGCCCACGTGGTGCATCCCACCGCACACGATCGGGTGCTCGAGCGCGGGCACGAGATCGGTGAGGCGCGTGCGCAATTTTGCCCCCATCGAGGCCACGGGCGCGATGGAATGCGGTCCCGAGCGAGGCGGTGTGTGCGTCCTCGGCATCGTCGCGACGCCCTCGACGGCTGTGCGCGACGCCCGGGCGAGGGCGAACGGGTTATGGGGGGTCGAACGACCGCCGCGGCGTCGTCCGCGCTCGCGCGAGCGATGTGGACGCGATGCGGGGCGGTGGTGGACGGGCGAACGATGGAAAAGGTGACGATCGGACGCGGGCGGCGGCTCGACGATGTCTTCAAGCGCGTCGTGCGCGGGTCGAGCGACGCGATCGGACGGCCCAGACGGGACGGAGGGGGTGGTGACGCGTGTGCGCGACGCTACGCGCGCTCGAGCGCGGCGTCGTTGGCGGACGCGCGGTTTCCGGGTGGCGTCGCGGCGAGCGCCGGAGCGAGCGGGACGCGGCCGCGCGAGACGACGTTCGAGACCGGACGCTTAGCGCGATTGACCGACGGCGCGGTGATGGTGCACAGTGGAGATACCGTGGCGTTGTGCGCCGCGACGGCGAGCAGGGAGATCGATAAGGGGAGTTTGGTCCGAGGGTTCGCGCCGCTTCTGGTGGACTATCGCGAGCGGTCGTACGCGAAAGGAAAGATCCCTAACACGTTCACGAGGCGCGAGGGGGCGCCGAAGGAGCGGGAGATATTGGCCATGCGGGTGATAGATCGAGCGACACGGCCGCTTTTCGATAAGAACATCGGGAGAGAGGTGATGCTTCAGTGCGTGGTCATGGCGAGCGACGGCGGCGAGGATCCGGCGGTGCTGGCGGTGAACGGAGCGAGCGCGGCTCTGATGGCGTCGAGCATTCCGTGGAACGGGCCCGTGGCGGCGGTGCGCGTCGCCATCATTCGTGACGGGAGCGGCGAGCGCGAGATCGTGGTGTCGCCCTCGGACGAGGTGGTCGAGAGCTCGGACTTTACGCTCTTTTACGCCGGGAACGACTCGAGGACGCTCATGATCGAGGCGCAGAGCAACAAATCGGGGGGGCTGGAAGAGTCCATGCTCGCCGATGCCCTGCGCGTGGCGCATCGAGCTGTGCGCGAACTGTTGCCGGCGCAAATCGAGCTCGCGAAAGAGATGGGTAAGCCGAAGCAGGAGCTCGTGCCGGCGGCGGTGACGAGCGAGATGAAGGAGGCGGTGTACGCCGCGATGAAGACGCGACTGCTCGCGCTTTATGAGGAGCACATTCAGGACAAACACGAGCGTGGGCGTAAGATGGCTGAATTACAGAGCGAAGTCGTCGCCGAGCTCATCGAGGCGAATCCAGAATGGGCCGAGAGCGTTGACGCGTTGGGCTCGGCTTACTTTCAAACGTGCAGTCGAGTGATGCGCGAGCGTATCTTTGACACGGATACGCGCGTGGACGGTCGAGGACTATACGACCTGCGCGCTCTGGATGGTGTCGCTGGGTTGATGCCGATCGTTCACGGCAGCGCGCTGTTCGAGCGAGGGAACACGCAGGCGTTGGCGACGATCACGCTGGGCTCGCTCGATGACTCACAAAAGTTGGACAACCTGACGGGTCCGACTTCCAAGCGATTAATTTTGCACTACTCGTTCCCATCGTTTTCAGTGAACGAAACCGGTGCAAGAGGTATATCTCGGCGAGAGGTTGGACACGGTGCGCTTGCCGAGAAGTCACTCCTAGGAGTCTTTCCAGATGAAGAGTCTTTCCCGTTTGCCGTGCGTGTGAACACGGAGACGCTAGAGAGCAACGGTTCGTCTTCCATGGCGGCCGTGTGCTCAGGATCGATGGCGCTCATGGACGCAGGCGTACCGATCAAAGAACACGTCGGCGCGATATCGATCGGACTCATCATGGACGAGGACGAGACCACTCGGGAGGTGAAGCGATACAAGTTGATGGACGACATCATGGGTCTGGAGGACGTCTTGGGTGACATGGATTTCAAGATCGCGGGCACGCGCACGGGCGTCACGGGCATTCAGCTCGATTGTAAGCCGATGGGCATTCCGCTGGAAATTCTCATCGAGGCTCTCGATCGCGCCTCGGCGGCGCGGCAAAAGGTCATCGATGTCATGGAACGCGCAGTTAAAACGCCGAAGACGGATGTGAAAGACTCCGCTCCGCGTTTCGGTAGAGCTTCGATTCCGGGCTCACTTATCGGCAAACTCATCGGACCACAAGGTTCCAACATAAAGGCTCTGGAGAAAGATACCGGCTCGAAGGTGGCCGTGTTGAACGACGACGGCGATCTCGCCATCTTCGGCCCAAACAAGGCCTCGTATGACGCCGCCCTGGCGCACATCGAATCGATGAAGAACTCGATCATCGAGGTCGGCAAAACGTATGTGACTACCGTGAAGGATGTGATGCCCTTTGGTGCCGTGCTCATCACGTCGAACGGAGACGATGGGTTGCTTCACGTCAGTGAAATTGCGCACGAGCGAACGGAGAATGTGGCGGATGTGTTCTCTGTCGGCGACGTGGTGGAGGTGAAATGCGTCGCGCGCGAAGGACCGAGCGGTAAAATTAAGTGGAGTCGCAAGGCGTTACTGTCGCTCCCACGACCGCCTGGACGAGAGAAGCCGCGCTTCACAGTGAATAAGAGGCAAACGAGCAGTGAATAGATTGTAAGAATTTGGGATTTTTGGTTGTCAACATTTCAACGTTAATCTCCTCCTTGTTCCAGTAACCAATCATCAACGACGGGTTCGACGATCGCTGCGAACAGTTTCTTACGATTCTTGGTCACGGCTTGGTACAGTTCGCCCAAAACTCTGGCTGAGATGAGATTTTGCTCCTCATTTGCGACGACGCGCATCTCGAACCCGCGTCTACGTTTACGCTGCGGCGCCACGGGCGACTTCGGTGGAGCGATACCGCCCCGGAGCTCCACCTTCGACATCTCTTTATCGAACCAAGCGCGGACGTCTCGCCCATCGTCGACGCGGATGCACGGGAACGGGTCTTTCAAGTCTTCGTCTCCGGCAATGATGGCAGTCGCGGCGTCAAACCACATCGTGATCTCCATATCTCGCTCCGCCGCCGCATCGTCGCCTTCATCACGCGAGAGCGAAACCAGGGCACCGTCAATGTCGCGGCCGTAGTTTTCAAATCGCTCGCGCGCGCTGTAGGGGCCGACGACTCGCCACGCGTCATCCTCTCGGCGGTGAGCCACCATGACGTGCGGAAGCCTTGACACAAGGTCATCGTACGTGAACGGACCGAGCGCGAATTCTCCCCCACGCGTGTCATCCGGCAACCACCACTGTCCCGCGTACGGTTTCGCAGCGAAGAAACGCACGGCCTCGGCCTCTCTCTTTTGAGTTTCCTCCTGTGCCGAGATTTCAGGCATTCGCTCGTCCCGCTCGCTCTCCCGTCTCGCCTCGGCCGCCATAGCCTTCGCCCTCGATTCGCGTTCCTTGGTCACCGCAGCCTCTCGTGCCTCTCGTGCCGCAGCTTCTCGCGCCTGTTGACGATCAAGACCCCCGGGTTTCACGCTCCAACTTACGTCTGACCGATCGCTTTGCGCATCAGCACTCTGCAGTGGCTTAGCTGTGTTCCTCAACTGTTCCGCCACCGCCGCGTTCAGCGCCTCCGGATCGAGCTCCCCGTCCTTACTCGCCCGATCTTCTATGACCCAAAACGGTTCTCGTAGATCCAACGCCGCCGGTTCCTCCGGAAGCGCCCCCTCCTCATCCAGCACCTCGTCGAGTTTGCTCAAATCCGGCCTTGGATCCCGCACTGCCGCACTCACCTCCAACGACCACGTCGTGTTCGTCTCATCCGTCTCTGCCATTGGTTCCCGCATTGCCGCTCGTCCCTTCCGCACCATCTCCCGAGTTGCGCTCAAAATGTCCCGCCAGCCGCGTGGCTTTCGATACTTCTCCAGCGCGATCGCCGACGCGTCCAGCGTGATCCCTAGTGCGTCCTCCTCCGCGCCCGAATTCTCAGTCTTCGACCCAACAACTCGATCATCACCCAACCCCACCGCAAAACCCGGCACCGCGGGCATCGGGAGCGACCCACCGCCCATTTTCAACAACCGCTCCAGCTTTGCATCCAGCGAGCTCGTACGCCGCGTCTCAGCCTCCGTCACCGTCTCTCCTTCCTTCACCTCGCCCCTTCCTCGGTCGAACAACCGGTCGACAATCTCCCCGATCGTCGTCTCCACCCCCGTCGACGCGCACGCAGCGCGCTGCGAGCGAGGCATAAAACCGTCGAGATGCCATCTCACCAGCGCCGCCTCCTCAAACGGACCCTGCGTCTCGCCCTCGAGATCGACGTACGTGTACGACGTCGACGGGTCGGCGACGCGGTCGAGATCGGGAGGGAGGTCCGGGGTGGACATCGGCCGCGCGCGCGCGCGGGGTCGCGACGCGGTTTGAGGTTTTGGAAAATAAAAACTTCTCAGTCTCGTGTCGCGGACGTTGTCGCACACCGCGACGCCCGCGCGTTCGCTCCACGCGAGATTCAACCGAGGGAAAGGCGTTCACGGAAATCTTCCTCGGACGCGGTGCGCGTCGACGCGACCGCGCGGGCGCGGTAGGGCGTTGGATATTTTGATATATTGAGCCATTCAGTGAATTGGCTCGAAGCGCGCGTTAAACGACTTCGTGAAGCGTCAAAACGCGATGGTGGGCGACGCGAGATCGGCTGATGATATCTCTTCCGACGATGCGCCGGTTCGGCCGACGACTGCGTTGACGTCGTCGTCGGCCGTGGACTGTGCGGCGCCGGCGCGCGAGACGTTTATGTCTTCGGCGCGCAGGTACGGAATCGAGCGATCGAAGGCGACATGGAGAGATAGGACGTTTCGAAGCGCTTTGAAAGTGCGACTGGGGGCTATTTTAGTGGCGATGGTGACGGAGGGGATGATGGGGTCGTACGACACGTCTCGAGGATTGGGCTGGGACGCGAAAGCGGGCGCGGCGTGCGGGTTTGTGTGTCGGCGCGCGAGCGCGCTTGCGGCGTGGGACGGCGTGCACTTCACAAACATCGCCGTAAATGGATATGAGTTCGAGCATCAGCACGCCTTCTACCCGGGTTTGCCGTTCGTGATACAACTATCGTCTCGCTTCGTGCGTTTTGTGACGCGCACGATATTGCTCAGAAACATACCGGAGACGTGTTTAGCGAACCTCGCCGCGATCCTGTTCAACACCATCACGTTTGCGTTAAGTGCTACGGCACTACACTCTCTGTCGAAGACGATGCTGAAGAATGACGGCGTCGCCGAGGCGGCGGCGCGACTGTACATAATCAATCCAGCTAACATCTTTTACGGGAGCGCATACACCGAGAGCGGGTTCGCCTGGGCACAGTTCGCCGCTGGATCAGTGTTAGAAGAGAACACGATCGTACTCGCTGGTATTCTATTCGGCGTGGCGACAGCGTTTCGCTCGAACGGTGTTTTGAACGTCATCATTGTGCTCTCGCACATTTCTCGAGAGGTGTTCCTCACGTTACGCAATAGGCAAGATCAGCGTCGGCACTTCAAAGCCGCGCGATGGATAAAACGCGGATTCATCGCGCTCATATTAGTAGTGTTCCCACACTACCTATTTGCGCGCTTCGGCGAAGCCAGATACTGTCCGTTCAGCATCAAAGTGAAGCGGCCGTGGTGTCAAAATCGATCGTGGAGAAATCTCTTCGGCCTGATCCCGAGCCCCATGTACTCCTACTTGCAGCGACATTATTGGGGGCTCGGCTTCATGTCGTCGTATCACGCGAGAAATCTCGGAAATGTCATTCTCGGCGCGCCCGCGATCGCGATCGGGGCGTATCTGTCGCAATGGTTTCTTCGCGAGCGCGCGAGGCGCAGCGCCGCCTTCGTCAAGGAAGACCATCAATTCTTCGTTTCCGCGTACTACCTGCAGTTGGCGGTGATGACTCTGATCGCGGCGACGTACATGCACGTTCAGGTTGCCACCAGGTTCCTGAGCACGTCGCCGGCGATGTATTGGGGATTAGCGCACCTCGGCGCGAAGAGTCCAGCGCTGCGTCTCGTCGTGACGACGTACTCACTCGCGTACGCCTTCGTCGGCGTCGCCCTCTTCGCGAGCTTCTACCCGTGGACATAGAACGCGAGTACGAATCATCGTTTGTAATCTACATCGCTAGTAAAAACCTACCGCCGAAGCCGCGTCGTCAAAAGTCAATTTTTCCATCCTGGACTCCCGAGCGCCTCGCCGAGTGTCTTCCCCGCGTCGCCCGTCTTCAACCCATCTCGAATCTCTCTCGCCTCTTTCACCGCCTTTCTCAGCGCCTCGATCGTCTCCCGCTTCTCATCGATCATCACCCGCATCCTATACTCCAAATCTGCCATCGCTTGCGCCGGTCGCATCACGTCGTTGATCGTCCGGTGCGCGTTGTTCAGAATCGCCGCGCACGCGTGCGCGCTCCCATCGCTCATCCCAGGCGCATCCACGCAATTCCGCAGCACATCGACGTACCGTTCGCACGCCGCGTTCGCGCACTTCACGATCTCCTCCCGCGCGTCCGCCGACGCGTCGCACACCACCGGATGCGCGAACTCGGTTCGTCTCGCGATCTCTTCCCACGTCGCATCGTCGTGCGTCGCCCCGAACGCGGCGTGCGTCGACCCTCTCTTCGGCGGTCTCGGCGGTGGCAACCTCGCCGCCGCGTCGTCGCCGTCGCACAGGACGTAAAACGCGGGCGGCGGCGGGAAGGGCGTCGCGCTCGTCGGCATCGCGCGGTGCGTCGACCTGTGGCAGCCCAGAACGACGCCGCCACCGTGACATCACCGCGCGTCGACGGGCGATCGATGGACGAGGGCGAGGCGCTCCTCGCGCGCGCGCGCGGCGGCGACGTCGCGTCCACGGCGAATCGCGCGCGCGAGACGTTGGACGAACGCGTCGCCGACGACGATGGTGTTGCGCTCGCGGATCGACGCGATGGGCGATGGCGACGGTCGACCTACGCGCTGGCGACGTGCGCGGTGACGATGGCGTTCGTGGTCGGTATGCTCGCGGTTGGGCGCGCGGTGGGACGCGCGAGGGCGGTGTCGGAGACGGAGACGAGGACGGCGACGCGGGCGCGGTTGGGCGCGCGGGCGCGGCGAGGGGGGGGCGGCGCGCTCGGAAGAGCGACGAAGGACGCCGTGTTCCTCACGTACAGTGATCGCGTCGTCCCAGGGATGTGCGTGAGCGGAGAGACGGCGGCAATGTCGGGAATAGCGCTGCGAATGCTCGGCTCAAACGCGAGAGACTCCGCGAGATTCGACGTCGAGCGCGTGAAGAACCCAAAGACGAAGAAAGTTTTCGCGTGGCTCAAGGCTCTGACGGATGATGACATGCGAAAAGAGCTCGGGATCGGGGACGATACGATCGTTTCGCTCGGCGACGCGTCGGACGTCATGTACGTGCAAAACGTGGAGGAGGTCCTCCGGCACTTCAAGGACATCGAGCTCGAGAGCGGGGGAGCGACGAAGAACCTCGTCGTGGCGAGCAGCGAGAAAAATTGTTGGCCGTGGGTCATCAAGGGACGCGAGAGGATACCGGGCGGGTTCGAGGCGTGCAAAAAGTATCCCCGAGACGTCGGCTCGACGTACAAGTACTTGAACTCTGGCAACCTGATCGGTCGGGCGAAGGGCATGGCCGCGCTCCTGAGCGACGTCGTTGCGCGCATGAAAGACGTGAACGAAGACGACCAGTTGATCCTGGCGAACGCGTTTTTACGTCAAGTGGAGTCGAGAACGAACAAGACGAGTGCAAATCCGGCGTACACCATTACGCTCGATTACCAGCAACACCTCTTCGCACCAGCCTGGGACACCGCCATGGAGAGCAAACATTTCGCGCAGTACGGCAAGAACACCGTGTACTACGATCGAAAATACGCGCACGTCGTGAACACGGAGACGCACACTCTACCGACCATCTTGTCCTTCAACGGGGACAAATCGAACCTCTACGTCGTGGCGCGTCACTTCATGAGACACCACGCCAAGCATCCGAGGTATCAAGAAATAAAGGACGTGATATCCGACGAGTATCAGTGGTTTAAGAATACGTGTGAGGACATCATTTCAAAAGTTCTCGCGGGCGAGACCGTGGAGAACACTAAACCGAAGCACCGCGGCGGAGGACGCGCACCGTAGAGGCTCGCACCGCCGCATCGTTTTTGTAGCTCATAGACTCAATTTACAAATCGAAAACTATCGACAGACCTCCTCAGACTCGCCTTCGCTCTCGGCCACGACGAACGCGACGCCGTCGCTCGTATTAAATACTCTTTCCCGCTCTTCGGATCGATCCAAATCTTCACCAACTCTACCGCCGCGCCAAACCGCCCGGCCGTTCCGCCGCCCACCAAAGTCTCAATCTGATGTCCCTCGCACGCGCGATCCCCCACGCGTACCTCCACCGTCTTTTTCCCGATCGTGCGCTGATTCGGCGCGCTCTCCGCCCGCAATCGCGCGTCCTCCTCCAACGTCCCGTACCTCTCTCGCGCGCTCAGCTGCTTTACGTCGGTGATAAACACAGCCAACGTGCTCGCCTCGTCGTTGAAATCCTTAAACGACGCATCCACGCCCACCGAACGCGCCGAAGAGACGTCCTCCAGTGCGCTCCACCCGCTCGGCCACTCGAGCGCGTACGGACGCGGCGACAGCGAATCGCCGTCGCTCTCAAAGACGTTCCAACCAGACGCGCTCTCGACGCGCGTGAACCCATCCTGGGCGTTCGCTTCGCGCGCGCGCGACGCACAGACGACGCTGAGGAGTATGCGCGCGACGCACACGCGTCGATCGAGCGCGAGAGCGCGCGCGCGAGGCGTCGAGTCGTCGAAAGCGATTCGGTCGGTCCCAGACCGCGTCGAGACTTCTCGACGCGCGCGGCGCGCCTCGGACGCGGCGAGGGGGGTCGTCCAGCGCGCGCGCGTCGCGTCTCGACACTCGACGCGAAGGGGCGATAGAGCGGCGCGCATCGCGACCGGAGAGGCACGGAATAGCGAAGAGAAGACGAATCGACGGAAACGATGGAGAAACACGCGCGCGAGCTGGCGCTGCGCGCGGACGAGCGTCTGACCGCGGCGCGCGCGTCGACGGTGATCGGAAACGTTGGAGTCACACCGAATACGCGGTTTCGGGGATTCTTGCGAGACGTCGCGAGGGCGCTGGCGTCGCAGGGAGGAGCGGGGCCGACGCGAGACGCGCGAGACATGCCGAGGATGTCCGACACGTGTTTGAGAGCAAGCTTACACGTCGCTTTGGTTATTCCACACGACAGAGGTAAGCGTTTGAGAGTGATTCAGCCTTGGTTTCGTACTTTTCAGTCGTTCACGGGGTTGGATTGTTTTCGTTCACGTGCGTTTGACGCTGACGTTTCGCATCGTAGGGAATAAGCGTGTGGCGATCGACGAGGATACAAACTTCACGAAACTCCTGGCGAAACGAAACTCAGAGGCCGACAGTTATCTCTTCGCGTCGAAAAAGTTGAGTAAGTCTGAGCGAAAGGGTGGTCTTGGGGCGAAGCACGAGCGCGTGACGACGAGGAGCGTGGACGAAGACGAGAAGCCGATTCCGAAACCGCTGCAGTCACAGCAAGGAGCTTCAAAACCCACGACGTACGCAACTAAAGCGGGAGCGGGAGCGGGAGCGGGAGCGCAAGGGTCGTCATCATTATCATCACCGTCGAAGTCGACGCAAAACGGCGGCGGCGGCGGCCGTTCGCTCGGACCGCTCAACTCCCAGGCGCGACGCTCGCAGAGGCGCGAGCGCGAGCGACACGCGAGCGACGCCGCGTCGCCGTCCTCCGCCGTGACTGACGTCGATCGATTCGCTCGCGACAAAAATCGTGATCCTGTAGTCTTCCCCGCCTTCCGTCGATCGCCGCACGGCGCCATCGGGGATAAGTTCCTACCCACCTCTCGCGAAAGAGACGGCGTTTCGCCTGAATCGCCCAACCGCGCCGCCGGCCGTCGATGACTGCCCTACACCTAGCGAACTCACTTCATCACCTCCGCGGCGCATCACGCATGAAATTACACGTCGGTTTTCAATCATGCATCAACGCTCGCCCCGTCAAGCGCGCGCGTGGTACATCCAGAACCTCCGGAACGCCTCGCGTCTCAATTTGGCACCGGTGGGCCATCGGGCTCGCTTCAAGTCGTTAAAGGCACGCGTACGTCGAACATGACGGCGACGCTCGACGCCGACGCCGACGCCTCCGCGGATGGTACGCGTTAGATCGACGCGGTCTGGACGTCTCTACATCCGAAGCGACGCCGCACCGCGAACAGACGCGCGTCGTCGACGAAATCGCGACGAACACGGTCGATCTGAGACAACGATGAAAACCGAATGGATTTCAGCCCACGCGCGACGACTGACGATGATCCGACGGCTGTGATGCGCGCAGTGGACATGCGTTCGTACGAGAGCGCGGATACGAACGCGTCGCGGTCGGCGATCGGAACGAGCGATGACGAGGGGAGCGATAGCGAGGCGATGTTCGCGCGCGCGGCGGCGGTGACGCACGATTGGCTTTGCGATTTCGAGTCGTTGAGAAAACGGGGGTCCAAGGCGCACGGCGAGACGTTTACGTGTGGCGATGCGAAGTGGCGGTTGATGATGTATCCGTTCGGGACGGAGCGCGTTCGGGCGGAGTCGTTGGATGACTGCAGCGTGAGCTTGTTTTTGGACACGGTGGACCGGCCGCGGAGGGAGGACGAGCTGAGCAAGGAGTGGCGGCGACACTGTAAGTTTGAGCTCCAGATGCTGCATCCGAAGGACGCGTCGATGATGGTGTCAAGGGACGCCACGCACTCGTTTTGCGAGACGGAGTCGGATTGGGGGTTCACTTCATTTGTGTCCAGGAAGGATGTGTACGAAAAGGGATACGTCGACGCCGAGGGATGTGTGACTTTTCGAGTCATTATCACGCCGTGCGAGGAGCACGAGGTGGAGAGAATCGGAATGCAGAACAATGTCTGCAGCGAGTACGACTCGCGTAAGGAGACGGGCTTCATCGGGTTGAAGAATCAGGGCGCGACGTGTTACATGAACTCGCTCCTGCAGACACTCTATCACATTCCTTCGTTTCGACGCGCCGTCTATCATATGCCGACGAACGAAACGGAGGAGGCGCACCTTTGCATGCCATTAGCATTGCAGTCAGTCTTCTACTGCCTGCAGTACGCGAGTGAGGGAGACGTGAGCACGGAGGACCTCACACGGTCGTTTGGATGGGACTCGTACGACTCATTCATGCAGCACGATGTGCAGGAGCTCAATCGAGTGTTGCAAGACAAGCTGGAGGAGCAAATGAAACAAACGTGCGTCGAAGGCACCATACAAAAACTGTTCGAAGGCCACACGACAAACTTCATCGAGTGCATCAACGTGGACTATAAGAGTGAACGCAAGGAGGAATTTCTCGATCTTCAGTTGGACGTGAAGGGATGCAAAGATATTTATGCGTCTTTCGACCGCTACACGGAGATAGAGAAATTAGATGGCGATAACAAGTACCGCGCCGAGGGCTTCGGCTTGCAAGACGCACGCAAAGGTACTCTGTTCCACAACTTTCCTCCGGTGCTGACGATTCAGCTCAAACGCTTTGAGTACGACTTCAATCGCGACACGATGGTGAAGATCCACGATAGATACGAGTTCCCCGAAGAGCTTGATCTGGACGTCGGCGACCGGAAATACCTAGTTCCCGACTCCGATAAGAGCGTTCGGAACAAGTATAAACTTCACAGCGTCCTAGTGCATAGCGGTGGCATCAACGGTGGCCATTATTACGCCTTCATTCGGCCAGATTTACAAGATGAAGACGCGCAGTGGTACAAGTTTGATGACGAGCATGTGACGAAAGAGTCCACCGAGAAAGCAGTGATGGACCAGTATGGAAGCGGTGGCTCAGTTCCCGTCGATAGTGATATGGAGGCGGATGACGATTCAACAAACGTGCGTGTTGCGCCCAATTTACGCTATGCAAAGATGAGCAGCGCATACATGCTGGTGTATGTACGAGAAAGTGACATGGATCAGATGATGTGTGATGCGAATAAATGTCACCTCAGCGCGCACCTTCAGGCGCGTTTCGCCGGCGAGCAGGCGGAGAAGGAACGGAGAGCGCTGGAGAAGGCTGAGGCACATCTGTACACAGTGATCAAGGTTTTGCAGAAAAAGAGTATGCAAGAGCAGATTGAGACGGAAAAGTTCTTCGATTTGGGTAACTTCGACAGCGAACACGCAGTGAGATTCCGCTTACCGAAGAAAACGACTTTCAAGAAGTTTAAAGCGCTCGTGGCCGAGGAGCTCGGCGTGCCCGTTGCGCGTCAGCGATACTGGTTGTATTCGCCACGACGAAACAAGACTAGCCGTCCGGTGAGCGTCATTCCAGAAGAAAAGTTACCGCACGATGCGACGGTAGAGAACATGCGTGTTAAGTTCGGATCGCCAAATCGGTCGTACAATCCCATGGGTGAGTTCAGGCTTTTGCTTGAGGAATTCGACGACAAAACAGAGTGTTATGATCTCAGGCGCTGCATCTGCCTTCACCTGAAGGTTTACAATCCGTTCGAGGCTCGTCTTACTTACGCCGGAAGCTTTTACGCGAACGTGGATGAAACGCTCCACAATAAGTTGAGAGTGATCAAGGAAATGGCTGGAATCGATCAAGAATCGAAAGTGCTTCTGTTTGAAGAAATCGCCTTCGTGCACGATTCGGCAATTCAAGTCGATTTGATAAGTCCACATCAGATTGAGAACTTCGCGCTGATGGACGACAAAGAGAGCAAGGATAGTTTGCAACTAGGAAACGGTGACATCTTGGTCGTTCAACCGGACGTTACCGAGGTCATGGAGGAGACTCTGAAGTTCCCGAATGTTGCTCAGTTTATGGAGTATCGCCACAATCATCAAGTCGTCATTTTCCGCGACCTGGCGGAGTCAAAAGTCGATAAAGTGCGGCTCGAGCTGACGAAGTTGATGAGTTACGATCAAGTCGCCGAGGCTTTGGCCGATGCAATCGAGTTGTCAGATCCCATGCGTCTGCGCTTCACTGCGTACAACGTGTACACTAATGGTCCGAAGAGTGTGAGCTACAAGTTCCGAGGCATGGACAATTTGGTTCAGATGCTGGACAACCAACAGAGTGAGGTACTTTACTACGAAGTTTTGGACATCCCCTTGCCCGAACTCGAGCAGTTAAAGACACTCAAGGTGTCGTTCCACGCGGCGAACACGAAACTGGTTCAGGAGTTTCAGTTGCGTCTGCCGAAAAACGCGACTGTGCAGGACGTGTTGGAAGAGATCAAATCCCAACTCGGCGATAAGGTTGGCCCGGATCGAAAGTTACGCTTGCTGGAGTTGTTTTACTCTCAAATTTACAAGGTTTTCGACGAGGATAAGGAGATCGCTGACATCAATGATCAGTACTGGACGCTGCGCGCCGAGGAAGTCCCTGAAGACGAGCCTGAGACGGACAAGCTCCTCAGGGTGTACAGTATTTCGAAAGATTTGTCCAATCCGTCGCAGTTCCACTGCTACGACGAACCATTCATGGTTCGCATCTCAGAATCAGAAACCTTCGGTGCGCTCAAGGAGCGCATCAAGAACAAGCTCGAGGTGCCGGACGAAGACTTCGCCAAGTGCAAGTTTTACGCGGGAAACGTCCCGAACCGCTTCGAACCCCTGAGTGACGATGACGACTTGCTCCTGTCCACCAAATTCAATCGAGTCGACAAAGACGGCTTCTTAGAGTCCATCTTGGGCATCGAACGCGACGTCAAGGGCCCAAGACGTCCCGCGAGTCGACAAGGCAAGACCACGGGCGGGTTCGAGCGCGCGATCAAAATCCTCTAGGCAAACGTCGAGGTTCGACTGTAATTCCACACACAAAACGATTTGATACCCTTCACGCGCTCTTGAATGCGAAAACCGCATGCGTCCCTCTCTTTCCAGCGAGTCCGCACTCAAAAGAATAATTGACGCACGCTAGCGTTCGTTTTCAACGTCGATACAATATGTGTGTGTTACCCATACACAAGACGCTGATCACCGAGACAGAAAACAGTAAAAACAGCGCGACGTGAGTGAACGCGCGGCATCGATCCGTCTCTGTTCGACGCGTCATGGCTACGTACGTCGGCCCCCAAGCGCGCGAAGGCGAGCTCGTCTTCGGCGTCGCGCATATCTTCGCGTCGTTCAACGACACTTTCGTGGTACGTCTCGGATCTCCTTAGAGAAGCGACCGCGCGTTCGAGACGGAGAGGCGAAAGCCCTAGTGAGCGCATGATCGCGCTTTGTACGACCGTCGACGTCCGTGCAACGTCGACCGTGTGCATCAAAGGCGTGGAAACATCGATCGTGACTCTTCTTCGTTCGATTCGAGCGTGTACGACCGGAGACTGACCTCGCGCGCGTCCGTACACCCAAATCACAGCACGTCACGGATTTGTCCGGTAAGGAAACCCTGAGCCGATGCACCGGCGGGATGAAGGTGAAGGCGGATCGCGATGAATCCTCTCCGTACGCGGCGATGCTCGCGGCGCAAGACGTCGCGGCGCGATGCAAGGAGCTCGGAATCACGGCGTTGCACATCAAGATGCGCGCCAAGGGCGGTAACAAGACGAAGTCGCCGGGTCCGGGCGGCCAGAGCGCACTCCGGGCGCTCTCGCGCAGTGGCATCAAGATTGGCCGCATTGAGGACGTAACGCCGACGCCGACGGACTCTACTCGTAGAAAGGGTGGTCGCCGCGGTCGTCGTTTGTAGGCGCGCGGCCGGGGTCGCGGCCTTTCGTAGCACCACTACTAGCCAGTTTGTGAGAGGAGGTCATTTCATACTTCAAGGAGCCGTCGCAATTTCTAAATATCCTCGAGCTCGCGGCGACGCGCAAACGATGCGATCTGATGATACAGCCTGGTTACACGACAAGATTTGACGCGATGTTACGCGCTGGTTACGGACGAAAGCGCGACGAAGACTCAGTTCACCGTGGTCAAGGAGACGGAGCCGACAACGCGCAAACGGAGCGCGCCAATCTCACGAAGCGGTCTGCCGTACAGACTGTCCACCGGATCCTTGGAAAACGCCAGTTTCCAGGTGCATCTCCGAGGAAGCGTCGACATCTTGGGAGGATCGATAGTGGGAAGGAGCACTGCGGCGCCCACGCTCTCATCCTCGCTCCCATAATCGTTCACATCGTCCTCCGCCGAGTCTTCCAGCACAGCCCCTGGGGTCTTGGGCAACGGGCTGTGCCCGGGACCGAGGCGTGATTTACTCGACATCGGCGATTTTACGGTCTCAACGTTCGTGAGATCCGCGAAAGGCGCCGTCGAGCGCATTGGAGACACGACGACATCCTCGAACCAGCGCATGGCCGCCGCCAGGCGCGGCGTACTCTCGGGCTGAATCTTGGGCGAAAATGGTGACATGATGAGCGATTTAATGCTTGCCGCGCTCTTTGCCGCGAGTTCGCGCTCGATACTATGCTTTTCCATGATCAAACGGGCGAGGTCGTCCTCATGTTGTGCGATGACTTCGTCCAGGTGGGCGGTTTCCTCGCGATACTCTGCCAAATCAACCTCCAACTCCTCGTTCACGCGCTCGAGATCGATCAGCCTCTCCGTCATGACGCACGCCTCCGATCTCAACCGCTCGATCTCCACCCTGTGCTTCTGCGCCGTCGCCTCACTCTCCTCGTACATCTTCTTCAAAGCCTCCTCGTGTCGGACCGCCGCGTGCACCAGCGCGTCACGGGCCGCGTTCGCCCTCGCCTCCGCCGCCTTCGCCCGCGTCTCCGCCTTCGATCGCTTCTCATCAGCATCTTTCAAATTCGCATTCTCTCTCCTCAAAACGTCCAATCGCTCCTTTGAGACCGCGTTCATCTTGGCCCTCGCCTCGGCGTCGGCGCACGCCACCGTGAGCGCCTCGACGTGTCGCCTGAGGTGTCGCAGTTCCTCCTCTCGATCGTCCGAATCCACGGACGACGTCTCGACGGACGATTTTCGTTCACACGCGTCGTCGATCACGTTCGCCCGTCCAACGTCGACGCGATTCAGCGCGCGGCGGAACCACTCTCTCGCGGTGCGTCCACTGATCTCTCTCACGCGCGATGCATCGCGCGCTCGAGGCGCGTCAGGGGAGTCCCACGGACCCATCGCGCGTGAATACGCTCGGAATTAATGCCTCGACCGGTTTCGAGCGCGCACGCGCTCGAGAGACGCGCGCGCGTCCGCGTGTGCGCGCTCGAGCGTCGACGCGACCCGACGGTTCCGTTCCCCTCTCGTCATAGCGGTGGCGTCACGCGCGAGTACCTTTATGGCGTCGTTTTATACGAGACACGCGCGCCACACCGCGAACGATCGTCCGCGACCGTCGCTCGTGTCCATGCGGTCGCGCGCGCGGCGTCGACGACGACGGCACGACCTCGCGCGCGTCGCCGTCTGCCTCGCGTCCGTCGCGAGCGCGTCGGGAGCGGGCGGGGATGCGACGGCGAACGCGGATGACGACGGGTCCAACACCCAGGCGGGCGCGACGGACGCGCTCTTGGACGTCGTTCGAGTGCGCGTGCGCGCTTCGGAGGCGATGACGGCGTCGGCGCGCACGGCGCAGACGTTGGAGGCGTCGCTCTCGGCGGCGATCGGGGAGCGGGAGGCGTTCGAGGCGTTCGAGGCGTTCGCGACGACGCGCGGGTTGAAGCGAGAGTACTGCGGGAGCGAGAAAGCGTGGCCGTGCGAGGAAAGTGAGCGCAGGGCGAAGATATTCGCAGAGAATTTTAGGGTTTTAAGTGAGTTGGAGGCAACGGCGTCGTTGGGCGATGAAAGTAGGCGGCATCATCATCATCATAACGACGGCGACGACGACGACGGCGAGCGCGACGAGTCAAAGTCGTCGAAGGTGTCCTCTCGGGTGAGGTTCGGGCCCAATCTGTGGAGCGTCAGGACCAAGGAGGAGTTTGAAAAGAGTATCGGAACGCTTAAACCATCGCCCACTGAAGAGCGCGATCGGAGTAAGGAGAAGAAGGATGGCTGGCGCAGGATGCACCAGGAGTTTCTCAGACGAAACGAAGACATTTGGAAAAACGAGAGGAGCAGCGAGGGTGACTTGTTCGACGCCGAAAACCTTCCCACGCACTGGGATTGGCGCGACGTCGGCGGAGTGGGCCGTGTGTGGGAGCAGGGCTTGTGCGGCGGGTGCTGGGCGTTCACCACCGCAGCGGCGGTGGAGGGTGTGCACTACATTTGGACCAAGGAGCCGGTGACGCTGTCGCCGCAGATGTTGTTAGAATGCGATCCGATCGATCAAGACTGCGTGGGTGGGAACATGGTGACCGGATACCAGTACGCGGTGATGAAAGGCGGGATATCAGCCGCGGGAGATTACCCAGTGCATCCGTACACTTTGAAGACGAGCGAGGTTGGTCCGTGCAGAACGAACACGGCTCGGAAACACGCCGCCTCCATCGACGACTACATCATACTGGATAACGACTGGAAAGATTTAAAGTCAGCCATCTACATGCAGCCGGTTTCCGTCGCTGTGAACGCGCTCGGCGCACCGTTTAGATTCTACTCGGGAGGCATATTGACGTACGACGACTGCCAGCCAGACTGGAATCGGTCGCCCAACTTGATAAACCACGCCGTTGTGGCGGTCGGTTACGGACACGACGATGATAGCGATTTAGATTACGTCATCATTAAAAACTCTTGGGGGGAAAACTGGGGCGAGGGCGGGTATGCGCGCATCGCCATTCAGGGCGAAGCGTACAACGCAACGTGCGGTCTCCTCATCGAAGCCGTCGCGCCATTGAAACTGAGCAACCTGACGTACGCCGATCCGGATTACATTCAAGGCCTGGACGACTTCATCGACTGGACGCCGAAGATGGACGTGAACACGGTGGGTGGCATCGTCTACGTCGTCCTGACAGCCGTCATCCTCGTTGCCGCGCTCTCCATGGGCGTCCTCACCGTCATCTCGTGCATGACGGAAGACGACGGATACTACTACAGCGATCTGGACTACGACGAGTATGACAAACACTTCAATGTCAAGGACCAAAAGTTCGGTTCCGAGCGCGATCTCTCCGGGCTCTCCGTCGCTCGCGAGCGCTCTCGATTCGAGGCCCACAGCGAACCGGTAACCGGTCTCGAGTACGCCGGTCGATCCGGCCGAGATCCAAGAGATCAGTACGACGTTGTCCCCGTCCGCGACACACTCTAGCATAGAGAATCTTTCGTTCTCGCGTCGTACTTTTGATCAAAAATCATCCTAGCCGACCTTGCCTCCGCGTCGTCGCACGTCGCTCGCTCATCCCCTCCCCGGTCGCCGCACTCCAAGGCGCATCATGCCGCCCGCGCTCCCGTCCGCCACGCGCGTCAAAAAGTTCGTCATCGACAACTTCTTGGTCTGCGGCTTTTCTCTCGCCCTTCTCTTCGGTCTCACCGTTCCCGCGGCTGGCAAAGAGCTCGCGAGTTGGGAGGTCAGCTCGTGGAGCGTCACGCAAACGATCTGCGTCGTCGTCATATTCATCATATCCGGGGCGACGCTGAAGACGGAAGAGATCTCCTCGGCGCTGGCGAGCGGACGACGGGCGTACGTCTACGGCGCGGTGTCGATTTTAGGTCTCACGCCAGTGTTGGGGTTCTTGGCGGTGTGGCTGCCGTACAAGCCGCGGGAGTATCGGTACGGTCTGGCGTTGTTCTGTTGCGTCCCGACGACGTTGACGAGCGGGGTGACTTTAGTGCGTAACGCGAAGGGGAACGTGGCGCTGGCGATGATGCTCACGGTGTCGACGAATTTGATTGGGGTATTCACGGTGCCGTTTTATTACAACGCCGTCGTGGCGTCCGGGCCGGCGTTGAGCGGAGCGGTCGAGCGATCTTTGACGAGCGAGATGACCAAGCAGGCGATCAAGTTGTTGGTTAAGTTGATTTTTACGATACTGGTGCCGATTGTGTTCGGGAAGTTGGCGAGGGAGAGCTGGCCAGCGCTCTCGGCGGCGGCGACGAAGTACAAGCAGGAGCTCACGCTGACGAACAACTCGTGTCTCATCATTGTCGTTTGGATGTCCATATCTAAGAGCTCGAGCGAGTTGAAGAGTACTGATGCCGGTACCATCTTCGCCGTGATGTTTGCTGGGATAGTGTTACACTTAGTGATGCTCGGGATCAACTACGTCGGGACGCACGCGTTCGGCATCTGCGGTCCCGAGCGTGTCGCGAGCGTCATGATGTCCAGTCAAAAGACCCTACCGGTGGCGATGACCATAATCTCCTACCTTCCCGAGGACGTCTTCGGCTCCCCAGGTCTCATTGCCGTCCCATGCATCGTGTGCCACATCACTCAACTATTCATGGACGCGCCGCTCGCGAGTCACCTCGCGATTCGCTCCGACGCCAAGCTCGCCGCCGCCCAACCCCCCACCGCCGCCGTTTGATCGCTCTTCATCTCGATCGTTGTATATCACGATTTTTTTCATCATTTTCGCGTGTATCCATCATCTTCTATCCTGTGCTGCTCTGGAAGCGAACCGCCGCGCGTCGTCGTCGTCGTCTCGTCGCCGCCCTACGCCTCGCGTACGACCGCAGTCGCCGCCTCGCGCGCGCGCGCGCCGCGGACATGCCCCAAACGCTCCGCGACGCCTTCATCTCCGACGGCATCGTCATCGTTCCCGACGCCATCGCCCGAGACGTCGTCGATGACGTCGTGAGACAGATCAAACGCGAACTCCGAGACCCAGTGGTCTCGGGTGAGTCTGGGTTCCCCAGGGGCGTCGACTGCGACGATCCCGCGTCCTGGCCCTCCGGAAGCGCGCGACGCGTGGTTGAGATCGTCCCGCCGAGCGATGGGGCGGATTGGTGCGCGTTACGGACGAGCGAGCGGCTGACGGAAGCGCTGGACGAGGTGTTGGGCGGCGCGCGGTGGGACATTGAGCTCAACGACGTGGACGCGGTGAATGGAAAGTGCGACACGAGACATTGGTACTGTCCGGTGACGTTTCCAGAGAACTCGTGCGAGAAGGCGGTGCGGTGCGCGCGAGAGGCGAGGGCGGCGATCGCGCGGGCGGAGCAGAGCGAGAAACGAAGACGGACGAGCGACGAGAGCGGCCGGTGCACTCCGGCGCCGGCCCGGTGGACGGAAGGGGACAGTGCGCGGGCGAAGGAGCTCAGGGAGAGTGGGTTGGAATGGGACTTCATCGCAAAGATGTTGAGCACGAGTGAGCTGACGTGGTCGGCGAAGCAGTGTGAGGAGAGTTTTCAAGCGTCGTGGACGCCGGAGCAGGACGCAAAGTTGCTCGCAGCCGTGACCGAGCACGGAGAGAAGTGGCAGCACATCACGTCCATGATGCAGCAGGTTCGACCGGGGTGCACGAAGAAGCAGTCACGTGGAAGAGCGATGATGCTCCTGGACGAGCGCTCGGCGAACGTAATCCACGAGGAGCGGGAGTACAAGGCGAACGCGGCGGCAGAGGAAGCCGGAAAGACCCTACAAGTGGACCCGGCCAAGTCCTGGCACCCAGTGAATCGCAGGCGCATGCTCAATCGTGGATGGCATCTGGACATCGGTGCGGGATTTTCACCAGACGCGGTGCGAACGCCGGAGGGACATCCGTTCCAGGGGGCGATAATTTTGATATTTTTGTCAGACTGTGAACCCGGAGGCGGAGGCACCGCGTTCATCAAGGGTTCGCACAAGTGGGTAGCCCAGCACGTGCGAACGAAGGGCGGGATCGTTCACAGTGATCTTAACTCGTGGGCAATCGAGTTGGTGAGCGAACTCTCGAGCGCCGGACGTTTGCCGTTGTCGTACGAGATTGATGCGAACGAGGCTGAGAACGCCATGAGCCGCCACGACATCGACGGCGTCATCGAGCAGCTCGTTGGCAAGGCTGGCACCGTGGCGCTGCTTCATCCGTGGCTGATTCACAGTGGAACAAGCAACCTTTCGTCACAGGTGCGTTACTTAGCGAATGGCATGGCGAGAGTGAAGGAAGAGTCGTTTAAAGAGCAGGGCATCCCTACCATCAAGGAGGTCGCATCTGACCAGCCAAAGTATTCGCGCACGTTGGATTTCATGCCGTCGACGGAACCCGACGAGCAGGTCGTTCGACCACCAGTGGACGAAACGTTACCGCGCGTGAGCATCATCGTCCCCGTGCACAACGCGGCGCGATTTTTGGATGAAACGTTGAGCTCAGTATGCGCGCAAACCTATCGGGGACCAGTCGAGGTGAGCATCTTCGACGACGGTAGCACGGATGAGTCAGCTAAGTTCATTAGACGTTGGCGAGAAGCCCTCGAACGCGTTGGCATCTCGGTCGTCGTGAACGGGAGCAGGTGGCCGGAGAGCGCCCAGTTTGTCGCGGAGGACGCGCCCAACTGTGGGATTGGATTTTGTAGGAACCGCTGCATTCAGCAGAGTAGTGGGTCGATTCTCGTATTTCTCGACGCCGACGACGTCATGATGCCAAACAGACTCGAAGTCCAAGTGCCTCTCGCCATGAACAATCCGAGGGCGATCATTGGCGGGTGTTGGAAACGATATCCCAGCGGCTCAACAGAGCACTATGAGGCGTGGGCGAACATGATGACGCAAAAAGAACTTCACCTCGAGCAGTTCCGCGAGTGCACGGTGCTGTTACCAACGTGGTGCATGACGCGAGCGAATTTCGATGAGATCGGTGGGTTCGTTGAGGCTCCTCCAGGGTCTGGCGAAGCGGAAGACTTGATCTTTTTCCAAAGGCACTTGCAGTTGCACTACGAGCAAAACGAACTGGACAAGGTGCCTTCGATGTTGAGGGCTGGAGATTACCCGCACAACCCCGTACTTTTGTACAGATGGAGTCCACAGAGTGCGTCGGCTCGGTGCAGTAGACGTAGGTTACTTCAGGTTCGCGCACAAGCGTTCGAGGAACGTATCTTGTCGCTCCCGACGTGGGAGAAATTCATCGTTTGGGGCGCCGGGCGGGACGCGAAAAATTTCTTGAACGAAATCTCGCCGTCGGCGCGGCAAAGGGTGCAGGCGCTGATCGACGTCGATCCGCGGAAAACTGGACGAAAGTACACGAATACGAACGTTGGAGACGAAGTGTCCGTGCCCATCGTTCATTTTGCGAAGGCGCCGAGAGGACTTCCAGTTGTTGTATGCGTCGCAAAGCGGCGAAAAGGTTCGGGCGTTAGCGGGGATTTAGAATCCAACGTCGACACGCTCGGGCTCATCGAAGGGACTACGCTTTGGTACTTCAACTAAACTAAATAATCACTCTAGCTACCAGGTATAGATCAACAAACCGTTTGTAATTTTCTCAAGGAGGCGTCAGTGAAATGAACTTGCGGAACCGTTCAACCATGGATGGCGGCCATCGACGAATGCGCGCGAGCCAATCATAGTCGCGGTAGAGTTCGCACCCATCCAGCACGGGGCCACCCTCTGCGAGCTGCCCGCTGTTGATTTTTTCGCATGACCAATTCCAGTTGTCCTCGGCTCTCTGCTCGTCTCCTCGTGACCAATAGAGCGCTGCGAGAGCTGCGCGCATGTCCACTGACCCCGCCGCGCGTCGCTTCACCTTTTCCATATCCTCGATCGCCTCGTCCACTCGACCAAGTTCGACTTTCATCAGTGCCGCGTTCGACGCCGCGTAAATCGCCCCGCTCAGGTTTCTCGACTGCTGGAAAATTTCAGCCGCTCTCTCATAATCGACAAGCGCCTTCTGGTACTCCCCCACCGAGTTGTAGCAATTTCCTCGCGAGTTCAAAACGTACGGTGGCACCGCACCAATCATCTCACTGTACTTGATCGCCTCGCTGTAGTTCTCTATGGCCTCGCGCCATCGCGCGAGCCCTTCGTAAGCGAGCGCTCTGTTCGATAACATCCCGAGCGATCGATACTCCTTCTCATACTTCTTTTCTGCAAAATCGTAATCCACGATGGCGTCCTCGAACCGCTTCAGGTCCACGTACACCTGCCCCCGTCTCTCTCGCCACACTGGCTCTTCAGGTTCGAGCTCAATGATCGCAGTGAGCGCGTCGAGCGCTCCAGACAAGTCGCGCGCGTAATACGCCGACTTTGCTCTGCGTTCGAGCGCATCGAATGCGCTCATCGATCCCATCGATGCGCGCGCGGCGGGTCCATCAAATCCGACGACCACCCAGAGCGCGCTCGAGAGCCCGAGCGCGCGTCGAGACGTCGTGCGAACCATCGACTTCGACAATGTGAAAGGTGTCTCCTCCGAAACCGTCGCCCTCGCGCTCGCGCGCGCTTTGAAAAACCGCGTCGCCGAGGAACGTTTTCTCGGACACCGTAACGCCACCCTCGCCGCGCGCGTCGCGGGAGACGACGTCGAGAGACGTCCCCGGAGCGCCATCTCGCGACGCGCGCGAGCGAGTACGGTGCCCAAACTGAACATGTTCGAGCGTTGGACGTGGTCGGACGCGTCGTCGGCGACGCGGGCGCGAGAGGCCTTGCTCGGGGTGTGCGCGGTGAGTGTAGTGGTGATCGTCTCGCTGTTGGCGCGATTGAGCTCGATGGGACGACGGCGCGCGAAGGGGACCACAGAGGCGACGCGAAGAGCGCGCGCGCGAAGAACGACGCGGTGAGGCACGCGCGCGACGCGACGCCAATTGTCTTTAGCTTTAGCTCACAGTGTGAAAGAAACGTGTTAGTACCGATGCGATCGCGCGGATCACTGAGCGTCGGTGACCCTGAAGTCGGTCTCAGCGACGCCGAAGAGGAGTGACGGGAGTGCCTCTGGAATTGCGGATTGACGGTTCAATCTGCGCTTCTTTTGCGCGCCGTCGTCCACCGACTTGTCTTTTCTCGCGCCGAGTTTGGGCATCTGGATCATCCCGAGCGGCATGCGCGGGCCGTCTTGGGCGGCCGGCGCCGCGTCTTCTTGTCTGTTCTCCTTAGCGGCGACGGGCTCGATTTGCTTCTTCTCGCGCTTCGCCTTGGTCCTCGACTTGGTGACGACGCGCTTGACCGGAACATCGACTTCTTCGTACTCCTCATCGTCTTCGCCCTCGTCCTCGTCTGCATCACTCGCCTGGGGCGGTTGGAACGGCTCGCTCGTGTCGATGTGGCGAGACGCCGGAGGCGCGCGTTTCTTGCTTGCGCCTGAAGACGCCGGCTTGGGCATGGCGACGCGATCCCGTCGAGACGCTCGCTGATCGCGACTGCGTTTGGACACGTGCTTCGCTCGCGATGCGCGGAGGTTATCCATCACTTCCGCCGCCGCTTTCTCCGCACTCGCGACATACTTGGATTGCGGTGCCGAGGCGAGTCGTCTCTCGAACGCATCGTCATCGCGAGCGAGGAGCGTCTCTCGCATCTTCTCGATCTCGGCTCGAGCGCGCTCTAGTGCCTTGTCTTGATCCTTCACGCGACGCTCTAGAGCCTTGACCGCGCCCGTCTTCGCCCCGAGCTCGATCTCGACCTCGTCCAATCTCGTTCGCAGCTCCGCAGAGGAGTCACTGGCGGACGCCGACTCGCCGTCGACGCTTCCCTCGGCGCGTGCGTACAAACGCTGGTTCCAATCGGCGAGTTGAGTCTTGAGGAACCTCTGCGCGCCATCTCTTTCGGCGACCGCGCGCTGAAGCTCCGAACTCTCGCCCTCGGCCTCCTGCACCTTGCGCCTGAGCTCTTTGTTCTCCTCTTGCGCGTGCGCAACTTTTTCCTCCAAGCGAGCGATTCGAGCGTTCGCGTTCTCGCGCTCTAGTCGGACCTGGAAGTCATCCATCGAACTCGTCGGCGGTTTATTTGCAAGCTCCTCCTCGCGCTCCGCGGCGTCCGCCAACGCTTCGCCCGCATCTCTCAACGCGTCCCTCAAACGGTTCGCCTCTCTTCGCAGAGCCGACGCGCATTCGTGCTCCTCCACTAACTGCGCCTTGAGAACCTCGTTCGATGTCAACGCCTCGTCGAGATCGTCCCTCGTGCTCTCCTCCCTCGCCTCCAAAATCTTAATCAACCTTCGAGCCTCACTCAACTCCAATCGTGCGGACGATAGCGCGTACTCGCGCTCACTCAGCTCGGTGCGCGCCGCCGACGCGAGCGCCTCCATCTCCCCCTCTCGCTTCGCTCGCTCGCTCGCGAACGCGCTCACAACGATCGCAAGCTTTTCTTTCAACAAAGCGATCTCCGCCTCACCGTAGCGCCCGGCCGATCGCGCCGCGTCTAGCTTCCCCAACAACGACGCGGAGAAGCCCTGTGTGTGACGAGCCAACAAACGTCAGTCACGCCGCGAAATTTGGTTCGCCTCGTCCTCTCGTTCGCCCCGCATCGCGTCTCTTGCGGTCAGTATGGATGAAAACATAAGACGCGAATACTATCTTTGCATTCATCGACGTCTCATCGCGTCAACGTCCTCGCGCGTCGCGCGTAAAGCGCGATGCGCGACACCTCCCGCGCGAACGGTCACTTGACGCAAATGCGTCATCGTACGTCGCGTTCGATCACGACGCCGACGCCCATGGATGCGAACACCGAACGCGTACCTCGATATCGTTCCGGTACATCGTCTCCGCCGCGTTCCGGTCCCGTAACGTCATCGCGACGACGCACGACGACGCCGAGTGCCGCTCGGGGCGACCGAGGACAACGGCTCCCGCGTCTCCACGCGCGAGTTCCCCTTTGATCGCTCACTGGCTGTTTTCACGCACACTACGGCGCGCATACGCGTGTACGTGCGCGACGAACGACACCACGATGCGTATTACACGTACATCGAACGCTATATAATTGTCACCAAAGGTCCCTTCGCGAGCACGGCATGAAAATCACCGCTCGCGAGACGCGGGCGACGCATCGGATGCTGAGATTCGCTCTGGACGTGTTCAGTTGGTAACATCTAGCCTTGTTTCGTGTGATGTATGGAAATTACCCCGCCCCGCGCCCCGCCCCGCGCGCGCGTCCATCGACCGATCGTCGATCGCGCCTCGGCCGAGGCGTCGCCTCGACGCGTCGACATACACGCGCGCGTTATCGGAAAGAAGATGTCCGCTCAATTCGCCTCCACCGCCGTCGTCGGGTACGTCGTGGAGAGAGATGCGCGTGCGCGCGAGAGACGCGGCGCGAACGTGCGCGGGGTCGATCGGTGCACCGAGCGTATCGCGAGATACGGGCACGATCGCGTATCGGGGCGTCGTTCGCCGCGCGCGATCGGTCAGGGGGCGCGCGAGGACGTGTTGTGGTGATACGAAATGTGTTTCATGCTCGTGAGTAGGTTTTGATGGAAGAACGAGAGACTGACGAGCGTAATCGCGCGATTTATCCATCGACGCAGGCTCAGAGCTCCGAAGACCACCAAGCGCTCGCAGCGCTCGGTTTCGGTTCGCGCGTCGACGCAGCCGATGTGGTTCCCGGGAATGGACGCCCCTCAGCACTTGAAGGGTGAACTCCCGGGTGATTACGGCTTCGACCCGTTGAACCTCGGGAAGGAACCGAAGGATTTGGAGTGGTACGTTCAAGCCGAGCTCCAACACGGACGATGGGCGATGCTCGGCGTCGCCGGCGCGGCGGCTCCGGAGATTTTGACCAAGATGGGCATCTCCGATCTGCCGAACTGGCACGACGCCCCGAACTACCAAGGGTACTTTACCGACGCCACGACTCTGTTCTGGGTGCAAATGCTCATGATGAACTGGGCCGAGGTCCGACGCTGGCAAGACATGCGCAAGCCGGGAAGCGTGAACGAAGATCCGGCGTTCTCCGGGAACAAGCTTCCGAGCGGCATCGTGGGCTACCCGGGCGGGATCTTTGACCCGCTCGGCTACGCTAAGGGCGACTTGAACAAGCTCAAGGCGAAGGAGATTGCCAACGGTCGCCTCGCGATGGTCGCGTTCGCCGGCATCATGGTGCAGTACGACCACACCGGCGTTGGCCCCGTCGCGAACCTCGTTGCACACATGTCCGACCCGGCGCACAACAACGTGTTCCAAGCCAAGTTCATCGGCTTCTAATTGCGTCGAAGCGGCAGTAAATAGCTTAGTCACGTGCTATCAAACATCTTTTAGCGCTCTCCATCGCATCGTCGTCGTCAACTCGCGCCGCGTTCAAACGCTCAGTCCTGACAGCTCTCGTCCCCACGTCTTGACGCGTCACAATGTCATCCGTCATCGACGAAAACTCGCGTAAACATATCGTTTGCGACAAGAACGAGCGTGGTCGACGCAAGAACGGGATCAATACCAACGGAAAAGCGATCGATAAGCGTAAAACCAATGGCTCGATAAAGACGCTCGAGCGATTTGGCGTCACGGATTCGTCGCGTCGCGCGCCGTCGTCCGTGCACAGAAAGACACCGAAACGGGCTAAAGTGTGGATACGCGGTATGCCTCTAGACGACTCGGAGGAGGGCGAGATCGGTGCACGAACGAAGACGGACGCGGACGTTTTCGACCTCAGTGGAGTTAGCGTTGGTTGGCGAAGCGACTCAAAGCCGTCGACGTCGAATCGAAAGCTCGAGACGGACTCACACAAGCTGAAACAGCGACAGAGGCAGATTGATTACGGGAAAAACACGCTCGGGTACGCGCGGTACGTGGAGTTGGTGAAGAAGAGCGAGAGGAAATCGTGCCACGCGTGGACGCCGGATATTCATGCAGCTTTGAGCAAGCGTGCGTTTGATGGCGTTGTGCGCAAGTGGCGCAGACTTCTGCACGAGTACGATCCACCGGTGGAGAACGAGGATGAAATGTTAGCTGTACCGGTCGACCCGTTGACGCGGCCGCAGGGGCACCTGAAGCCTGGAGAGTATGTCCCGCATGAGCTCGCGGAGCTCGCCGAGCAAAGACGCCGGGCAAAGGATGAGGCAGAGTCGGCGATTCGCGAGGGGCGGCGACTTCCAGTTGAGCGACTGGCGCCGCTTCGAGCTAAAGACGTGTCGGTTAAGCCGACGTCCAGGTTAGATGCGTCGCTTCCGCGAACGGCGGACATGTCCCCGGGATGGGACGCCGTGACGCCGACGCCGTTCAAGCGCGCGGGTCTCAGCGTGTCTCGATTCAATGCCGACGCCGACGTCGATATGATGGATATGGACTGCGACGTCGGGGGAGCGCGAACCGATCCCGAATCCACGACGAAACCGCGATCGATATACGACGATTGGGAGGGCGAAGACTTTGCGGGAGTCATTTGAGCGCTTCGAGAGCCTCGCACCGACCGCGCAGAGAGCGTCTTCTCGATCGACCGCGTCACGCCATTGCAATTGACGCTCGCGATCGTACTGATTGAATCACATTTCAAATCACTGTCAGTATATGTCAATACCACCTCCATAACCACTCCGCGCACCGCGAATCCTCACCACGCACTGCGGCGCGCTCGCGTTTCGCACGCCTCACAGAGTGCCTCGCTCTGATCATCACTCCCCTTTCGTAACCATGGTCCTTGAGGCCACCATCTTATGCCTCGATAACAGCGAACACGTTCGAAACAGCGATTACGCCCCGTCTCGACTCCAGGTACGCGAATTCGACGACGAACGACGGTGATCTCGACAGATTTGATTTCAGCTTGTAATCAGCGCGCGCGCGTGTTGGACTCTTTGACTGACGTTACTCGGTGCATCGCAGGCCGAGGCGGACGCCGCGAACTTACTCGCCGGGGCGAAGACACAGGCGAACCCGGAGAACTCGGTGGGAGTGATGTCGCTCGCGGGACGGGCGCCGAGAGTGTTGACAACGCCAACGCAAGATTTAGGCTCAGTGCTCTCGAGCGTGCACGGGGTGAAGATAGAGGGCGAGATTAACGTCGTGAGCGGGGTTCAGGTGGCACACTTGGCGTTGAAGCATCGACAGAATAAGCATCAGAGGATGCGCATCGTCATGTTCATCGGAAGCCCGATTTCGGCGGAGGAGGAGGAGTTGAGAGCGGTCGGGAAGAAGCTGCGCAAGTGCAACGTCGCGGTGGACGTGGTGTCGTTCGGCGACGTTGAGGCAAATAAACCGAAACTGGAGGCGTTCATGTCGAGCGTGAACAAAAACAATAATTCGAACTTGGTGGAGATCGAGGCTGGGGCGAACTTGGCGGACGTTTTGTGCGGAACGGCGATCTTTAACCAGGACGGACCGGCCGTTGGGAGCGGGTTCGCTGCGGCAGCCGCGGCGGCGCAATCGCAGGCGGCGATGGGCGGGTTCAGCGGGGAGGGCGGCGATATGGGCGACATGGGTGACGATCCAGCGCTCATGATGGCCCTCCGAATCTCTCTCGAGGAAGAGCGCGCGAGACAGGCGGCCATGGAGGCGCGCGGAGAGGGCTCCACCGAGGCCGCAGCGGAGGCCTCGACCGAGGGCGCCGGGTCGGTCGACACGTCTCAACCCGCGCACGCCGCGGATCCGATGATGCTGGACGACGACGCGCTGTTACAACAAGCCCTGGCGCTCTCGATGGGCCAAGAGGGCGCGCAAGAGGGCGCTCCAGCGCCGGCGATCGACGAGGAAGATGACCCCGAGCTCGCCGCCGCGCTCGCGATGTCCCTGCGGGAGCACACTGAGAACGCGGACGGCGACACCGCATGACGTCATCACGACCTTGATCGCGTGTAACGATCGAACAGTTCGGTACGAATCAAAACGAATGCCACTAAAACGATGTTACCATCCCCACTTCTCGATCAACGACTTGACCGACCCTCGTTACGCCGCACACCGCGCCTCTCCTGATCGCGTCATGTTCTCCATCTCCACTCCCCCTCTCCGCGCCTCCCCCCTTCGCTTCGCGCGCTCCACTTCACGTTCCGTCAAGGTCAACGCGTTCGCTCCCGGTGACAAGGTGCGGGTGAAATCCTCCGTCGTCGTCTACCACGTCCCCAAGTCCAAGGGCGCGGCGACCGAGCTCCAAGGCATGGTTGGCGTCGTCGACTCCAGGGCGGACGAGCACGAGGGGAAGAAGACGAGCGCGACGATGCCGTGTAAGGTCGCGTTGCCAAACCCGAACGGGGGGAAGGATTTCATCGCGCACGTCGAGGAGGCGGAGCTCGAGGCGGCGTAGCTGAAGACGAGCGGATAGAGCGCCGAGCGGGACGCGTCGCGCGACGTCGACGCGACGGAACGACGCTCGAGCGAAGGCGCCGATTAATATTTTGAAATGTAATGTTTACGAGCGAAGCGAATTTTTTATTGCACATCCGTCCAGGGTGAACGCGTCCACGGCGAGTGGCCGGCGATCGGGAACCTTTAGAGGAACCAGACGCCGAGGCCAAAGAGACCGCCTCGGCCCTTCCCGGCGATTGCGATGCACGCATCGCGCATGGAACTATCGTCCACAACGGCGACACGGTCGTACACGGTGGCTAAACTCGCGAGCTTGTCGGCCTCGGCGTCGAGCGTGGCGAAGACGCCGGGCTCACCTATACGCCAGGCCCAGTTGCCGTCGGCGACGCCTGGGGTGTTCATGCGCGCCTCGTTCCCGAGAGCGAGGACGTCTTGCATGGTGAAAACGCACGCTTTACTGACGCTGGACATCCCGGCCTTGATCATCCCCCACGCACCGTCGCCGTAGCCGACACCTGCGTACGCATCGAGTCGTCGCTTGGTGTCCTCATCCTGTGACATGTACCAACCTTGAGACGTCTCGTTGTCGTGCGTGCCTGGATAGCAGAACGAGTTCTCGTAGTGGTTGTGCGGCAAGTGTGGGTTACGACCGTCACCACCCCAAGCGAATTGTAGGACTACCATGCCCGGGAATCCGCACGCCTCACGGAGCGCGACGACGTCGGCGGTGATCACGCCCAGGTCCTCGGCGACAATCTTAGCGTCACCGAGCGCGGGTTTGAGCCTCTCGAACATTTCGATCCCCGGACCGGTGATCCACCGACCACTCTTGGCCGTCGGCGCACCGGCTTCGACCTCCCAATACGCTGCGAATGCGCGGAAGTGGTCTATGCGAACCTCGTCGTGAAGCTCGAGAGTGCGCTTTAGTCTTTGCGCCCACCACGCGTAGTCTGTGCGCGAATGCTCTTGCCACGCGAACAGAGGATTACCCCACAGCTGCCCGTCCTCCGAGAACGCGTCCGGGGGCACCCCGGCCAACGCGGACGGCTTCTTGTCCTCTCCAAGAAGAAATAAATTTTGGTTGGCCCACACGTCGGCGCTGTGGCCACCGACATAAATCGGCATATCTCCAATGAGCGAGACCCCTCTTTCGTTCGCGTACTTCTTCAACCTCATCCACTGCAAGTGAAACAAGAACTGCACCGCCTTGAAGAGCTCGATTGAATCCGCTCGATCGCGTTCAATCGCCGCGAGTGCGCTCGGATCCCGATCGCGATACTCCACCGGCCAATCCCACCAATACTTCCCGATGAGCGCCGGCGTGGTGTCGATCGCGTCGAACACCGCCGCCGGATCTAACCAAGCCCGCACGTCCTCCCTCGCGCAGAATGCATCGTACTCCCCCCGCAGACCCTCACCACGAGGCATCGCTAACAACCGCTCCGCCGCCTTTGCGATGAGCGGTTCGTTCGTCGCCGCCACAGCTCCGAATTCCACCTTCGTCTTTCCGTACGCTTTGGGCAATTCCTCCGCTCGTAACAACCCATCGCGCACCAAATCATCCAGCGAAATCATTAACGTATTCCCACAGTGCGCGTCTCGCCCGCTGTACGGGCTCCAGTAATCCTCTCGCACGCCCGGAATCGGTCGTCCCGGCGGTACGAGCGGCAACACCTGCCAAATCCGCATCCTCGCCTTTTGTAACCAGTCCACGAACGCCCGCGCCTCGGGCCCGGCGTCGCCGACGCCGTACGCGCCGGGAAGGGACGTGGGATGCATGATCACACCAGCGCGTCTGTCGTCGCGTTTGGGAGGGAAACGCGCGCCGTAATCGGCGTCGACGGGCGATCCCACGGCGGTGGCTTGAACTTTCCGAACGCGTTTCGCGAGTGAGTTTCGTCCACTCGCGGCGCGCTCGGTCCGTTTCGCGGGCAGAGAGCGGTGAGTCGTCGTTCGGAACATCGCCGCGGACGCGGAGACACCGGGCATTGGTCTGGACACGCGCGCGTCGACGTGTGGGATTGAATTGATTACTCTGGTTTGTGCAGTTCGGGACAGGTTGGCGCTGGCGCGGACGGCTTCATTGACGACGCGATCGAACGATCACGAGGACGTCTTGCGAACTTGTGCGCGTGTGATGCATTGTAGGAATAAGGGTTAAAAGTCAGCGAAGCGACCGACGGAGACGTAGTGTCCCCAGCGCGAGCTCAATCCTGGGACGGCGTCGCCGGTGTCGACAAAGTGCCGCAAATCGGAGATATCGTCCACTCGCGGGATGTAGGGCGCTCGAGCACGTTGCTGCGCCATCGCGCTCCAGTTTACATCCGCGAACCAAGGGTGCTGTTTGATGTCGCGGGCGCCAGATTTGCCCATCCCGAGTCGGCCGGCGGGAAGGCGGAGGAGGAGGCCGGAGACGACAGATCGGAACGCCGGAGCGTTCTTGGGCGAAAAGTGAAAGCTCACGTCGTTGATAGCCTTGTACCGGGCGTAGTCGTCGTCCTGATTGAACGGAGGTAAACCGTTGACGAGCTCGTAGATCAATACGCCCAGGGCCCACCAATCCACGGCGCGGTTGTGACCGACCTGTTGCACCTGCTCGGGCGCCAAATATTGAGGTGTCCCGCACAACGTAAACGTCTTTTGTCCCTTTTGAAGTTTCTTCGCGAACGAAAAGTCCGTCACCTTGAGGTACCCGTTCGTGGAAATTAGTAAGTTCTCCGGTTTGAGATCGCGATAGATGATGTTTCGGTCGTGTAGGTACTCAAAGGCCGAGACAACGCACGCAGCATAAAACTTGCCGTGCGCCTCGGGTAAGGGTGCATTTCGCATCTGTAGATACGTGAACAGCTCTCCGCCCAAGACTTTATCCATGAGCATGAAAATTGACTTTTCATTCACGTACGTGCGATGAAGGTTCACCAAGAACGGGGAGTCGCACTGCGCCATGGTTTCTTTTTCTCTCCACACGTGCTCGACCAATCCACGCGAGACGACTTGCGCCTTTCCAATCTCCTTCAGGGCGTACGTCTCGCCCTGATAAGAGACGAGCGTGACGCGACCGAAAGACCCGACGCCTAGAAAACCGACAGTTTCAAGCTCATCGAGCGTCGCCGTGACTGGTCTTCTGTGGGCTGGACGACCGATCTTTGCGTACAGCTCGTTCGCATTTCGTTTCAAGATCTCCTTGAGACTGCCAAGATGTTGCTCAAAGACGCGACGGGTGATCACAAGCACGGTCGCCCGATTCGGCACGCGCACTGTTGCGGCGCGTGGATCGGAGTTCAGCAAACCGAGCTCTCCGAAGTACGAGCTCGGTCCAAGCTTGCACAACAACTTTGGATCGCCGGATGTGTTGAGCGTCTTTTCATCGATCACCTCGACCTCACCAGATTCCAGAATGAACATCGCGTCCCCGGATTCTCCTTGCTTGATGACGGTCTCGTTCGCTCGAAACGAAACGTCCGTGAGCTCCTCGGCGAGATTTTGTATCTCCTCGGGTGATAACTTGGACAGAATCGGTACTTTGGATAGCGTTTCAAATCGCCAAGCCTTGCGAAGGACGTCCAAGTTGCCCATCTTCTTTTCAAAGGCGGATTTGGTCATGAAAGCCACTTTCGCACGATTACTCACACATGTGATCGTGGCTGCACGCTTGTCCTTGCGCAGTAGCGCGAGTTCACCGAAGTACTGTCCTCGATTCAACGTTGCAACGGGATCTTTCGAAGTCGACGTCGTAACCGAAAACTGGCCATCAATGATGACGTAAAACGCATCACCCATCGCGTTCTCGTGAAACACGACATCGTTTCGGACGTAACTGCACATTCGCATCTCACCTGCAATATCTGTGAGCTGAACATCGCTCAGAGGTGCCAAGATCGGACACTCCGCCAGGCCCGCAAAGCACCGCGCTTCCTCGATGGAGCCGAGCATCGACACAAACGTCTGTCGATTGAGTACCAGACAAGAGACTTCCGTCATGGCATAGATTGTCGCAGCGCGAGGCTCATTGTTTACCAGCGCCCGCTCGCCGAAGAAGTCACCCCGAGAGAGCTTCACAACCTCCGCGCCGTTGACGCGCACGCTCACCTCGCCTCGCTCGATAATGTAAAAACAGTGCCCGGGATCGCCCTGACGGAACACCTCGTCTCTCGCCTCGTACGTCTCTCGCCTCGCCGCGTTAGATATCGTGATTAGCTGTTGTTCGGAGAGGGCGTTAAATAGTTCGACGCGTTCGAAAAGATCGAGCACGTCCATAGCCTCGCGCTTTGCCACGGAGTGCTTGATTGCCTTGAACGCACTCGAGTGAAGCGTCCACAGCTTCATCGGCGTCTGCGCGACGATCGTCGCCGATCGCGGACACGCGTACAGGAGCGCCAATTCACCGAATCCACGCCCTGGGCCGAGCGTCGCCACGCACGTCGCCGTGGCCGGATCGTACACCACCGACTTACTCTGCCCAAGCGACTCTGTGCGTGTGGTCTCGTTTGCGCTATCCGTGGACAGACTCGTTCGCTTTCCGACCTCGTTCTTCATCACGCTCGCCTCACCGCTCTCGATGATATAAAACCGTTCGCACTCGTCGTCCCCTTGCGCGATCACGACGTCGTTCTCGCCGACGTACATGGGCATCATTGCGTCCGCCACGCGTCGCCGCGAAGCCGCGTCCAGCTCAGCAAAGAGCAGATTTCCCTCCATGGCGCGCTCGATCGCCTGCTCGCTCGCCGTCGTGCGCTCGCCCGGTCGCTCGACGACGCTCGTGGACTTTAAAGCATCCCGCGTGCTCGCTCGTGGGGCATCGCCGACGGCGAAGCGCTTACGCGCGCGCGCCCGTCGAGTCCCCGCGCGCGCATTCTCGAGCGTTTTCGACGCATTTTCGGAAGACGAAGCGTCGCGGTCGATATCCTCGCGCGCGAAGGCGTCCCAGGACGCGGCGGCGGTGGTGAGGACGTCGCGAGACATGAGGCAACTTCGAAGGGCGGTAAAACACCCCATGGATCAGCGGGGCGTCGACATGTGAGGGGAATTCAAACGCATTCGCGCGCGTGTCCGCTCGCCTCCCCTTTCAAAGGAGCCCCGTGCTGTCGTGAATTATGAGCTTGCCACAAAAAACAGATAAAGGCGCGAACGAAACACTTCAAACGTCGGCATTCTGAGAGAATACCTTTACTCTTTCAAATGCGACAACTCTTCAAACGATGAAGTAGGCGTGCGTCGACGATCTGACGAAAGCAAATGTTACACTTTTTCACCCTCTGCCGGATCTACGGAACAACTACCTGAGCGTGGCGCGCCAGTTCTGATCCACCTTGTATAGGAACGCGACGCACATGATCATCCACCCCGATCCCACGAGAAGCATCTTGGTGTAGCCGTCCTGGGAGGAGCCGTAATCGCTCGATTTGTCGGCGTCTGGGGAGAAGTGAAGAATGAGAGAGTAGACAGTCGGGCCAATGGAGGTACCTATGAAGCTGGCGACGCCCCAAATCGCGAGCCAACGCGCGGCGTTCTCTCGACTCGGGAGGCAGTCGATCGCCAAAGCATAGTCGACTGATAGAAACATCCCGTTCACGGCTCCGTAGTAAGCGGATAAGTACAGAATCGTCGAGAGCTTGTGAACGTAGATAAACGAGATGTACACTGAAATGATTCCGATGCACGCCAATACGATCAAGGGCTTGCGACCGACGACGTCGCTGAGTAACCCAGCAGGATACGCGAAGAGCATACCGCCAATCTGTCCTATGAATGAAATCTTCGCCACCACCTGCTGTGGCTCGTGCCCAGAGAGTCGCTCGCCGGTATCTTTGATCGCGGTGTCCCGAAGCAAATATTGCAGAAACACCTGCGCAGAAATGCCGGTGTAGTATAAGGTCCGGCAGACGAACAGCCAGAAAAAGCTCCTCTGCTCGGGCTTGTTCGGCGAGATCGTGTACATCGACGCTAGCTCTCTCCAGGACACCGACGCGGCCTCTCCATATGCGTCACTCTCCAATTCCTCGCCAGTGCCTAGCGTGGACTCCTCAACCGCGCAGTAACACGTGATCGGCACGCAAGTCACGAGCAAACCAATGTAAAAAAAGTACAAGTTCCCAACGTCCGGCCAGAGCATTGTCCACATGAAACTCAGGCACGCGCCCGCAGCGCTGCACGCGGCCAACACCCCGTTCGCCTCGCCCATCTGTTCGTCCGGCACCAGATCCGGCACCAACCCCGTCGCCGCGGTGTACATCACATTCAACCCAATCATAGTGATCGCGAACGCGACGTAATACATCACCGGCGCTAACGTCCCGCCAACGTCGCCTAAATCGTCCCGATACGTCCGCGCCGCTAGCAGCGCCACCAGACACGGCCCGACGACGGACGCGCTCTTCACGATCAACGGCCGTCGTCGCCCGTGCGCGTGCCGCATACGATCACTCAGATACCCCGCCAACGGTCCGCTCATCTGAGACGCCCCCGCGATGACCATGAACCCGCCGAGTGCGACGGCGTCTGTCTCTGGGAAAAACGCCGTGCTCTCGTAGGGCAGCGTCACCACCGCGAAAGAGCTAATCCAAGCACCGTACGCGAGGAAGAACATGTTCAACCCGATCAGGCGCAAAGTAGAGAAACGCGCGCGCGGTTTCGCATCGCCTGAGGAGCGCTCGACGTCGAAAGATTCGGCAGATCTCGCGCTCGTGCCGGTTTCTCTCGCGGCGTCGCGTGTCGTCGTATCCGCGTGCATCGACGCGTCGTCGTCGAGAAGACGCTTGCAGTCGTCCTCGTTCGCGTTCGCGCGGTCGAAAGTCGACGGCATCTCGACTTGTAGGGCGTCAGAGTGTGCAGGTTTGGAAACTCAGCGCGCTGGCAGTTATACAACGTTGTCAGATCGAATCGCGAGCGTTCACGTCTCCGCTTCGTCCATGACGGCGGCGAGCTGGCTCGGGTCGAGCACACCCACGCGCTCGGCTGTCCCGTGAGGGAAATCACTGTCGAGAATGACGACGATCTGCGCGAAAGCCTCAGCGACGTTGCTCTTAATCGGTTTGAGCAGCGCGTCTCGCGTGCCCTGAGCGTTGAGGTAGAGCTTGGTCGTGAACGCGACTTTGGGTAAAATTTCGGCCAAAGCGATTCGGACCTGCGAGATAACGGCGCAGATTTTGTCTTCGGACGCGAACGCGGCGTCCTTTAGAGACTTACCCTGAGACGCCGCGGAGACGCGGAACGCAGTCACCTTTGTGATGAAGCTGAGCATTGGATCAACGAGTTGCTTCGTGATCGTCATGATATACGCCTCGCACGCCGCGCTAAGCTGCTTCTCGAGTTCCTTCTTGGAGTCAATCTTACTCTCGATGACACGAGGACGGCCCTCGGAGGCGAGCTGGTAGAAGGCGTTGTTGGGGGTGAGCGAAAAGAACGACATCTCGCCACTCAGCATACGTCGCATGTGCCCGCGCATGTGCGTGAAATCCAAATCCTTGATGGACACCGCGAAATCAGCATTGAACGGCGCGATTTGCTCACGTAAGATGATCAAGTGCTTGATGAGGAAGAGCTGCCCGTCGACCGCGCTCGATTTCAACGCCACCGAGCGTGCAGCGCCAGCGATGTTGTCCGCACACATCGATACCGCCTCGTGCGCGAGGCCGGAAAACGTCTTCACATCTACGCATCGATACAGTTTCGCTAGGCACGTCAGAGTGCGCTCAAGCGGTGGGTACCAGTTCGAGATATCGTCCTCGTCCACCTCGTCCTCTGCCTTTGCTTGTCTCGCGCGCACCAGTTTGGCCGGGAAGTCCAAGTCGTCTGCAGTCGCACGATAATTTCCCACTCGATCCTTGATGTACGTCTGCGCGCGGAAAATCAATCTCTCTTGAACATCGGACGTGATTCGACGGAGCCCTGACTCGAGTGCGAGCGCGTTCTCTGTTTTCATGATACCCTCGATGATCTCTCCCTTGAGCGCCTCGACGAGCTCTGCGAGTGGCTCGAGATTTGTGATAGTGATGTATCTCGGTCGCAAGATATCGCTCAGGTGCGTGTTCAGAGGAATCATCAACGCCGCGAGCGCGCCGTTGGGGTCGGTGTTCGGAAAGAAGTACTTGAACAACCCGTACTCGGCCTGACAAACCTCGACGAGATGAGCGACGCCGATCCTGGTGAGCGCTAGGACGTCCTTGCCTCGCTCGGCGCTCGCGATAGCTCGCATCTTCTTTCGAACCGATCCCGCAACGAGCGCCGCTCGCTGTTCACAGTACAGCACGTGGCAGTCCGAGAGCAACGCAGCGTACTCTTCGTGTCGCTCTCGTTTCTCGAGCTCTTCGGTGAGATCTCGCAGTTCACTCGCCCCCGCTCGGAAGCGCACGTACAGGAGCGCAGTCTCGTCGCCTTCTTCCACGACGATTTCATCGTATTCGCTCTCCCCCGTCGCCCCGCTCGCACGATTTCTCCCGTTCGCCGCGTCCTGCACGTGTTTCGTCGCCTTGCGCAGCGCATTCACGTAGTACTCCCTCACAGTGCTCATCGCCCGATTCTGCAACTCTCTAAACTTGGCGCCGTAACTCCCCCCCTGAGCGTATTGAGGATGTGCCGACACAAAGTCCAAGCACTCATCCAAACGCTCGAGCGTGGGCAACACTTGCTCTCGAGGCGCCATCGTCGACGCTCCGTCTGGATCACTCGACGCGCCCGAGATGATCACCCCAGCCTGAAACTTCTCCGCCACGCGCTCGAGTCGGTCAAAATAGTCCAACTTTCCGCGCAGAGCCTCCGCAAACTCCTGCAAGCGTTCCTTCTCCGCGATCAACCGTTCGCTCTCCTCCTGCGTCCGTCTAGACAACGTCTTCAACTCGACTTGCGTCGTCGCCATCCGCGTGAGCTCACGTTCGATCTCTGAAATCTTCGTCTCCGCGTCGTCCCGCAACGCGATCTCTCCACGCAGCGCCTCCGCTCTGGATTCTCTTCGGTCGATCCTCTTGAGCTCCACCTCTCGCACGCGCTCGGCGTACCACGCGTAAAACGCCCGCGCGCTCGTCGGTCTCCCGTCCCCCGTCCCCGACGTCGTCGCCGGCGTCTTCACCCCCCCCCCTTCCGCCCTCGTCTCGCCCACCGCTCGCGTGGAATCATCAATCTCTCGCGTCTCTTCGCTCCCTCCCACGCGCGCGCGTCCCCCCAGCGCGCGCACGCGCTCGCTCTGCGTCGCCGTCAACGCGCTCGCGAGCTCCCATCCGTGCGCCACCGCGCGCGCGCGACGCGCCCGATCGCTCGCGCGCTCCATCGCGCGGCGTCCCGCGCCGGCGCCGTCGACCGCGCGCGCCGGGGTCGATCGTCGTCGCGCGACGCGCGCCGCGACGCGCGTCGACGTGCGTGGTGTTGCCGCCCCGTGCGTGACTGATGGGATGTACGTACGCCCAATACGAGCGCACGCCCGCGTGACGTGGATCGCGTCGCGGCGTCTGTGCGTCCGCGCGTGACGCCGCGACGCGCGGTCGTGCGCGCGCGACAGACGCGGGGTTCGGTCGGGAAAAAAATCATGCGCGGCCTCACCGCGATGCGCGTCGCGCGGGAGCGCCGCGTCGCGCGTGAACGCGCGGGAGATGGGAAACGCACGCGATCGAGCGCGCAATCGTCGGCGCGATGGCGCGCGCGCGTCGAGGCGAGCGAACGACCGAACGTGGACGCGGACGCGAGCGCGGCGATTATTGAAGCGACGTCGACGCATCCGGTGAGCCAAACGACGAGTTACAGCTTCGCGAGAAGTGGATTCTCGGCGGAGTGCGAGCGCGCGCTCAATGCGCAGATCAACGTGGAGTACAACGTGTCGTACATCTATCACGCGATGTGGGCCTTCTTCGAACGAGATAACGTCGCGCTGAAGGGATTTGCCGATCACTTCAAGGCGGAGGCGCTGGAGGAGCGCTCGCACGCGGAGCAGCTGATGGAGTACGTGAACCTGAGAGGCGGTCGCGTCGAGCTGCAGCAACTGTTGCCGCCGCAGACCGAGTACGATCACCCAGAGAAAGGATGCGCGCTGTACGCCTTGGAACTGTCGCTGAGCTTGGAGAAATTGAACAACGATAAGCTCTGCGAGCTTCATCGCGTGGCGGAGGACGCCGGGGACGCGCACATGTGCGACTTTCTGGAGGGCGCGATGATGGACCCGCAGGTGCAGAGCGTGCGCGAAGTCGCGGAGATGGTCGCCACGCTCTTACGCATGGGACCGCCCGGCGACGGTATGGCGGCGTGGCACTTCGATCAGTACCTTCAAAACAAGGCTTGATCGAGTTCGCGATGCTATTCGCTCGGAGGGTGACGCTTTTGTGACTCGTCGACGAGCGAAAAACGCCTGCGCGAATCGTCGAGAGTATTCGTCCAACACCGCGAGCGCGAAAGTCCTCGAAAGACATACGCGTCCGCAACTTTTTGTGCTGAGTTGTAAAAATCTACCCCTTTTAACGACGCTCGCGCGCGTCGACGCCTCGAAGTTTCGACCGCGTCCGCTCTGCGCCGCATCAGAGCGCGTCGCGCGTCATGTCCGACCGCGTCTCTCGTCGCGCGCGCTCCCCCCCCCGCCGCGGTCGACTCGATCGACGCTCGACCGAACGCCCCTCGCGCTCGTCCTCCAACTCGAGAGCTTTGACCGACCTTGAATTGCACGCGAATGATCAAACACGCGTGGCGCCGGCGGCGCGAAAAGAATTAAAAATTCACGCGAGCTTGACGCCGATGACGCTCGATTCGAAGATTCCGATCGCGCAGGGCATAGGAGCGACGACACATGTCATCATGTCGGCTCGAGCGATGCGAACGATGGAGGTGTCGAGCGGGCATTGGGTTCAGATTCGCTCGTACGGCGCGTTCGGTGGTTCCGCGAGCCAAGCTGGCCGGCGGCTGAGCGGTAAGGGTAAGGGACGTAAGGGTCAAGGCGGACGCGTGATGAATGTCGCGAACGTTAATGATGATGACGATGGATACGAGGTGCGAATCGTGGAGGACAGTGACGTCATGACGACGGTGGCGTCGACGGCGAAATCGAACGCGCGGCAAAATTTGACGCTGGACATCGACGAGGAGGACGGCGCGAGTGACGACGACAATGACGTGCGCGTCGGGGCTCGGGTGGTTTTAGCGCGCGCATGGCCGTCGGCTACGCTCGGTGACGACGCGGTGTCGCTGTCAAAGAAGGTTTGGTTATCTCTAGGAGCCCCGCCGGGCGGCACGGCGCTCGGCGTCGAAAAGGCGGATACACCGTTGGACGGTTTCGATGGCGACGCGTGCTCTGTGTCGTTGAGACTGTGGACGATGGAAACCGACGTCGGTGGTGAGGCTGCAGTGTGGCTCGATCGTGGTTTGCGAGATTGTGAGGGAAGAGGAGGGTCACGGCGACGCGCCATGTTAGAGGGGCTCGCCAAGCGCGCATTGGACGGGCGCGGATTACTGGTCGGGAACCTCGTTCGATTGCCCTTGCTCGGCACCAGCGCTCTGTTCGAAGTTACCAACATCGTGCCAGATTTAGCAGACCGTCGCGGATTAGAGATAACGTCTCGAACGCGCGTGGAATTGCTCACTCGCCAAGCAAACTCGAGAACGCCAGAGTCGTCCAGCGGGGAGGGTTCCGATTCAGATGTCGAAGACATCGCGAAGTCCGCGGTCAAGCGCGCGTCTCGTGCGGCGATGTCAGACGACGCGTCGTTCGACGCGCTCGGCGGCGTTCGCGATCATGAGGCGGCGCTTCGCGAGCTCGTCGCATTACCTCTGCAGAGTCCGGAGGTGTTCACGCGATGCGGCGTGAAACCGCCGCGCGGAGTATTATTGCACGGTCCGCCCGGATCGGGGAAGACTCGTCTCGCGCGCGCCGCCGCGCATGCATCGAATGCGAAGCTGTTTGTCGTAAACGGGCCAGAGCTCGTAAGCGCGAACATGGGACAGAGTGAGGAAGCGCTTCGAGGCGTATTTCTCGCCGCCGTCAAAGCCGCGCCGAGCGTCGTGCTCTTGGACGAGCTCGACGCCATCGCGCCCGCTCGTGACCAATCCAACGGAACCGATGGCATGATGTCATCGCGCATCGTCGCCACCATGCTGTCAATATTTGACGGCGCTTCGGCAACCTTTCCCGAGCTCGATCGCGTCGTCGTCATCGCAACGACGAACAGGCCTGAGGCGGTCGAGCGCTCGCTTCGACGTCCGGGAAGATTTGATCGAGAGTTGGAGGTTGGCGTCCCGACACCGAGCGATCGTTTAGAGATCCTTCGAACGCACCTTCGAGGGATCGACCACGAACTGGACGAGGGGTACGTCGAAGACTTGGCTCGGCGGGCGCACGGATTCGTAGGCGCAGACATCGCCGCGTTGTGTCAAACGGCGGCGATGCGAGCATTGACGCGCGTTATCGAGAGCCCTGAGTCCAGCGATGCGGATATTTCGAGTATCGCTCGCGCGTTGCAGGACATCACGCTGGTCACGAATTCCGCTTCTCGCGCCAAAGTCACTGTCGATGACTTTGAGGATGCTCGAGTAAAAGTGAGACCGAGCGCGCTTCGCGAGGTCGCCATTGAGATTCCTAACGTGCGCTGGGACGACGTCGGTGGTCTTGAGGAGGTCAAAAACCGTTTGAAAGAGGCGGTGGAGTGGGCTGAAAAGCACCCGGAGGCGATGAAGCGAGTCGGGGCGACGCCACCAAAGGGAATATTGCTCTACGGCCCACCAGGATGCAGCAAAACTATGCTTGCCAGAGCGGTTGCCAACGCCTCGGGACGCAATTTCATATCTATCAAGGGATCTGAACTGTTCTCGAAATGGGTCGGTGATTCGGAAAAAGCCGTTCGGTCGGTCTTCGCGCGAGCGCGATCGTCTCAACCATGCGTCATATTCATAGATGAGGTTGATGGTTTGGCGGGCACACGCGGCGGCGGAGAGCAGGGCGGCGCGCCCTCCGTGCAAGACCGCGTGATCACGCAACTCTTGGGCGAGATGGATGGACTCGCCCCGACAGTAAATGTCACTATCGTGGCGGCGACAAATCGCCCCGACCTCGTGGACAGCGCGCTCTTGCGTCCGGGTCGTTTCGACCGCTTGCTCTACGTGCCGCCTCCGAGCTCGATCGAGGATCGATTATCCATCCTTCAGGTGCTGTTCAAGAACACTCCACTTGCTCAAGATGTCGATTTGAAGATGATAGCGGCGTCTACGCAGGGGTACACGGGTGCGGATTTGTCCGCCATCGTCCGCGAGGCGGCGCTCGCGGCGCTCGAGGAGAACATCGATAGCACGGAAGTCAACGCGAAGCACTTGGGCACAGGCATGATGCGAGTGCGACCAAGCCCTCCGGCGAGGCAGGAGCTAGTAGATATGTACGAAAAGTTTCAGCGCACATAAGTGCAGAAGATAGAATGTTGTTAGCAATCACAATCTAGTTTACAAATCGCTACGCACGTCTCGTTGCCACCTTGCTATCAAGTAATTCGCGACAACGCTGCGACCGCCAGTGGATAAACCGTTGACGGAATCTCCCCTCGTCGCGCCAAAGTAATTTCGTGCGCGCGATTTAAGCGTACGCAAAGACTCGTCGTCACTCCTAGCGAGCTCCCGAACGATGGATTGTACGAGCGTCATAAGGGAGCCGGGCACGACGATCTCGAGCTCGTCCAACGCCTCGATGGCTCGTTGCAACGCCGCGTGAGCGTCCTCGTCGTCTCTCGTCTGAATCGTTTCCAGCGCGGGACCGATCAAACTTCGCATCAGCGGAGTGTGCAGGGTGTTTTCTAAGAGAGCATCCAGTTTGTCGCGTTGGTGGGCGCTGTGCGAGCTCGTTGTCCCGAATGTTGCCGCATCCATCGAAACTAAGTCATCAGATACGCCGTCTTCGGTGTGTCTATCGGAGAATGACGGGGGCTCAGCCATGCGAATCGTACCACCCATCGATTGATACACGGACGGTGCGCTCCCACCGTGTTCAGAGCGCACCTCAGCGCTCGCCGCTGCCAACACCACCGCCGCCTCCGGCGGCGTGAACTTTCTTCCAAGCGAGTCGTCGCCGAAATCCCACGCCGGAGCGGACGAGCCCGTGTTAGCCTCCTTTTGCGCCAGCGCGCTTGCGCTATCATGTGCGCCCTCTTCGTCGTCCGTAAGCGCGATGTGCTTGTCTACGCGCGCCTGTAAAGTTTGAATAGCTGCGACATCGAACCGCGCGACAAACGGATGCTTCAACAACTCCTCCGCGCTCGGTCGTTCGAGCGGATCCTTCCTCAAACACTGCGACACGAAATCTCGAAAGTCGTCACTAAAATCTCCATCTGGGGGCAAACTCGGCGGGTCTTCTTTCGGAATCACGAACAACACGCGCATCGGATGCAAATCTGAGTGTGGCGCTGAGCCCGTCGCCAGTTCGTAACACGTAATGCCCAAGCTCCAAATATCAGCCTTCTCGTCGTAACCCTCCCCCCCCTGTATCACCTCTGGCGCCATCCAAAATGGCGTCCCTGTGAACGTCTTTCGTCTCGCTCCCAACGTGTGTGTCATCTGTCCACTCACCCCGAAATCCGCCAATCGCGCCTCGGCGCTCGCCGTGAGCAACACGTTAGCCGCCTTGACGTCTCGATGTATCTTCCCTTCCGCGTGCAAGTACTCCAACGCCCTCAAGACGTCTCGCGTGATGAATGAAATCTCACCCTCACCCAAACCTTTCGAGCTCGAATCGCCCGAATGCTCGATCTCTTCCACTAAATGCCGAGCGCTTCCGCCCGCCATGTACTCCATGACGATCGCGAGCTTACTCGTCCCCCGCAACAACGCGCTCCCAAGATACTTCGTCACATACGGTGACGCGCACTGGGCCAAGATACCGATCTCGCGCTGAATGTCCGCGACTTCGTCCTCGGCATCCTCGAGATCCACGAGCTTGACAGCGACGTGTGCGTTGGGATCCTGATTCTGATTCAGTCCGGTGGTGACATCTTTCGTGACGTCGATCGCGCGGTAGACCTCCCCGGTGGCGCCGCGGCCGACGCGAGTGAGGAGACGGTACCTACCGTCGACGAGGACGTCAGCGTCGGACATTGGGTAGGGGTGGGGGGTCGAGGTGTGCGGCTGAATTTGGATTTGGATTTGGATTACCACGCAAACGTTTCCCTTGAACGAGGACGCAAACAATCACCAATCAAAGCGCTTTAACTGCGCCGCGGCTTCGGTAAGGTCTTTTTGGACTTTTTTACGTCGGTAAAAGATCGGGCAATCTCTCGAGGTGCACAGGACGTCTTGATGGAGCGAGCCTTGGCACCGCTGGCACTGCGTCCAGAGACGGTTGAAGTCCTCCTCCAGACCGTTCACCGAGGCGAGCGCTCTTTGCAGGTGCATCGCCTCCTCTTTCAGGCAGTTTTTGCACAGCGATTTCGAGAGCTTCTCGTCTGAGATCGGGGCGCGACAGCCGATGCAGCTGAGACGGATTTTAGCGAACTGCATGATCCCGCCCGCCTTGGCCGTCGGCGTCGGTTGCGCGATGCGGCGGGTGTGCTCGCCGTGGAACAGCACGGACTGTGCGTTGTGCAAGATTGGTTCGAAGATGCGCAGTAGCGGCTTGGTGAGGTAATGATCCAAGTAATGGTTCGTATCGATCGGCAGGTTGTTGTCTAGGGCGTAGATCGGGTCCTCAGACTTTTCGTACGCCTTGGCGTTCTTTGCCGCCTTGATGATGACGTAGGCGATGCGGTCGCCGACCACCGGCGCGGTGGCGGGATCTCGCTGACGCATGCGCTGCGCGAGCTCTATATGCGCCATCTTGACCCCGTACGAGTCTGCCTCCTTGGTGAAACCCTTCGTGATAACGAGCTGCGAGAAATCCAGCTTGTTCATCAACAAGTCTGCGATGGTGTTTTGGACGTACTTCACGGCGCCCTGCACATCACGCTCTTTCAAAATCTTTTCCAAAACAGTTTCGACGACCTGGCGCACGAGTAGACAGTTGTCGCGACGCACAGTCTCGATACCCTTGGTGTCCATTTTATCGTACTTCTCAGTGTTCGTCCAGAGAAGACCGGCGTAACGCTTCTTGCTAATCAAGAGGTACGGCCAGTACACCTTTTCGAACTCGAGCTTAATCGGTTTTAAAAACGTATCTGATACGTACACAGCAGCCTCCTCGCCGAGTCTCATCGCCTCCGCCAAGTCCGGAGTGTTGAACTTGATCATCACAGAGTCAGTGTCACCGTAAATTACCTCGGCGTTGCCGGCGTAGCCGTTCATCGTCGTGTATCGTTCCTCAACCATTTTCTTTGTGTGGTCAATCATCGTACGACCGTATGCCGTCGTTGATGAGGAAATTTCGAGACACGGAAGTTGACCCACGGTGGCACCGGTGAAACCGTATACGGAGTTGGCAGAGATCTTGAGTGCGAGCTGACGACCGTCCAACACAGCCTTCACGAACGGATCGGTCGCCTTCTTCAAATCAGCCTTGGCGCGCTTACGTGCGCCGAGCAGTTCCTCTAAAATTTCTGGCAAAATCCCCTTCACCTTGTTCGCCTTGACGAAAGTATCACCGGCGGGAGACGTTCCCACATCCTCCGGGTTTAGCTTACTTACCATATGTTTCGGTACTAGGGTTGAGTAGCACAAGTTGTGAGCCATCATGATGGACGGATACAGCGAGGCGAAATCTAGCGTCGCGACGGGCACCTCGTAGTAACCAGACTTCGCCTCCAACACAGTGGCTCCTTCGTAGGCGACACCACCCTCAGCTTGCACGTTTCCGCCCTCTCTCTTCGCCATGTGTGGGATCAACATGTTTCTCTGTCTCGCCTTTCGCAGTAATTGCGACATGACCTTGATGGACTGACCGCGAGTGAGCAAGTAGTTCAGCGGCACGCCGGTGACGCGCGCCATCTCGATGTAGTTGTACATGTACATCAGTTTGTCTAGCAAACGCTGCGGCAGGTAGGCGTCCTTCAAACAGTACACTGCAAGACGTCGCCTAGTTTCCGGCGTACCGTTTTGCAGCTCGGAAATGGCACTGTAGTGTACGTCTTCCTTCTGTTCTCCTAAAAAGTGAGCCGACACGGCGTTGAGTGAGTACGACGACAGTTTATAATCGCGTTGAATCGCGCGCAGCATATCGAACTGCACCCGACCCTCGCACGAAATCTCCTTACTCTCGTGCGTACCGTACGCCTTGGACGAGAAAACCGTGTCGCGCATGCGAACCTTGGTGCCGATCATGCGTCCCCAATACGGAAAGTCAGCAACGCCGAGCGTCTCAGCGCGATCTAACAAGTACGGGAAATCAAAATTCACGATATTGTATCCAATCAACAAGTCCGGATCACACCCTCGAAGAAAACTGCCCCAGTTCCTCAGTAACTCTCGTTCATCCTTGAAGCTCAAGACGTCGGCGCCGACGATCGGCGCGCACGTGTCAAGTGTCCACACGGCGCGAATGATCGGTTTGTCGCTCCCTTGCTCCGTCACCAATGTCGCGATCTGGATCACGGGGTCTTGCTTGGCGTCAGGAAAGTGTCCCTTTCGCCCGGCGCATTCGATGTCCACCGACAAGATGCGAAACGGCGCGAGCTTCGAGTATTCACCCTCCGCTGGGTGCGAGATGATTTTATCGTACGACACGTCCACCTCGATTTGACAGTGCGACACCTTCTTCGACCTCACCTTGTAATCCCCCGCCGGAAGCTCGATCCAGTTACCACCGACCACGCCACAATCCACCATGAATCGCAGCGCGTAGACGATGTTGGACTCGAACGTCGGGTACGTCGTGAACGATCCGTCTCTGATCCCGGGCACGCTGAACCCCTTCTCCAAGATGCCACGCGCGGCGCTCACCATGTTCGGCAACCCCATCGTGATCTTCGCGAACAAACGATCTTTCATCTCGCTGTAATGCATCAAACTCTGCTTCCTCTCCAACGTCACCGCGATCACGAACACCCCAGGCGCGTTCTTCCTCGCCGAGCTGACCTCCTCGTTCAGTCTCCTTCGAAACGTCTCGCAATCCGCCTCGCCAAAATTTTCCGGCACCGACGCGTAAAAATATGGCTCGAAACCGTGCACGTGCGCGCACACGCTGTGACCGTCGTTCGTTACGCCGAACATTCGCACCACCGCGGCGTCACCTTTCCCTCGACGACTCCCTAAGGTTTCGTGCGGCTTATCGACGACGTAGTCGATGTCCAACTGTTGAAACAACAGCGCGTCCGAACGATCACACAGAGGTTTCTTCAGCGGTTTCCGCACCCAATTCGCTCGATCGGCGGCGTCTACGACGACAGACGTCCCTCCCTCCTGTCCAGTGCGCGCGTACACCTCCTCCTCGTCGAAATCCGCGTCGTCGTCGTACTCCTCTTGGTTTTTCACACGCGCATCCTCCAACCCATCCCGCTCGGCGTCGGCGATCAGCGCGTCGACGTCCAGATCGGGCGCCGCGTCCTCGCCATCGCGCGCGCGTTTTTTCGTCGAACGCCCCACCGTGGACGCACCCTCGCCGAGCATCGCGCGCACGGCGCTCGACGCGCGCGCGTCCGCGGATGCGTTTTCAAATCGCCCGAAAGCGCCGAGCCCCCGGGGCGTGCCGTCGCCGACGCCACCGCCGACGCCGCGCGTCGTATTCGCACCACGCCGACGTCCATCATCACACCGACGCGACCGACGGCATGTGTTTGTACTATCATCCATCACGTCCACGTATTGAACGAGCGGCGGGGATCGAACGCGCGCGCGAGCGGGCGCGAAGGCGAAAAATCAGCCCCACCCAGGTGGACCACGTCGTATGAGACGTCGAGCATCTATGGGTCGAACGTCGAGTACCTGTGCGTCGCGCGTGCGATGTCCGTGGGAGGGCCGTCGCGGATGCGTACTGTTCGCCCACACGTGGACATCGACGCGCGATGCAAAAGGGGCGTCGACGCGTGACGTTTGTGCACCACCCATCGCGTTTTGGGTGAAAAAGTGCGTCGACGCGCGGATTCGGACATTTGAGTCCCGACTCGCCGGTCGAGACTCGTCGTTTCGGGATTTCGCTCGACGCCCGCGGTGGCGCGCTGGCGCCCGGGAGAGCGAGGCGCTGGCGCGAGCGCGGTGCGCGCGGTGGTGCGGTGCGGTGCGCGCGTGGGGGGGTGTTCGTTCGGTTTTCGTGAACGGCGAGTTATAGGGCGCGGTGGTGCGAGCGCGCGCGTCGGTGGGTGGTCGAGCGTCGAGGGAGATATATTCTCCCATCGCGGTGTGGAGCGGGCGATTGAGGATCGGGATTCGCGCCTGCGGGAACGCTTCAACGGGGGGGGGGTGCGCGCGAGAAGAGGTAGGATGATCGTAGGAAATGTTTGCCATCGATTCGCGCGCCGTTGACGAGGGAACGTCGACGCGAGGGTGATGAAAGTAGGAAGAATCCGGGGAGTTGCGCGCGAGGGGAAGCACCACCCGTTCTGCGCGCGAGTTCGTCCTCGACGTCGTTCGCGCGACGTACACGTCGCGCGCGCGCGTCGGCGCGATTCAAACGTTTACGGAGCGTCTTCGAGCGAAGTGAACGGGCGATGCGAAGGACGGCGCGCGCGGCGGGGGGGCAGATTATTCCACACACACGGGTGTCTCGAGTTTCGACACGCGCGGGCGTCGACCGAGTGACTGACGATGCGCGCGGAGTTTTTCGCGTCTCAGGTGGCGCGAAGAGGTGTGAATTCGAAGGCGTAAGTTTATATTCGATTCGTCGCTCGGTGAGCTTCGGAGGTGCGAAACGCGACGCGCGCGCGCGATTGATTGTTCGTGGGGACAGACACCCGACAGTTGGGGTTTTTCCCAACAGGAGAGCGATGGCGAGTGAACGACGCTTGAGACGACGGTCATGGATTGAAATTCGCGATGGATCAGGAGAGATACTGACGCTGAAATTGTGGGCGAATGCACAGGTCATGGAGGTCCCGACGTCGGCGCCGCTTCTCCCGGGAGTGGCGGGGAAACGATGCGCGCACTGTAACACGCACACGACGCCGCTGTGGCGCAACGGGCCAGACGGTCCGAAAACGCTCTGTAACGCGTGTGGGGTGAGAGACAATAGGAGACATGCCAAGGCGACGCGAGTGGCGAAGCCGGTGGCGCCAAAAGTGCCAAAGGGTGGAAATAAGAACGGCAAGGGTGATGGGAAAAAGCGCGGCGCGTCGTCGCCGGGCAAGGGGGAGAAGAAGGCGGCCAAGAAGCAGAAGCTCGCGCGTGATTATTTCGCGCAAAAGGCTGATATTCACGTTCCAAACTTCAACGTAGTACCGGATTACGCGATGAACCACGCCGCAGGTTTCAAGCAACCGGGTGAATACTTGCGTCAAAACGTGCCGGACCATCAGCTGAACCGCTTCGGACCGGGTACCGCGGCTCCAATGTACGAATCTACGCCTGCGGACTTCCAGTGGCTCGAGCACATGAATTCTGAGCCGTACGAGTCCAAGAGTGCGGTGTGCGCGACGACGCCGAACGCGCAGTTCATGAGACCGGAACACTTGGAGAAGCTCTTCGACGTCTTCGAAGAGTCATCCTGGGCGCAGTCACAGATGCCCACACAAGAACAGGCGGTTCAACAGGTGCTGGGGAACATGTTCAATGCGAGCAATACGGCGGAAGGGAAAATAGAAGACGTTCTGCACTGGGCATCCAACGCGCAGTTGGGCGATGGGCAACTGGTCAACTTCAAATCTGAGGCTGACGCTTGGAATCCGTTCGACCTGAACGACGAACAATCGAACCACAGCTCGTCTGAAACGGCTGCTCCGCTGACTCCGAGCGGCACCGCGGACTTTTTCCTGAAACATACTGCCACTTCTGGTGTTAAGGCAGAACACGGTGACGATGACTCGTCGACGCAGTCAGCTGACGATCTTGTCGATCGTCGGTTGACGGCGGGTCATCAACAGTCGGAAAACAGGAAGAGCAGTGATCTCGGCACCCGTGCCCAAGTGGGTTTAACGCGTCGCGGCGGTAAGTTACTAGGTAACCTCCGTTGCGGCGCCCAGGTGTCACGCCCCTCGACTGGAGGCAAGAGTGAGCTCAAGAACGCAGTCCAAACCATCAACAATAAGATTTTCAAGATCAATAAGCACGCCCCTTCATTGGAAGTGTTGTGTAAGATCTACCGTTACTGGCTCGAGAAGCGGTGGAAGAGCGGTGGGAGACCACTGCTGCCGCGATTCGATCCTGTGCCTCCGTTGCGGCTGAGAGAACGACCGGAGCTCGCGACAGCTGATGAGCAACTCGCTTATCTATTCTGTTTCGATCTTCACGCCGTCTCAAGGCAACAACAAGAGAGAGCCACCAGAGTCGAGCAAGCTGAAGCTCAGAAGAGGCGAAGACGACGACCGTGCTTCAATCCGTCGGCGTGCAAACGTCGGCGCCGCATGCAAGCGGCGATGGATGACGCCGTCTCGCGGCCTCTGACGATGACGTTTGAGCCCCTCGATGAGCTCTTCGCGCACGGTTGGGATCTCGTAGACTACGAACCCGAAATGCGCGTCGCGCCCAAAAAGAAGTCAAGCAAGCAAGGAACGACGTTAAAGAAGGAGCAGACACCTTTCAAGGTAGATGTTTCCAACCCTCCGGCTCCCCTCGCTCCAGAGGAATCGGTGGTTTCTGACGACATCGCACCGAGCAATCTCGCCATGGCCTCAATCGACTCCCATTTGAAATCACCGATGGGAGCGGCCGCTGCTAAAGCGGGTGCTTTGATGAAAAACCTGGTATCTTCCGTCGGTTGTGCTCTCGGTTACGGCGGTAATGGAAGAAAATGTGAAGCGGTGTACGGATCTACGCTCCAGGCAGATCTAAGCGCGCCGCCAACACCCGCGGCACGCTAATCCCTTAGAGTAAAATCAAACGACTGGAACGCTTAGAGCTTCTAGCAATGTCCTCAACTGAATAATCCAGGCGCTGGCATGCGCTAAAACATATGTCTCAACAGTCTTAGTTTAAAGTGAGACGCGGCTCATGCCTGAGTTGTGTTCCAACAGAGTGTAGAAACGGATCTTTTTTGTGTATCTTTTCAATGACAAACGGAAGGAATATAAGGTCTAAAACGTCGATCGTTTCCTTAGAATCTTGTCGTGCGGCCGCCGCGCTTGCTTACATCGGTATGGGTGCAATGCGAACAGGAGCTACGCGCACCGGCACGGCTTTCGTTTTGACAGTCTCCGCACGCGGCACGAGTGGTGCGCATTGTATCTCCGATGAGGGCGGCTTCTGTCGAGCTCTGACCGACGGAAGCAAGCTTCGGACATCTTCAGGGACGTCCGCCTCTAACATGACCGCCCCCAACTCACCCTTTCTGAACGCAACGACAGATGCGAAGCCATCGGTGCTCGTGACCACAAGCGTGTGACCGTCCGGATGCCACGACGCGTCCGTGATGGAAGTGCAATGGATCCCCGAAACATGTACAATCGGTTCGCTTTCGCTCGTGTCGTAAACTGTCACGCTGTCTTGCGAGCAGATGGCGAAGACGATTCTGTACGCCAAATCCGTGGGAACGTGCTCGCACTGTCTTTCACGCTTGACGAAGAGCACCGGGTTGAATCTCACGCACACCGACGGGGTTTCACCGCCCGGAAGGTGCATGGCCGGGACGTTGAAATCATGACGAGCGAAAACCAAGCTCGTGTTCAACGAACGCTCCGCGCTAGATCGCTTGAACATGCCCGCCGGAAGCACGAAGAATGAGCCGTCCAAGCTCCACGCCGGTCGGCGGAAGAAGGAAGTCATGGAGTCATCACGCATACTCGCGCAACCGCTCGGATCTTCTAGCGTCTTGATCATCTTCGCGTGTTTCACACTCTTACTCGTAATGCGTTCACCCAGGGTGTACACGCGCGCGGTGCGATCAGGCGACTGCGATACCACGTATTCGCCTCGAGGATCGAAAGCCACACCTTGGACGTAATGCGAGTGCTCTTGTAGCTTCACCAATCCGGACCCGCTCTCAACGTTCCATAGAATCGTCGTGTTATCTACTGATGCGCTTGCAAGCGTCTCATTCGGACCCCAACTCACGTCCAGCGCATCGTCCAAGTGTCCCCGAAGCGTCCTCGCGGGCTTCCACGTTACCGCGTCGCCATGCGCATTCGTCGACGTCGACGCCTCCTCCGTCCGTCGCCACACCAGCACCTCTCCACCGTCCCCAGCAGACGCCAGCATGTCTCCGCGAGTGTTCCACCGCGCGCAGTTCACCGCCCGCGCGTGTCCAGTGAGCGTCTCACTGTGCGTCACGCTGATTTCTCTGTCCGCGTCCGCATCTACGCTCCAGAGCTTGATCTCGCGATCAGCGCCCGCGGTCGCGAGTATGCCCGTTCTCGGGTTGAAATCGCACGATAAGATCGGTTGCTACGCGCGAAGTAAGGAAGAAACGGGCGTCAGTCTGTCAGTTCGTTTTCGGTTCGCTCAAAAGTATAAGTCGCGGATCCAAGCAGTGGCGTACATTGGTCTTCTCGTCGCCCGCGTGCCAGCGTATCTCGATCGTCTTCACGCGAACCATGTCCGTGCGCTTGTTCGCGCGCGGAACGTGAGCGCGCGCGTCGAAGTGCGGGTCGGGCGACGGAAGCTGTCCCGCGTGTTTAAATTTTCAAGCGGCGCCACAAAGCTCGGCCGGACATCCGTCTCCTGCTTAGTACTAAAAGTATTATATTGATCAACACGATACTACCTGGTAATGATCTTCGAAGCTATTGTATACGCGACCGCGCGCTGGTACTCATCCGACGTCGGAGTATTGGTAAAAAATATTTGTCGTGACAGACGCGATATCCATCACAGGTCTTCGCCCAGTTTGTCCATCTGGTGCATGAGTTCGCGCAGTTTAGATTCACTGTTGTGTCGCGGGTTCGGCAACACCAAACGGAAGAAGTTCTGAAGACCGAACGCGGGGACTGGCTGGAAACCAATCATGGCCAAGCCCGCGCGTTGCATTCGGTCCTTGAGCTTCGGGGCAACCTTCGCGAGCTCCTTCATTTGCTTGGGCGTAGCAGTCTCCTTGTTGAACGGACGAAGACGCTTCGGCACGTACCAGAAGCCGACGTTTGCGCACTGCGCGGGAGCGGCGAGCGCCCACGCGCCGGTTTGGTCCGAAACGACTTCCGTTTCAACGAACTTTGCGAGGGCAAATGAATGGTCCACGAGTCGTTCCCAGCCTGCGTCGCCGCGGTACTTCCACGCGAGCCACAACTTGAGGGCGTCGGACTTGCGGCCGCACTGAATAGTTCGGTCACCGAGGTCGGCCTCGGAGTCAAGCTTGTCCGGTTGGAAAAGGTAATCAGCCTTATAAGAGTTGGCAGCCATGAAGGAGCCGGCATGCTTGCTGAGAACGATCGAGCACTGCAACGGGATGCCGAGCAGCTTGTGAGGGTTCCAGCAGAAGCTATCAGCGCGTTCAGCGCCCTTCATCAAGTGCTTATGCCGCTTAGAGAGAATGGCCGCACCACCCCATGCTCCATCGACGTGCAACCACATGTTGTTTCTTTCGCAGAGATCAGCCAGCGCGTCGTACGGATCGTACGCGCCGAGAACGGTGGTGCCCGCAGTGGCTCCGACGTAGAAAGGCTTCTTACCGGCAGCGATGGCTTCGGCAACCGCGCGTTCGAGCGCTTCGGGTAACATGGCGCCGTTCGGACCACAGTCAACCTTGATCATGTTGTCCATACCAAGGCCAACCATGTGAGCACACTTCTTGTACGAGTAGTGCGACTGCTCCGAGCAAAAGGCGACGTAACCGGGCGGCATGCCGGTCTTCTTCGCCTCCGGGCACACACGCTCTCGGGCCAAAATGATACTGTACAAGTTGGCGATGGAACCTCCCGGGACAAACAAACCGTCGTGATTGGGTGTTGTTCCATCGGCGTTCTCACCGAGCCACAAAGTCGCAACCTTGGCGAGCATCGAGCGCTCAATCTCCGTAAAGACGGGCGCGACCTCGTAGGTGTGCACGTTCGAGTTCATAGCGCTCGAAGCCCATTCGCCGGCGAGTGCGATCGGATCGACTCCGGCGTAGAGCTGGTTCATGAACATTGGGTGCGAGGTGCGAGCGCTGTTCTGGATCACCGTGTTCATCGCGGTGGTGAGTAAGCTCATCGAGACCGGCTCCTCACCCGTACCGATGGCCAACGGAATACCCACCTCCTTGAACTTTTCGTGAAGGGCGAGCGGAGAGTTGTACGTACTGACCGGGTCGGCGGCGCGCGCGGAGTTGCGGTAGTACTCAACCATGTGCGTCGCGATTTCGTCTAGAAAGCGAAGC